TCCTCACAACAACAACAAATGCCGCGGCAATTTAGCCGGCACGCTCGTGCGCTCAATTACTGGAATTAATCAGCGGCGGCGATATATATCCGGCTCGGCTGCTCTTGATTGACACTCTGCAGACCAAAGTCAAGTTTACAAAGGCAACGCGGCCACAGCCGAAGGCGTCTTGCTCACAGGTCTGCGTGTGCTGTGGAACAGCGCCCTCTGCTGGCAGGGGACGCGAACCCTCTGAGCAACGCAGCCGTCTTCAAGGCTGAAGCCGATGAGCTGAAAATCTGTTCTCATTGGCCGGTTTGATTTTCTCTCCCGGTCCCCCGCTCGTAATCAATGAAGTGGACAAACAGCTATTTAGAGAGAACAATAGCTTATTGATTCCCGAGCCGCTCGTCAGCACAGCTGTCTGTCCAACTAATTTCGGTAATGAGATGGCGAGTGGCGTTTCTGACCGCCTCTTACATACTCGTACCAACGCACGCACAAAACACACACACACACACACACTAATGTGAACACGCAAGGCCGCGCAATATACACGTTTACATGCACCGCCCAGTCACTTTGCATTATTCACATCGGCAGATACAAAAGAAAAAGTTTATTGATTGAGGTTGATCCCATTTCCTGGTTCGGCGTAATGGTGTTAATGCATTGAGCTAATAACCTCATTTAAAGAGGTACATTCTTAATATTTACTTGTGCCCATGTTGTGTCGGTTGCCTCCCGTTCTCTCAGCTTTCACTTTGTCCTCCTCTCACCGCTGACAGAGATGCGTTCCTAATGCAGTGACAATTGAGTCGGTCTGTTAAATTAATTTGCCGGATAATGTGTCAATATTAAATATCAACTTTGACCTCTCCGAGCTGCGGAGTGCGCTCGCCCAGCTTGACTATTGATTTTTGGCTGCCTCTCAGCACGCTAGGCCCGCACTCAAAGTCCATTATTTTTGATTTTCTCATGAAATACATATCTTTCCCCCTCTGACATCTGACAAACAGCATATGGAAGTCATTTTATCTACCAATAATGTGTTTGTCAAAAAGTCTGAGGTCTCACCGGATTCCTGCAGTGCAGGCGGACATCCCAGCAACAGACGGACCTGCCGAGGAGATGCTTGCAGATATCTATCTGTGTGTGTGTGTGTGTGTGTTCGCGTTTGCGCTCGCGCCAGTTCATGTGGTAGTTCTTCATGTAGGGTCGCACATGCTCAAACGACTGCAGAGGAGGGGTAATTGAAAAAGTGAATTAAATTGTGATGAATTAATCGTCGGCCGGTCACAGGCGTTTCGGCTGTCATTGGAATGCGAGCGCGCTCGTCGCCGCTGTGTGCGGTGAGTGGTGGTGATAGTGGCGTGAAGGACGGGCCGCAGTCTGCAGGAGGATATTGGGCCAGTGTTCAGGCTTCGTCTAGCAGCCCAGTCAAGGTAGTGACTATTTTTGGAGCTGTGCAAAGCGCCTCCACTCGCGTCTTCCTCTAAAAGGATGACAAGCTGATAATCTGTTTTATAGGATGGTTTAATTCCACTTGTCACTCACTCGGCCACTCCTGCAGTGCATTTAAATCAAATCCGAGTTTGTTTGAGTGCTATTATGAACTATAATAGGTTGTGCGGGTCTTTGGTGTGTGTGTGTGTGTGTGTGTGTGTGTGTGTGTGTGTGTGTGTGTGTGTGTGTGTGTGTGTGTGTGTAAGAGATATTATGAGACGCTTTGCTGGGAAACAAATATTCAACAAATATTCATTTATTCATTAAACACCAGGACCATGAAGATCTGTTGTGACACCCTCTCTGTAGCCACTAATGTATTAAATTAATTCTTGCTATTAGCTCCAATTGAATGTTTGGTCTGTGTGTGTGTGTGTGTGTGTGTGTGTATGCGTGTGTGTGTGTGCGTGTGTTGAATGTACAGGTTTATAGCAGTCATGTGTGTGAGTGCAAACTATGGTCTGAAAGCACGCGTCTACATGTGGGAGGAGTTGTCCCGATGTTCCTTTATGTGTGTGTGTGTGTGTGCGTGTTTGTGTGCGTGTGCGTGTTTGTGTTCGATCCCATTTGTGTACTTGTTTTCACAACACTACCGACATCAGTGGAGCAGGGAAACATGGATGTCTGCTGGATTGACAGTCGGAGAGATGGGAGAGTGCAGGAGAGGACGGATGGATGTGGGAGAGGAGGATGAATATTGACTGATCAGTGGGGAGATTGACAGCATCGGGATAATGGGAGCATTCAGACTGCAGTTGCCAACTTTCCCGGCACACCTATTTTTGCCCTCCCACGCTGCGAAGACTGCTCTTGGAGTCTTGAAGTGATTTGTTATCTGATATGCAGAATCCTGATGTGTTTCATATCCAAGAGTAATTTACTAGAAACCCTTTCTGTCTTTTTGTTGGATTGGACGAGCGAGAGCAAAATACTTTCTGATACATGAAAAGTGTATGACACCTAATCACATTTAGTCTCCATAATGAAATTACACTGCAGAGAGCTTGTGTTCATATTTTGATTATTTTAGAATGCATTATCTGAGTGTAATTCACTGTCTGCCTATGATCTTGTTAGTTGTTTTTTCTCTAACTTTCCTTTTGTAGGGACTTCGTGCCCTTGGCGAAGCAATAGTCTTTTTTTTTTTTTAAAGTCCGAGATAAAACTGGGGGTAATATGAGATATTTGATATTTGATGTGTCATGGAGCATTATACGGAGCAATAACATACAATCAACTAAGACCAGTCCAAATGAAATCTGGTGGCTTTCAGAAAATGATAAGGGATGGCTGACCCTGTGTGTGTGTGTGTGTGTGTGTGTGTGTGTGTGTGTGTGTGTGTGTGTGTGTGTGTGTGTGTTCCCGGTCACCTGTGCACATTTTTGTCCATAACCTCTCTTGTGTGTTACATGCGTTCCTGAGGGGACTTCTCTGGAGGAGCAAGTGCGAAGGAAAAAGGACATTGAGGCCATCGAGAGTGATTCCTTTGTTTCTCAGGCTTTCAAATCATCCAGGGATGACATAAAGGTGCCTTCTCCCCCTGCCCCTCACCCTCTCTATCTTTTCACTCCCGTCTCTTATTAAATTCCCCTCGCCGCGGCGCGGTGCCGTCTGTCCGGGGACAGCCCAGACCGAATCAAACATTCATTCAGCGCCGTTTGTTTCCGACCTGAGACGGTTTCATCAGACGCTCCACTGTTCGCCGCCTCCAAAGCGGCAGCACCCACACAAAAGCCACAGCAGGCAACAGCCGTCTCTCTCTCTCTCCCTCTCTCCCTCTCTCCCACCCCCCTCTAGCTTGTGCAGATGCAGACAAAAAAAACCCACAGAAGTCATTATTGAAATGTCCCCGTCTCTGAAGGAGCAACAATTAGATTTGTTGGGGGCTCAGGAGCTGTTTTCGAGCAGAGAGGCGACTACATGTGACAGAGAAGCCGCGCGGCCTTCTTTGGGACACTCAAAAAGTCCGATAAAGGTCAAGAGCAACGTGGCGGCGGCTTGTCCCGCAGGGTGCAGACACACACAACGTGTACCGGGTCGAACCGTCCAGCAGTCAGATCTGTTCTCACATCTGCGTGAAGATGATTCTGACGGTAAAATTGCGGCAACGAGATAAAATCTAGAACAATGTGTTTTATTCTAATTTTAAGGAAAATATGACTTCAAGTGCAGAACAGGGAGGCTGTGTTTGATTCTTTTGCCTTTTTGAGAACAAAACGGCCGTAATAAAACACAAATTTACTTTCCAACTTCCAAATTTTTAAAGTAGCTCTTGATTTTTGATGAATGATTTTTCTGATCAATCTCCCGGGTTTTGTCCTCATCAGTAGTCAAATAATACTTATAATATCCAGACGGCTGAATATGCCGCACATTTAAACATTGTCTGAAAACTCTACAGTAGATACATTCTGGTTATTTGTTGTTTAATGTAACATTTCTAACCAAAATAACAAGATATAACTGAGATATATTTGAACATAGTATTGTGTATCATTACTATTCTATTTTTGAAAGTCTTTTCATGCAAGCAGCTATAATTAAAAATGTACTGTACATCCAGCATCGTATCACCAGTAATATTGTATTTGGCGCATCAACTTACTTATTACCCAGAGTGTTTTCTATCTGGCTTACTTTTTGTATCTTGCCAAATGAATTTTAAGTAGATCTTTCCAACTGGGGAAGCATTTGCTCCGGAGCTGGTTCTAGGAGTGTTTGAAACATGAATCGACTTGGCAAAGTGTTGATTTTGATATTTCTTCTTTATCAAGAACAACAAGGGAACGGGCCATCCTTCCAAATGTGGGGCGTATTTTTATAAGTAATACCTCTAGGGATGGAGGAGGAATCCCTTTTAAGCATCACATTTTCTTCTATCAGCATTGACTCTTCAGATAGAAATGTGAGGGGCTGAAGAATCCTCTTCTTTGCTTTAAGTCCTTTTCCGTTACAAGAGGAAGCCCTTTAACTGTAACAAAGTGGCCCAAGTAACATGATTTGTACAAACAACTCGTTCTGCAGTTGGTGGTTTATAACAAATAAGACTCACCTAAAGAAAATATGAGGTGGGGTATATGGAGTTAGACAAAGACGTACACAGACAGAGGCAATCGAGACCATCAACATGCTGCTTTGGGAAAGTGTTCAACATGAGCTTGACTTTCACTGCCACCTGCTGGACAAATGTCATGTTGCATTCGTTTTCTTTTCTGCACATGAAAAATACACCAATATTGACAGCATATTTTACTTTTTTGGCCTATGGAAATATCCTATGATAATATGCAGCCATGGATGGTGTCTCCCTCCTTTTCTCCTTTCTGGCTCAGCTGTATGTATATATGTTTGTGTAGTTGTTTCTTTGGCCTTTTCTTTTACTATTTTCAGCTAAAATGTTTATGTTCATGTTCCATTATAAAAAGGTGCTTTACTCCCCTTGTGGATGATCTAAACGTGCCATATCTTTTGTGTGTGTTGTGTATTTGTGTGAGCACAGGCTGAACCAGCTGAGGTGAAAGAGGAGTCGCAGGGCGCAGATTCCCAGGACGTGGCTCTTCCCTTGTCTATAGTCTACAACGACAGCGACCCGCTCGCCCATCCCAGTGTAGGTTCCCGCCTGGCCGACCCTTTGCACCGCACGCTTTTACTTCTCAACCAATGAACGACTTCCTAAGTTGATCCTGCTGAACATCTGACCTCCGCTGTCCTCTTTTAACGAGTGAGATATTAGAAACACAAATTTTTCTAAACTCTCACTAACACCGCCACCACCACTATTTTCACCATTCCTGCAAATTATATCGTATAGTGGATTACAGCCCCCTAACATCACCACCTCCCCTGCCCGGAGACGAATGATGAAAAACGAGAAGGAAAACTTTAAACTCCAATAACGCTCCCTGGGGCTTCCAAGTCATCTATCTCCACTGGGGAAACTAAGTTATGCCCTGACGTATGCAGATAACCCACTCAAATAAACACAGGCATTCACACTCACTGCTCACTCACTGCCCCCCAGCTCAAATGCACACACACACACACACACACACACACACACCCTCACCCTCTCAGACAGGCTGATGTATGGCAGCAATATGCCCCAGGCGGGCCACGGATTCAGCTTCAGCTCCAGCTCCGCTCCCAATTAGAACAGATGAGTCCCATTAGCCCAGCCCAGATACTGTCATCCCACACACACAGCCTCATTAGCACCGTGACACCAGCGCGCCGCCGACAGACAAGAACTCGCTGGTGTTGAATCTAACACACAGATAACATGCGGTGCAGCTGTAAGCGGCGCAGGGTTAGGAATGAAGGATCGAGGTGGCCGTCGCTGCTCCACCATCTGCATAATCATAGACACACATCATCGCGCAGATGTACGGTATGTACACATCGACAGCAACGTGTCAACATTATCTCAAACGACCGACCGCACCGCGAATGCGGAGATGCGCCTTGCTTCTCGGGCTCATAGTCGTTATGTCACTTCCTAATAAACAGATGCCTACATTCGTCAGACACTTGGGGTAGATGTTTTATAGCCCTCTTATAATGACTATCATTACTGCTGCCGATGTGCTGCGATGAATGCAAGTGTCTGCCTTTTTTTCTGTCGACGCGCCTCTAGGCCCACGGATGTTTCTAAAGTAAAGGTTCTTCTCATGTGCATCTTTAAGTTGGCAGTCAGGGAAAGACTGATGTGACATTTACGATAACAGATCCATTTGAGAGGCTTCACTAGGAGTCCGAAATCCACATTGGAAATCAGTAAGGATTTTAGGAGACGGGTATCAACGGGCCATACTGACAACTCTGTGCCAGACTCAAGAAACATAGCTTATTCATTTCTGTCCTGTTCATGGGGAGTTAGAAGAGTTTGAAGTGGAGTTTGCCGTGTTCCTAATCCATTGAGAACAAGCAGTTCAACTACAGATGTTTTGTGGTGGCCTCCAACTTCCACCTGTGTTGGTCAAGTTCTTTTTCATATAGCGCAATTTTAGTTTCAAGGTGCTTTTCAACCATACGGATCCATAGAGAGATGGATAAACATATGGGGAGGAAGTGCTCAGTAAACTGGATGCGTAATATGTGTACATCTTTTGGTGTACCTTTTATTTAGACAGTAAAATGAATAAACTAACCCGTCCTTTCTATGCCGTCTTGCAGTTGTTCATGGACAAGGAGAGGGCAGAGGAGCTGTGGCACAACAGATTGATATTGTTGCGGCAGGAGAGGCTCATGGGAAGTCCTGTGACCTTGTGACCCGACGGACAACGGAAGATCCATCATCTTCCCGAAGCAGTTTGAGCCCTCAGTCTGTCTTATTTTAGGACTTCACAATGTTTATTACTTTACCCTTCAAGTAATGTCTTTCTTTTGTAAAAACATGTGAGAGTGACGGAAGTAAAAACTGTTTTGTCCTTATTATTTTATTAATGTAATTCAATTAAACATTTTCCTGTTCTTAATCTGACTTGTTTTGTTTTTAATGATGGACAATCTTGCAGTGAGACATGGTGAGGTGTTTTACTATTTGGATCTGTCCGCCTTTTGTAATCAACTAGGTCAATAAAGCTATGATATATTTGAGTGGGTGAATGACAGCAATAAACATTCAAGTGGTAAACAACAAACACTGGAATTAATGCCTTCTCACCTGCCCTAAACTTGTGTTCTCCTCTTAAAAAAAAGATATATACACGAGTCAACGGTTTATTTACTCAATGTTGTGTCCCCGTTTGAGTGGTCCTCACTCGGCCTATTTGTGGAACGGCCAGATGGTGAATCCAGACCAAGTCTGGGACAGGCCGTCCACTGTCAAAAATCAACATGACAGTGACCAACATGATTTGCTGAGGCAAGTGCACAAGTTCTGCTGTGACGGAGTACGAATGCACAAAAGGCCGTCACACACTGACTACAACTACCAAAGGCGACAATCACTTTAGGAACAAAAAAGCGAGTCGGACGCGATTTCTCCTTCACGATATGAGTCATAGATATATGTGTGGTTCTATGTCTCTGTCCCTAGCAGCGTGGAAGTTAGGCAACTTAACGTTGACGTTACATTTTTGAGAGACGTTTTGCAGCCGCTGACACACAGCGCGCGCGAGGACACCGCTCTTTTAAAGCTGCGAATAACCAGCCAATCCCAGGGCTCGGCTCACGCACGTGCCAGATGTGACGGTGAGTTTGGTTCCCTCCTCCTCCGCGGTGACATTACCGAGGCTGCGCGGTGTGTGTGTGTGTGTGCGTGCTGCTGGGACACCTGTGGCAGAACGGATTATTTTTACGAAAATCTGAACCTCGTGTTTTGTTTAGAGCCTCAAAATCCGTGGAAATGTTCAACAGTAATCGTGTGGATTTCGATGAGGATCCGTTCTTCTCGTGAGTGACTTAACTAACGTTAACAAAAATGTGGAATTAAATCTATTACAGCCCAACTGTCTAACCGCCACCCATTCCACTCAAAACTTTGAGCTGTTTGAAAAACAAAATCTCTGACGGTAAATTAACCAATTCAGCCTATTAACTTTACCTCTGGCTGCTTGTCTTCTATTGCTCTTTAGTTCATGTTTGCTCACTTTATTTGTAACATATCAAGTAATAAAATATGGCTGCCTGCACAAATTAACAGCTTGACAACCGTATTTCAATTTGACCGTTGTCATGGAAATAAGCAAATAACACACCCGTAACTTGTTAACGAGTTTCAACATTAGCTGTTTCTGTTGCATTTTAAGAAAACGGTTACCTAGCAACGAATGCTGGAATGAAACGGTTTTAATGTACTTTGCATTTTTTGGTTTAGAGGGGAAATGAGATTGAACGAGCGCCTGTATGGAAATTCCATCCGTATATAAGCTACTAGTTTCTTGTTTTTATTTTTTTTAAAGAAAATTATGTACAATACTGTAAAATTATATTTTATTAAACTGAGACTGTGCTACAAGTCATTAGGTGAGTCTCTACTTTCAGTTGATTGAATTTATTGGAGAAGATAATATAGTTTGAATCTCAAATGAACTCCAAGGTGGCAAAGGATTTGCAGGGAAGTCTGTGTGTGGCGTAAAGGCATTTTCATTTTCCTCCCCTGGAACCATTATGATCGTTTTCGGCCTCATCAAAATGATCATCACTGAGATTTGCTCAGAATTCCTTTTGTGGATGTTGAGATTGACTTGTCTTTACTTCCTCTTCCTGTGCTTCAGGGATCCATTACGGGCTCACAGGGAACATATGCGGCAGATGATGCGCAGCTTCTCCGAGCCGTACGGTGGGCCCGTAATGCCCAGCATAATGGACGGGAGAAACTATGCCCGTGACATGTCAGAACATCCAAGCTCGTCCCTGGCACTGAGGGGTGAACACGGGGTGAGAACATGCAATTAAAAAAAAAAAGCACTCTCCTTCCAATCCCGTCTGGTAGGTCTGCATGTGTACCAAAGTGTTAAGAAATAAAGCTCTACCTGTGTATTCCATTATCTAGCGACGAAACAATTCACGTCTAAGTGAGACAAAGGCTGGTGGCTCTGTTTCGGCAGCTTGCTCATACAATTAGGCCTTGTGACCCTCTCCGCTGCTCCTAGGCGTATAACCACAGAAGGTTATTGTTTGGGGGAAGTGCTAAGTTTACTGAGGTTATAGTGGAAGCTGGCCACTCGCAGTGAAACTGGAGCTCCAATCTCTGAGGTATGGGGTCATGTGAGTCGTTGGTTTAGTAGAAGGGCAACCCCATGGCCCCTCTGGACAGTTATATCTAGCTCTGAGGAGCCCTATTTATAGTGCATTGTTCCACTGACACACTATTTTCTTGTCGATACACCCACAGACTTCTTTAACACTCAAACCAAAAGGACTCCAGACAATTCTGCTTTAGCTGTGCTGGAAATAACCGTTTTCTTTGATATCCTTCCAGTTTGCCCGGTTGTCATGTTGAATTGGAATATGATTTATCTCCAAATATAACTACTTTGGTTTTATTGGATACAAATCAATCTTTAATTGCCCGGAGATGGTTTTCGTCGGCCATTATTGCACCCATTCACCTGCTAATTCAAATTTAGTCCCCGTCACCCGCTTTAATCCCACTTTCTCATGAGAGCCAGTATATTTATCCTTGATAATGACTTTCATCAGACGCCTATTCTCAATAGCCAGCAGCACGCATTCTCTTTATTAGCATCATGCCATTAACTAGCTAATGCCAGCTGAGGAGGGGCAATGCCTTGATTAATGACCTCAGTGACAGCGGGTGAAATGGAGCTACACTGTAAAATGTCAATCCCAACAAACTACTTTATCTAATACTAGGAGTGCTGAACTGTTTTGTATGCCTCAAATTCTGATGAATCTTTCTCTCCAGAAAGCGTTATATTTTCTTTTTGAGGACATGACGGCATGAAGACATGAGGACTTCTGCTGAGCTGTGGGCGATAGAAATTAGCAGGATAATCAGTGAAATCTCTGTGATTTGGAGAAGGAAGGATCATGTGAACCATGTGATTCTTTTCTCTTGACTCTTACACGGACATCTGGATATGTGAGATGTTTGTGGCCTTCCCATATCCGCCTTGATTATCACAAACATTAAACAGAAGACCTACTCTTGTTGAGATGCATGTAGCTCGGGTTAACCAAAATGACTGTAACAGATCAGTTTTCCTCCCACACCGCTGCCCTCTTATCTCCCACGCGCAGTGATTTATCTGAAGATGAGGGGCAGTCGTGCGGCGCCCGGCCGTGGTCAGAGGGGCTGAAGCTCTGGTGCTGTGTGGTTGTCTTTTGGAAGGGCATGTGTGCGCATGTCATGGCCACTCTGTTTTCTCAATGTTGCTCTTTCGGTCCATCTGTTCGGCAGAATGTGCTCTGGCAGCGTCTGTTAGCGCTCCCCGATATATCGCAGGCACGAATGTGCGCACGCAAATGTCAGCAAAAAGTGTTGAAGCACAGTTACAAACGGTCACATGCGTGCAAAATACTACGGACACGCTGGGATGCAAAAACCAAGAAACAACAATAACAAAGGCTGGATGCATTCACTCATTCATTAGGGCACCTCTGTGTAAAGCCCCTGCTGATGTATTAGCAGGATGTAGTTTGATGGATTAGACACGTATGCAAGATTTTCACTTGCTTTGGTAAAAAAAAAAAAAACATGTGACCACGTGAAATGAAGCCGTTCCCACGGCGCTAATTGACCGGCTGTCCCCGCGATCAGATTCAGCGCCTCCTTTTCTTTTAGTGCTTTGAGAATAAATTTGCCACAATGCCGTTTAAGTTTGCTGGTGATGCGTCACTTCATGGGAGCAATGCATTTCTTTTCAAAGTCTGAATCATATCCAGAGCATATGTGCCCCTGCGGTGTAACTCATAGCTCTCCCAGGAGTGGCCTGCCTCAGAGGGCAAAGCGGCAGTTCAATATCTTACTGACAGAGAGAGATAAAGAATGTCAATCTGCAGTAGTCCAGACAGCTCAAAATAATGTGTTAAAGACCACTGGGTCTACATTCCTTATCGTGCACCCTCAATCTCTCCTATGCCCAACCCCCCCCCGGTCTAAATATATTGCTGGTAGATATGTAACTGGCATTTATTCGTTCATAGATGCCACTCTAGGTTAAAATTGGCTGCGGGGCTTCATAGATACCAGCCGGGAGCCTTTTTACGTCAGCTTTGACATTTGAAAAGAGCTGAGAGAGCAGCCTTGGACACTTTGACCCCTGCTCCCTGTTCTGACTGCGCCGTTCCGGCCTTCCAAGAATCGAGCCCAGTTTCGGTGTTAAAGCCACGCTAATCTCTGGCAATGCGACCCAATTACACATGGAACACCAGTCATTCAACACCCCACTGATCACGTACAATACCCCTGTGCGTCCCGCTCCAGGAACACACACGCCCGCATAGCGACGGCAGTTGAGATGCTTACCCGAGGCCGCGGGGTGATAAACACCTGCGGTTTTGGAGAGCTGGGGGGAGGTGGGGGCCTTCAGGAGGTCCGTGGCCATGAAAGGCCGTGCTAACGGCGGCGCGGAGAGCTCTGTGTAGCCGTGTCATGGGCTTAGTGACCGATGTGAGACAATCTAACAGCTTACTGCGCATACACGTCAACACAATGCCAAACGTGCAGTTTTGTGTGTAACATGCAATAGAAATACAAGATGTCGCTGGAGTGGAGTTGTTTGAATCCTCGGGATATGAGGCGGTCATTGCTGCGCTTTGGCAGTATTGACTGCGCGGCCAGTCGATTATTCTGACTGCATCATCGTACGAGTTCCTCCGTGAAATACTTTAACTTTAATACTGACTCTGCCTGTTGCTCATTGACTAGACGTTGTCAGTAAAAAGGTCACACTGTATTGCTCTACATTATATTTATTCTAAAACATTACGCCAATCCATGGACACGAGACTGTGATATTATATACAGTATCCATGATCATAGTAAATACTACACTGTATAAGTGGGAATAAAGTTATTTACATGTCCAAAAAGCACAAACATTACTGACACATTATTATTGTTAAAAAAACAGGCAGATATATTCTCATTATCTCATGGTAAATGGAATCTTACTGCGACATACACAACTAACATGAGTCAGAGTCTTTTGACTTGAGAGAAGCGTGGTGCCTCATCCCACAGAAACTTAATTCATTCATTTATTTGAAAAATTGTTGAACCAACCAAAAATAACCATGAAAGCGTTCAGCTACCATACAGTTATGGGGTGCTCTGCATTTCTACAATGAAGGCAGTAATTAAGTCATGTTTTATGTTTAAATAATTCACTTTACATGGCTGTTAACACCTTGAACGTGCAGTCGAGTTAATGCATTTAATGCAGTGAAATTCAAACAAGTGCTGTTAGACAACGTGGTGTGTTTTTTTGGCAAAAGAAGCACAGAATTGGAGCATCTTGGCGACCTTTTAAATTATCCATACAGAAAAAAAACTCAAACTAAATACAGACATGCTTGGATGTCACAAATGGTAAGGTGATTAAAATGTGAATGTCCTGGTGACGTTGCCCCAGGTGGAACACATGTAGGCCACGTTTAGCTCACTGCTCGTGTGTTTGTATACGTGATGGGATGGTTTATGAGCCAATAACGCCTACCGACCTTGTGGCATGCAGCGCCCAACTGTTCAACTCCTCTGAGCTTTTGTTGGCTTTTCTTTACCCCTTTTGTGTCGCTGCAGGAAATGACCAGGAACCCTCTCGGCATGTTCGACAACGTGATGTCGAGCATGAGAAACCGGATGCAGGAGATGCACAGGCACTTTGTGAGTGAAATGATTGAGCTTTTCTCTTCTGTGTGCCTCACTGCGGCTTCTGTAGCTGCTTAGCGGTGAGTGCTTGTGTGTTTCAGGGGAACGCGTCCGCGGATTCAAACACCTGCACCTTCAGCTCCTCGTCAGTCATGACCTACTCAAAGGTCGGAACTGAGCCTCCCAAGGTCTTCCAGGCGAGCTCATCGACACGCCGCGCCCCTGGAGGGGTAAGCGCTCCATCGGATGTGTTACTACATCATCACACAGTACATTAGAAAAACAGTACATTTGAAGTATTATGTGTCTGTAGAGAAGGGGTCTTGGGGACAACTTCAACATGGCACTCAAAGCAAATGTTTCTCAGGGCAACATATCAGGGTGGCTCTGTTCTCTTTCATGAAAGGAGCAAAGGAAGTCAATGGCTCAAAGTGTGTATGATGGGTTTTATCACCAGATAAAGGAGACCCTGCAAGCGGTTAAAGACTCTGAGAGCGGTCTGGAGAAGATGTGCATTGCTCACCACATCAAGGACAGGGGACATGTTGTTGAGAAGAAATACAACAAAAAAACAGGACAGAAGGAGCTCAACCAGGACTTCCAGAATATGGATGAATGTATGTTAAAGTGATGGTCTGCACTGTTGCATTATGCACATATGTTTATTTTTCTGTAAACGTAGAGGGCACGGCCATGTTTGTTACTCCACTTGAAATGTGATCCTCTGCCCCCAGCTGAAGCACAGTCTTTTGATGACGAGTGGCAGCAGGGGGTGTCCAGGTTTCCAAGACCGCCAGGCCCGATGTTTAGCCTAGAGGAACCGGAGATCTGTGGTGTTTCCCCGGCCGCCCTCACCGGTTCTGAACAGGAGCTCAGGTCAGTACGACTCTCGGACCACATCGCGGTGTTGAAGACTGACAAGAATCTGCCGTTCAGGATCAAATGGTCAAAGAAGTGCACACGTACGCTTTAAGTGTACTGTTGTCATGCCATGATTCTGCCCTTAGTTCACCAGTCTGTATTCACCATGTTTTTATATTTCCCACAGTGACCAATCAAAGGGCGAGATTGAGCGTGAGAGACACCTCAAAGGCTCGTGCTCAACAAAGCAGTGACACATTTGTTTATGTGCTTATTAAAGCCTTTTAAGAATAATGCAGTACACTCGGGTTGTCTGTAACACCACACACACACGCACCCTGTCATTAAATGGACAGGACCACAAGGCACTGTCCCAGATTTTGAAACAAAGATAAGACAGTTATTTCTGCTGCCCATTTTCCAAAGTATTCTAAACAATAGCACTTGAAACCCGCTGAAGATTTCTGCCCCAATACTGTGAAAATGTTGCTCTTTAATGGGTGAAATGACTCCTTCCATCTTACTGACATGTTCAATCTTAGCATTTTGGTGCTGCTCAGGAGCAGTTGAGTTTGAAAACATCCGAGAATCAGGTGTCTGTGGTGTCGTGGCTCTGCAGCAAACCAGCAGTGTCACCAGGATTCATTCTCTTATATGCTTCCAGAACATAAGTCATTTATTTATATTTGGCGTTCGGATGATACCATCTATTATTGTCATTGCCATTTTCATAATACAACACCGCACACAATGTGCTGACTGTTTGAAATCCCCTAATGCACTTAGACGATGTCTAAATTGTTTTTTTTGTAATTATACTGTCTAGTACCTGATTCTCCAAATATGTAATGTTTTTTATCTGCTGTAATCATTGTAAAAAGAAAAATACTTTTCCCTTTTTATGTTGTTTTGGTGTCTTTGTTGTTTTTCATCTGATGCTTTGTGCTGCGTAGCACAGTATCTTAACGACGTCTGGATTATTCTCTATAATTCTAGTTTAGTTGTTTTATTAAGCTTTAAAAATAAGTTGTCAACAACTATTATGGTCTGAAAATAAAAATACAAGAAATTGATCTGGTGTTTTAATTTGGTATTTCAGTTTAGTTTTTTTAATCGAAGAGGTCTGTATGTTACTGAAGGCCTGCAGAGGGTCTATGAGAGTGTGAATGCGTTTTGTGTTCGGTAATGACCCACAGCACTATTTTGGGATCTAAGAACTTGTCAGTACCTCAGATATATCTGAGATGTTGCACAGCTGCGAGCCCACCAGGCTGCCTTCTCACGTGCCTGTGTATCAGACTTCATTAATCGCTTAGGTGGGAACTGAGGAACAATATATGGCTGAAGTAGAATCCAAATGCAACCTGAATCTTTAGCTTCCCGTCTCATTAGTATGTTAATCTAACATGGGTCCAACTTATGCCGCTCTGATGCGTCATGTGACAGGAGGGAGCACGCTGAAACGGATCATACATGAAGAAAAGGAACTATTGAAACTGGTTCCGGCTCTCATAAACATGTGAATCCTTGAAACGGACTGCACTCTTAAAAATCCTCTCGTACTCTTTAACTACCCCAAGCTGCTATTTTGTTGCCCCACTATCTCAACACGGTTGCTTCAATAGGAGTTAAGTATAATTTTTATTTTACAGGATTCTTTAAAGCCATCGCTCTTTGCATGTGACCGGTTTTATTAGAAAAATGCTCGATTCTACTGCTTCTGTAAATTTAGAGTGACGTACTCGTCCCGTTGACTACTGCCGCCTTTAAATCTTCAACATATTTGTCCACTGCTGACTAAATGAAACAGAAAACTGAACGTCTTAAATTTACCTGTTTAGTTGAAACTCTTTTGTATCAACACAAAAAACTGTAAAAAAATGTTTTAATCAATACAAATGAGCTACAAAATACTTATTAAAGAATATGGAGTTTGCAGGTACAACTCTGCCACCACCTTCTGGTCATCTTAGAACATGACTTTATCTTGATTATTTACACAGCGTTTACAAGACTCAACTTATTTGAAAAAACAAAAATCATCACCAAATAATCAGGATGTTGGGAAATGAAACAGTATCTTGAACAAAAAGTGGATGTGAATATGGGAAGGGCCCAAATATGGAATGGATCATTCTTCTCAAAAATGTCACCAGATGAAGAGTAGTTGACTCGGGCACTACATGATTCCCTGAGGCGGTCCCTTCCCGGAGATCTTCTTGGAGCACTCCAGCAAAGCGTTGTGGATATCTTTAGCACAGGAGATCTGAGACTTGATCATGCCCAGGTACTGGGCGTACGACATGGACTCCGTCTGCACCGTGTCCGGCTTGGTGGCGGTTGGAACCAGGTTGGGCGAATGCTTGGCGCTGTCGATGCTCTGGGAGAGGCACTCGTAAGCCAGCCGCTGAACGGAGGGAGACAAAGACGAGGGTTTGCGCTGTATATTCAATGTGCAGATACAGGATGGTGGGCTGTTCTTGAAAAGGCCTCCAAAAGTCTAAATCAATATGTAGACTGTGGGACAGAACAACTGGATTCAGACTACACAGTGTAAGGTGGCAGCCTTGTTACATTACTATATCAATGAACAAAAACAAAATCATAACTAAATAACTTACTCAAATGCTTTTCCAATGGTATTTGTGGGGTGTTTTTAATTTAATGTTAAAGTCACATTGCTTTAACAGGGTTGAGTTTTAGTCACTTGTATGTGAACAGACACAGAAAGTCTAGCAGTAGCAACAAAGGGGCAGTTATCTTCCATTTCAATATCAGCTGTTGTGACAAATGAACACCTCGCCGTGGCCGTCCTGCTACGTCACATTCCTGCTACGTCACATTCCTGCTACGTCACACACAGCATTTCGCTTTGAGGTTGAGGTCTCACCAAACACATCTCCAGTTGATCACAGAGGGCGTAGAACTCCTCGAGGCTCTTGTCGAAGCGCTGAACGGAGGTGTCGCTGCTTTTGCTTAAACAAAAGAAACAATAGAGACCCTGGTGAAAAGAAATAATCAGAAAAAACATCCTCCGTCGGTGACACAATTCGAACGTCGGCGTGCCCCCGCCCCCCCCCCCCCCGCACAGAATAATCACATGGCGTTGTCAATCGTAGTGTTATGGGCCAAATTGAGGGATGCGATCTTCATGAGGTTCTGAAGTTGCAAAAATAAAGCAATATGTTTAAGAGACACATCGTAACGTAACATCATAACGTAATGTTATGTGATATTTTTAGGTGTACACTTACTTGCAGACTCTCTTTCAACTGTGGGATAAGAATCTTAAATCGATGTACTGGATCAAAGTCTTGCTGTTGGCTCAATTGCTGCTGTTGCTGTTGTTGTTGTTGCTGTTGTTGTAATGAAGTAGCCTGCAATCCGGGCTGCAACATTGGCCCGCCGGGCTGCTGCTGCTGTTGAGACGCCATCTTACCCGGCTTCAACTCGAAAGCCGGAAGCTGAATTCTATATCCGGTTGGTTGGTTTTCAAAATAGAGGCGTTTCCGTAAAGACATACCTTTGAAACCGGTTAACTTTCTATCTACTTTTGAACATTAGTGATGCATACATGCAATACACACCGCTACCCACGTCCTCCTCACTAATATGTTGTTTCTTTGGACTATTATTTTGTTTCTACATTGCCATCATTTGCAATCTATTCAAAATTAGTTTTCTTTGTTTGTCCATGTTTTTCATGTTAAAACTGCAGCATCTTTTGTTCTCGTTATGTATTGTAATTACAATTTAGCAGAGGCGATTACATCAAATGGACTGTATACATTAAATATCGTATACACTTTAGAACAACTACGTTCAGGAATGTTGTATTGTTATTTTTGCAATTAATCAATTTTAAATATGCTTGACACTGATAACAAATACACGTGCTGATGTTGTTATCAATGTTTAATCTAATTTTAACACCTGAGTTGGTCAATAAAGAAATTGATTATTTTGGGCCATTGACGTACACACAAGTCTAGTCAGATAGTAGACAAATGGACAGTTATAGTAGTCAAACAAAATTGTAGATACTAATAGGGAACTAATAGGGAGTTATATGTGTGTATGTGTGGGTAACATATCAGTCTATAAATATAAATAGGCAATGTGACTTTTACTACAATAACTTTTGTGATGCTTTATTTATTACACCTGTTGGGGGGTTCCACCATTGTTAAATATTAGCTTGTTAAGGGGGTTTTATTTTTCATTTTGGGGAATGTTTAATCGTTTGGCCTGAAGTTGTTGCTTTGCGGTTTTTCTTGATGGTTTCGTGAAGGCAGCACCAGCAGGAGAAGCGGAGGAGGCATGGCCCTGCAGCCGCTCTTCTCACCCAGAAACCCCGTAGTGCAACACAGCAGCGCCATTCGATAACTGCAACACTATCCAAAATGGCAGGAGCTGATGGAGACGACTCTCTCTACCCTATCGCCGTTCTCATTGATGAACTGCGAAATGAGGATGTCCAGGTACGTTAGCGACACCGGAATGGTCACTTATATTGTCTTGTAAAAACACTTAACTGTATAGCGTCATTTGAGTCGTGCCACTGATTACCAGCTAATGCTAGCTAACTAGCAACTACGCGAGCTAACGTTTCGGGCGGAGGCCTACCCGGTTATCGTTCAAAACGTTCTTGTTCATCTAGAGAAACGTTTCGTTGTGTTTGGTGTAAATTACGTGTGTATACTAACATGTAACGACGTCAAATTTAAGTCAGTTGCTAGCCCAAGCTAACCCGGGTCAACGCCTCTATCAGAATGCTAACGTTAGCCAACATATTAGCAATCACAACAGCAGGGCGTTCCAGGCCGCAGTGCAGAATTTACTGTTATTGGCCTTTTCGTTCTCCTTACGTTAATGTAACATTAAAGCTTTCATTTCTATTCAGCTTTTTAGAAAAGACGTTGACTTTGGGAAATATTATACAGCTGGAACGCAGACCGTAGCCATTGTAACGTTTACCTCGAGTTTTCTTCTAGTAAATCGTTGTGTTAGTGAAACAATGTTGAAGCTTAACGCCAGTCGTTGACGCTGTTTAATGAATGAGCTTACACTTCATTGTAAACGCCTAATGCGTGCCCCTCCTGCATACAGTTACGACTGAACAGCATCAAGAAGCTGTCAACTATTGCCTTGGCACTTGGTGTCGAGAGGACTCGCACTGAACTCCTTCCATTCCTCACAGGTAATAAAAATGAATCATCTAACTCATACATTTTATGTTTTTATGTCACGTGGGTAAAGTTCTGAACGTGTACTTTGAATATTGCCTAGCTGTTTTGTCAATCATTTGTATTATATTTTCACACATTTTTCAATGATGTTTCTTGTAATCCATAGACACCATCTATGATGAAGATGAGGTCCTCTTGGCCCTGGCTGAGCAGCTTGGCAATTTCACTATGTTGGTGGGAGGCCCAGAGTATGTCCACTGTCTCTTGGTAAGTCACTGGAGTCTGCTTTATACTTAATTGATGGACATTTTGGAAATCTAAATGTCTTGTATTTGCTCAAATGTGTCCAACCTTGTTCCTTCTTGTCACACAGCCACCTCTGGAGAGCCTTGCTACAGTTGAGGAGACCGTAGTCAGAGATAAAGCTGTGGAATCCCTGCGAAAGATTTCTCAGGAGCATTCTCCTGTTGACCTGGAGGTCCATTTTGAGCCTTTGGTCAAGCGACTGGCCAGCGGTGACTGGTTCACTTCTCGCACATCTGCCTGTGGTCTCTTTAGCGTCTGTTATCCTCGTGTCTCCAGCACTGTCAAGGCAGAGATCCGCCAGTAAGTGGCTTCATTAACAAAAATAAAAAGTTTTTATAGTCCACCAAATGGTTGTGTGCATTATGTATGACATTATATTAAGCAAGTAATGTAATTCCTACGGTGATTGTTTTAGGTTTCTCAGCAGGTCTCTATTTAGGCCTTTTCTGATAAAATATCTGGGCATTTCTCTAGGCATTTCCGCACCTTGTGCTCAGATGACACTCCTATGGTGCGTCGTGCTGCAGCATCCAAACTCGGGGAGTTTGCCAAAGTCCTTGAGCTGGATTATGTAAAAAGTGACATAATTTCCCTCTTCACCGCTTTAGCCTCTGATGAGCAGGTATGAGCAGTAGTATTCCTTCTTCTCAATTTAAACTTGTTAAATTCTTTATTCTGTATTCCTAACCTGTCTGTGAAGCACAGGAGTGGCCAAATTGCTGACATTACCTTTCTCCACCAGGACTCAGTGCGGCTTCTTGCGGTTGAGGCTTGTGTCAGCATTGCCACTCTGCTGCCTCAGGAGGACCTTGAGTCCCTGGTGATGCCAACCCTCCGCCAGGCTGCAGAAGATAAATCCTGGAGGGTCCGCTACATGGTGGCTGACAAGTTCTCTGAAGTATGTAACAACTTCCTGTTAGCTGCATCTGGGTGATGGTCAAGTTTAACATTAAAAAGTGGCAAAAAATATATATTGAGAAACACCTGATATTTAGAGTTGCCTTACAGTCGCCCAGTTTACAACATACATTGAACTGAAAAAAATATTAACATAGGGTAATGATTCATATTTTACAGTGCACACATTCTCCAAGTCAGCGACAGAATTATGTTAAGTGAGGGAAAAGGGCAAAATACATATACAAACATATTATTGAACAATTAACTCTATGGAATATGTGACAAATGTTTTCCCCGTAAGTTTGTAGACTATGATCATAGGTCAAGTTTCAGTTTATCCGTTAAGACAGCTGAAGGATTCTAGATCGGTGTGTATTTTCCATATTTGAAACTGGATGCTTGTTGCTCAGTATTTCCCTAGTTTGACTCTTGATGATGTTTGATTCAATGTTGAGCTGCAAAAAGTACCTTCAGAGGGCTGCTACTTCGTCATTGGCGAATGGTGAAATTGTGTGTCGTTTTGGTGCACTTGTTATTTTAGGTTTGATTTTTTTCTGCATGGATTACTTATTTTATAGAGCAAGACAGACAGGCATGCTAAAGCATGTCCCCGATCCCTCGTTAGTCACGGTTGTCCCAATTCCTGAAATTCACCACAATTAATTTATGGTGTTTTTTATATTTTGAAGAAGACATCCTCCATTGACTCTCCCCTAAGCTACACACACACTTTTAATTATTCAATTAAGAGTTATTATTTTGTAGTAATAATAATAAAATAACACAAATACATTTTGTATTTGATCAACTTTAAGGAAAGCCACAAGAAGCATTTAAATGTTATCTTATTCTCCCCCAAAAGGATTTATGACTATATAGCTCAAAATAGAGATCAATACAAAGGTGATTAATACCTTGATGAATCTAATTACTAATTTCAGTAACTCTTAACCAAAAATGTTTTCTATTTATTTTCTTTAATATAAGTTTCTGAATGACAGTAAGCTTAATTTAGCTAACGTATGGGTATGCAAGTCTGGTCAGAACAGGTTGGTTTGTCTTTTTTATGTCTGATGTGTGTCAGGCAATCAGTACCAAAGTCACATCTGTGTTTTAAGGCCGAAAGGCAACATGCGCTAAATATGCAGGTATTCCCTACCAATTTCGTCTAAATGGTCAGTTGTAAAATGTACAAAACTTAAATTTAAAGTGGTTATCGTTTTACATTGTTAAGCCATGTAAAGACAATCAGACCAGAACATGCCCAGGTTGCACAACTGTAGGAAACTTACTAATTCACTGCCACGTGGCGAGCTGTCTGTTCGGAGTTACTCGCATCTCCACACAATGCTCGTCTTATAGACCAAAGTGAAGAAGAGCAAGGAAAAAAAATAAAGGGCCATTATAGTTAATCAGATTTCAATTCTAGGAACTATAATAGACAACAAAGGTCCTTACATATTGTAATCCACCAGTGTCCTGAAGACTGTCCAGTGGCTCAACCAACGTTACGCTGCGTGGCAACGTACATTCTCTTTGTCATGCGGAACATTTGTGTAAATGTGACCATAAAAATGTGCCTTGGTCGATCAGCTAAAAAGGTCAGATTTCAGAGCTATATAGCTTTAATTACCCACCTTTTTTACTCTACTAAAATACTCTCCACTAAAATCCAGCAATGTTTAAAAAAAAGTATTACATTTTGTGTTATTTTACACACATGCTTATTTAGTTATTGAAACATATTGCCTTCTCTCCAAATGTAGCTCCAGAAAGCAGTCGGGCCAGAGATCACAAAGAACGATCTGGTCCCGGCCTTCCAGAACCTTTTGAAGGACTGTGAAGCGGAGGTCCGCGCTGCTGCAGCCAACAAAGTCAAAGGTAAGAACACGGACACAGTAATGAAAGCATTAATACTAGAGATTCTCTTAAATTAGTTGGTGTCTTGTCCAGTCTGTTGCATACTTCTTATTACCGTCGTCCTTTTGTTAGAGTTCTGCGAGAACCTGCCTGAGGAAAATCGTGAGCAAATCATCATGACTCACATTCTGCCCTGTGTCAAGGTAATAAATGTACTTTTCTGTTTGCCACTCAAGAACTTTTGTCTCATTGGCATAATGTTGGCCTGAACTCCTTTTGATAAAAATAAAAACGCAACATTTAATGAACCATTCAAGAAGATAGGAAACGCTCTGTGTGTGTGTGTGTGTGTGTGTGTGTGTGTGTGTTATATCTTATCTAATTACTGTGCTCTGGAGTAAAGCTGGTTCAGCCAAAATGCTGCTCTGTAAAAATGTAACGCAGTTTGTTTTAAGTTTAATCCTCCAGCTGTGGTTTTAACAAGCTGTGCATTGCTTTTGACTTCATATCTTCATGATATCAGTAGTTATTGCGTATAATATTTAAACTAGCCGAAAACAAAATAACGGCATTTCGTAAAGTAAAACAAAAGGCTTGATTAAAATTTAGCATGAAACTTACAAATTATTCAGATATTTCTACAGTGAAACAATGATTGATGAAGAAACAACTTTCTTTACTTCGATGTTGCTGATTGGAATAGCGTATACCACCTAATCAAGTAGATAGCATTCACATACACACACTTAAAATCTGACTGTAGACCCCTAGAGACGGCATAAGGTTATAAAGCGAATGTGCCTTCAAACACTTCCACCCGCGCAGTAGAGGACGAAGAAGTCCTTGTTGGATTAGTGGACGTCCTGCTTACCTTGGGAGCTGCTAAGATTCCGCCCTCAACCAGGGGCTTTAATGTGGGATTGTTGTACAGGGTTGGACCACGAGTAAAGGCCGGCGCATGCGTTTGCGTCTGCTTCGTTGCGTCGACGCACTCGTTTAAATTCATGGTTCTGCGTGTGTTGCAGTGCAATTTACCGCCAGAACAACAGGCGGAGTGACGTGTTTTTGTTGAAGACGACCTAGAGAGTCACGTCTATTTATTGGTTTGTTTATTTTGTTATTTGTTTATTTATCATAGACTTTATTGCCCCGTGCATCGCCACTGCTGCTTTTCATCGCGGACACATTTGTCCCGTATTTTCCTCCACAACTTTGTGCACCTCTCAACCGGCGTTTGTGGCGATCTCCCTCCATTAATCCAACCCGCTTCTACAACCCGCCAATGACGGCTTGTATAAGCGGTCATATTTGCGCATTTTTATCCGACAAAAGTTCTTAAATCTGATCCGTTATCTCGTAGATATTCTTCGTTTTAATAATGGCGGTGTCGGGCTATGAATGCGGAAATGTGACACTCCGTAAAGGACGTAGTTAGCGGACCAATCGCAGCCTGGTGCGCTGCAGGAGGCTTGCGTCGACGCAAGCCTCGAAAAATGGCTCGACACACGCAAGGACGCAAGGAGGTGTGAAAAGCGACGCACGGGACACGCAAGGGGGGCTTGCGTCTGCGTCGCTCTGAAAACGCAGAAGCATAAACTAGGCTTAAGACGTCGTCGGTATGCCAGTAGTTTTGCAGATTTTGAACAGCAGGTGGCACTGTTGTATTTTTTTTAATCCATTTTTTTCATGTTAGGCCAGTTTTAGTGACCACAATTACACTAAAGTGGATTAGAGCCTCTCCCTCTATCGTGTTGTGAATATGAGCCATAGCAGCACTTCCGGTGTTTTAATTATGTACATACGCTGTTAACCATTTGTTTTTCTTATCTGTGTCCCGTCTCTCACCAGGAGCTCGTCTCAGACACCAATCAGCACGTAAAGTCGGCTCTCGCCTCCGTCATCATGGGCCTTTCTACCATCCTGGGAAAGGACAACACAATAGAGCACTTGCTGCCTCTCTTCTTGGCTCAGCTCAAGGACGAGGTAAAGGGAACGAAGACCCATCGTCGCCACACTCAATTTCTCTCTCCCGTTGTGCACATCTGGCTCATGGCAGAGCTTAGCTTGCTACTAGCCTGACTTTTCAAACTTTCAGTGTTTCCCCTTGATTTACAACTTCAGGGAGTCGGGTAGTAGTTGGGCAAACGGAAGCCACTTAGTTGCAGCTACCAGATGTAGGGGATTGGAGAGTGAGCCAGATGGCTTAAAATAAGAGGAGCCCGTCTAGAGGGAGGCATAAACACGCTGCAATTACATACGACATGGCACGGCGCATTTTGATTGAATGTATGTTAAGTGCCACGTCTCTGTATTTAGTGGTTTGTCGTGCTAGTTATGTAGCACATTTAAGTATAGTTTTGTCATTAAGTTGGAGATGTATCCTCTCGTCAGTCTGTCTGATTTGCCTTTTGTTATTTTAGTATTGGACACACCTTGTGAAACAATTTTTGTTTTCTTTTCTCCGAGCCGGTACAATTTGTTTTGAGAAACGGCGTAAAGCTTGAATGGGGACTGGACAAAGGCATTCGTCAGCTAACGTAACAGGTTCCTCAAGAACTCTAATGGCTTCTTGTGCTATGAAACTAGGTTGCATATTCAGATTAGACAGGTTTGACAGGTTAGACTGTGTACCTGTGTTTTGTGAGGTTTGCGGCTGTCATTTTTGCCGTTGCTTTTCTCCACAGTCCTATTTAAAGATGGCCCCGTTTCCTCGCAGCACAAACGAAAGCCTAACGCTGTCTAATTAGAGTTATGCACAAAACGACAGCTTTGACTAGCAAATTTGAACAACTCAAGGTGATGAGAACAGTTTAAAGGGAGCACCGTGGAGAATGTTGAGCAGATGTGACATTTTATTTATAAACTGAATAATTTCTATGTTCCCACTTGGTTAACAGGCCTGAGTGAGATGGTTCAATCTCTGTGCCGTTAAGGGCTTCCATTTTGTTTTGGGATATGTGGAGGAAAGCTTTAGTTTATCTATTCCAGTTCATATCCTGTCCCAAGTATTAACTATAGCTAATCATATTTAACTCTTCTATATCTAAACATGGGTGACCTTGTTAAGAACTACGTAGCCATCTATTTGGTTTACTGTGACTTAAGTATCTGTAGACAATAAATGTACCGTATGAGATAATAGAAACGTCTGTTAGCTCAAAATACTTTGATTTGTTATGAGATGAGGGCTCCTGATACTTCATAATCAAGTTAATAAGGCAGGTGCTACTGTGATCTTGGCTTAAATAAAAAAAAAAATTGATTTTACAGAAAGCCATACCTTGTTTCTCTTAATATACATGCCCCCAAGATGCATAATGTGTCCTTCCCTTTTCTGTCCTAGTGCCCCGAGGTGCGCCTCAACATCATCTCCAACCTAGACTGTGTGAACGAGGTGATTGGCATCCGTCAGCTCTCCCAGTCTCTGCTGCCCGCCATCGTGGAGCTGGCGGAGGACGCAAAGTGGAGGGTTCGCCTCGCCATCATCGAGTACATGCCTCTGTTGGCAGGCCAGCTGGTGAGTCATCGGCTCCATCAACTCGTATGGCGCTTTGACAGTCTTCTAGCTTGCACCCAGCACAAAACCAGAAATCATGACAATTTGCTGCCACGTCGGGCCCATTGGACTGTAGACGTCCAGGAAAGCAAACCTGATTACAACGTGTCCATGTTTCTCTCAGGGAGTAGAGTTCTTTGACGAGAAGCTCAACACCCTCTGTATGGCCTGGCTCATAGACCACGGTAAGGAACTTCTGAGTATAAACCTACTGTTTTGTGGGGTGACACGGTGGTTGCTTAGATGGAGTCTGGCATACACATTATTTATATTCAGATTTTTTTTCCCACATATTATTATTATTATTATTATACATGGTATTTATGTTCTTACAAATGAATACCCCCCCCCGTAAACCTCTAAACTTCCTGGGGAAAGAACCCCTTTGCTTTGATATAAGAATGTTGATTTCTAACAGGACTTGGTATAAATCCCAACATTGCCACTCTTTTGGAAAAGTTTCTGCATCAGTTTGCTTGAGGTTCTTCTTTTAAACTATTGGCTATATTCAGATCAGTGTACCTGTTGACTTCACTTGCAGCAGATTTTGTTTCTGTACATTACTCGGGGTCTTGAATTTTGCGCGCACACACACACACACACACACACACACACAGCATTCCAATGATGTAGCCCAGTTGGCCCTGTGTGTGTTTTGTTGGGCTGCCTGGGTTCAGACTTACATAATCCCCTTCAAAGAAAAACAGTACAAGAGAAATCTGCCCGGAATCTTTTACTCGCTGACTCAAAGGGATCTTTTAGTAATTTTAACATTTCACATACACACGTTGATTTCGGAACAGTTCACTACTATGTACATAATATTTTTGTCAGTGTATTCAAAGATCTGTCTACATAAAGTCTGTGTAATTAAAGTATATCCAGGAAAGCCTTTGACAAAGTCTCTCTGTCGTGTTGTAGTGTACGCCATCCGTGAGGCGGCCACCTGTAACCTGATGAAGCTGGTGGAGAAGTTTGGAGCCGAGTGGGCGCAGAACACCATCGTGCCCAAAGTCCTGGGCATGGCCAACGACCCCAATTACCTCCACAGAATGACCACTCTGTTCTGCATCAACGTGAGTCTGCCTTTAACTGGCCACCATCTTTAAGTCCTTTGGACCATTTCATCAGTGTCTAAAACGCTTATTTTGTAGTTTTTAATAAAACTTTGTAAACGGGGTTTCCTGCTGGTGACCGTCTGTATTGTGTGTCTCAGGCTCTGTCCGAGGCGTGTGGCCAGGACATCACCACCAAGCAGATGCTGCCAGTGGTCCTCAAGATGTCCAACGACCAGGTGGCTAACGTACGCTTCAACGTGGCCAAATCCCTACAGAAGATCGGCCCCGTGCTCGACAGCAAGTATGTTGTCTGTGTGCTTCTGCCATCTGATGGTTTCTCTCCACAGTGAAATGCATTCTGGTATTGTACTAAAATGTGTCTGTTTAGTCATTCTCCTCCTGTTCGTCCTGCAGTGCCCTTCAAACAGAGGTGAAGCCCGTGCTGGAGAAGCTCGCCACAGACACCGACATGGACGTCAAGTACTTTGCCCAGGAGGCTATCAGTGGTACGCGCTTCACTCTTGCGTCATTGCACATTTCAACAAAGTCTGACTTGCCGTTTTAAACCTATTTGTAAGAAATGCTCTTTGTTGTTTCCTCTTAAACACAGTTCTGGCCCTCGCATAACCGACCCAACGCGGACAAAGCAGACAACCACCCAAGACGGCAACGCAAACACTTTCACAAGATATTTATTGATGTTCAGAAACAACTGGTAAATGTATAGAGAAAACTTAACAATAGTTTTTACCCATCTGTCTTTAGTTCTGTCCAGTAACCAAGTCCTCCCCCGGCACAGGCATCTTTGTTAACCTTTGCTGTTAATTGGTAAAGTGTGATGAAATAGCATTAGGTGGTGCATGGTGACCGGATTGCTATCCAGAGCCCCTCATCTCATTCCTCCCCTTTATGTCCTCTACCACTGGGGGGGTGAGGGGCTTCCGCCCCAGTTATAGCAGCTCACCACATGTCTGTTTGCTAGCTAGCGCCCCGTACTGCTGCGATTTCTCTCGATGCTAGGTGCAAAATCTAAATAGCAGATGGTGGAGCGGGCGGTTTGTTTAGCCCAGAAAGTTGTCTTTTCTCTGAGATGCTGAAAGGTCTGAGCAGGTCTACTCTGCTTTTTCCTCTTCGGCCAGACCAAACCTGTTTCTTAAATGGTTCTCAGGATTGTCCTGTAGAGCGAAATAACGAGGCGTCCATTACTGCATGTAATCTGAGGAATGATTGCATGTGCTAATCGATCTCCCAACTCGCATCCTCCAGACTTTTTGGGAAGTCAAACCAAGGAATAAACTCTGCACACTGTAATGAGCCCTTTCCACAGCAGCCACTTAGATGTGTCCTAGCAAGGTGAACACAGGTGTAATAGATTCTGGTCTCATTCTATTCCGTTTCAGTTATTCCAGGGTGACAGCCTCCCTAGACGGGGCACCTTAAAAGTAGCATAGCCTACAGTCACCTTAGAAATGACACCTGATTAGCCTGCAGCTGTGAAACGGGCCTATGGGGACCAGCCACGTCATCAAGTGTTGCTCGTTATTATCCCTCCAGATCCGCGTGCTAGGGTGGGAATTAGTTGTCAGTTTTGATTTTCTTCACTATGTCCTCTGCGTTGCTCTTAATCTTTGTGCCAATATGACTTTGATAAGCCGCTGGGGTTCCTGTAATACGCCGTGCTAATTCGTATTCACCGCTCCTTTTCAGTGAAGAGACCATGTTCTTTTTGTTAAAGGGACGCATTGTTCCTCGGCCGTTAATGGGGCCGTAAAATTAAGTAGACCAGCTCTGAGGGCCGCGGACGTCTTCCTGTCCGACAGCTGTCAAGGGTCCCCTTAAATCCACCTCAGGCCTCCACTGGGAATGAGATTTGGGAGCAGAAGGTCGGCGACTAAACGGCCACCTGAGGACTCTTCCAAATCTGTACACGATGGAGAACAAATGCATGTGTTAAAGGAAGTGGGATCGGGGTCTACATGTTTTACTTTGGGTTGCTTGTGGGCCGGTTGAATAAATGTATCTTCTGTGTTGATAAAATAAACTTGTCTTTCCCTGAACAACTCCTGCTGTTTGCCTCCCCTCCCCATTTTGTTCTTGAATAAACCTCTTGATTATTTGTCATGCATCGCAAAGATTGTTTTTATTTTGAAATCTCTCGACAATTGGTATTCTGTACTACTGTATCTTTAAAGATCTGAATAAAGTAACAAAGGAACCAGTTTCACTGTTTTCTTAAACCCTGTTAGTACATGGAGGGTTCTTGTTGCCAAACGCAGCAGATCATCAAAACAATTATGAATTTACTTCAGTAACTTTGAAAGGATTTTTTGGTTTTTCACTTTATTTACCAACAATTTAATCAATTTTAGCGCATCATGCAATGTGCTACACTATTACAATAGTTTAACTAATGGGAATGCTATACAATGTATAGTAAAAGAAAAATCAATCATTTACTTTGAAAGACGATACCTTGACCTTTACATTATTTACTAGGGTTTCTTAAAATACATGTTTTTCAACGTACTATATATTCACTTTTTTATCTTCATTTTGATACACTAACCTTTTTGGACATACTAAAATGTTACTTTTTTCACTCACTCATTTTTAGGATGATTTTGACATTTATTTGCATTAGTACAAACTATTTTTCCAATAACTAAACTAGGACCTTATTAAGATACTATACAATTACCTTTCCTTCATTCTATACAATGACTTATGACTAAACTGATCCATCATGGCTTTACTGTTCAACTTTTTATGTTCTATTGCAACTGACTGCATTTCTTTTAACTGTGTTTTTTCGAACTTCTATTAAGTGTTAATTGGTCTGCTTTGTAAAAATACCCCTTTTATCCGCTTATATCTCCTCAGCCTCTAAACTACTCAAGAAAATCTGGGATTAATTTCCCCGTCTTGGTGGTCTCGCGTTTGCTCCGCTCTAACCCGGTCGACGGCTGCTGCTGTGGGGATAAAAGCGCTGGTCCTTTGGGCCGGTTCATCCACAGGGAACCACGCAGAGCGAGGCGGGATCCGCAGCTGTCACCTGCCCCGACCCCGACTACTGCTGGGGGAGGAACGCTGCAAAATATGGGCTAGGCCCGAGATAGAACATTTCTCTCTTTCAACCTCAATGTATGAAAAAACAAGTTCACGTCTTAGTTCTTAGAGACTCACAGCAAATATGAAATGGAGCCGTACAACACGCACAACACAGATGTTAATTACAAATCACATGGCAGAGATCAACTTAAATCTGCCTTCACCCCTCCTGTGAGCTATGTGCCCCCCCCCCACTTGCCCTTTTGACTATACAGTATATGCACCTCACAGGCAGAGCACATTTTATGCACGTGTACTGTAAAGCAGAGAATTAATGAGGCTACAAGTAGGAAAAAGAGTTCTGAAACCTGAGACTGATAATCAAACAATACCCTTTTCAATACTACGCAAGTTATGCTTTCATTACATGCCAAAGCTTCGAAGACAAATATTTTTACACCAAAAAAATCTTCATTAAAACACAATAACTTGAGGGTGAGGGCTAATCCGCCCCCCCTCCTAAATCCACGCGAGTTCACGAGGCCCTAAGGAACCAGCAGCGAGCCGTTTCCTTTTATTTAGATGCTGTTATTTGGGGGGATTTTCAGCAGCCAGAGCGCTGAGAGCACTGACGTCAATGCAGCTGCCTCCCAGGACTGTGTCATTTATAATGAAAGGAGTCGAGCAAAGCCCCCACGCAGCACGTGCGCACACACACACACACACACACACATCTGCACAGGCAGACGCACCGAGCAGCATAGTGAGGTCAGACGCTCTCAAGGTGAAAAATGACAAACGCCGGTCATGGCCCGCACATCTTCCTTGAGTCACCTTGTAACTTGCTCTCTTTATTCTGTCATATTTTAATGATGCAGCAGAGAGTTAGAAAACGTGCAAAAATCATCCATCAAATTGGAGCAACCATGATTGCTCAAGTGAGTGTCTCTTGGCTTTGCTGGCACATCAAGCCTCCGAGCCTGCGCGAGCATATTTTTTTCCAGGCACTACTGGGAAATCTGTGTTGGGATTTTGGACTCCCTCCATCTGCTGGCCAGCGCGTGTTTCGGGGAGTGTACACGGAGACACAAGACGGACGGATAAATGAGGGACAAATACCCTATGACGGGAAGCTGATTTCATATAAGAAAACGAGCTGCAAAGCTTTAGCATTTTAGCCTGTATGCTGCACGAGGCTTTGCAAAGTTGTTGTTTTTTGTATGGTGAATACCACAGAAAAGGCCCAGCTTTTGCTTTTGTCTCAACACTTAAAAAAAAAAAAAAAAAAAATCAATTTACTTATTTTGTCTGCAGCTCTAATCCTGAACAGTGATGTGATCTCCTGCTCTAAAAAAACGCAGTAGGATGTTGTCATCCACCCTCCTCTTGTTGTCATGGCAACCATTGATGTCATCACAGCATACGTTTGCCTGATGAGTGAATAGGCCTCTCATATTGTGATATTTCACTGCTTTTTTTCTTGTATCGGCTGTCTCATCCTCCCCTAAGAGTCTGTGACAGACAGCTGAAGGTCTCCACGGCAGACAATGACACTCAACATACTATAAATAACTACGTATGACTGGAAAATGCTGTTGTCTCTTTTCAGGGAAATATGCTGCTCTGTGGCATTTTTCAAATACAGAGTGTGTCCACATTGGAAAATGTGAAGCTCGGTCGAGAAATCCGATCAGTTCGAGTATGATCCATTCAGAAATATCTGTTTGGATCATGAGTACCTAACAAGGTGTTGTAATATAGTCTGATTCAGGAGAGACCTCGGCTTCTTAGAACCCCCCCCCCAACCTCCCTCTGGGGGTGTACTGGGATTAGCTGTTCTCTGTCCGAGGGGGTTGATTGGATTTCCGTGTTCTTTCTGCGTGACCCTTTTCCTGCAGCGGGGACAAACCTCTGAAACGATACCGCAGGAGTTCCTTTATTCTCTCCTAGCACGTCTTGCTCTACAGTCTGCTGACTTTTCCTCAGATGTGAAGCTGCGGTCAACCAATCACAGCGTGGCAAGGGACAGGCCCCCTTTTTAATAAAAAACACGTTTCAGTTTCATGTAGCCAAATAGATAAATAGACAGCCGATTGCCGTAGAAATGAACTAAATGATGTCAGGTCGGTGATCTAAGACGCCGGTCAGAGCCACTTATCAGTTGGGATGAATAATTCAGTCCTTCATTCCGTAAACATGAAGAGTTCTTCCAAAGTGCAGCTGCAGATCCCAACTGGTTGCACAGCGGAAAGCATTGCTTTGTGATTGACGTGTGCATGCAACACTTTTTGTACTTAATCACAGAAAAGGGGCATTACACCCAAATAACAAAACCCTGTTTTTTAAATACAAACTGTACATTTTTACTGACATATGATTTATAACAGCATCCAATACTAAAATTATCATGGATGTGTGTGTGTGACACCAGGCAGGTTGGGAAAATCACCTTTAATTGATTGACGTGATGCACTTGCAGTCTAGACGGGGGATTAGCCAATTGTATTCATTCAATCACACAATACAGCAGAGCGCTGTGAGAACACACCTGTGGGGAGTTCATCTTTTGAGTCATTTTTAAGGACTTTGTATGTTATACTATGAATACAATTTGACTGATTGGTTTTACAGCAAACTATTCTATTAAATGTCTCATTATTTTCATGGCATTTAGCATAAACTTCATAGTTTTTTTCTTCTTGCATACATGGCATTTTATCTTTTCTTTTGGCAAAGCATACAATGGCAGTTTTATTGTACAGTACACTATTTCATTTTTAAATTTCTTCCACAGTACAATAAAGAAGGCATGCTCTTCCATACGGTATTATAACATTTGATATGTAAACTCAATTATACAGTTATTGATTTCATACATTAGTATGACCATTCTCATATACTATGAGCCTGTATCGACCCTTCTCTGTCCATATTGTACTACGATATCCATTCATTTATTAACCCTGTCAACAAAATTAGTCAGTAATCAAAGTCTAGCTTTAGAAAAATAGAAATATTGAGGTTGAGAATTCAACGGAAGCAGACCTGGAGCTCGATGGAGCGCCTTGGGAGCTTTGAGTTCTGGTATGACTCAACAGTTTATATGAAGCACTTGGTGAAGATTCATTTTTCCAGGTCATTAACCCCCCCGCCTGCACCCAGCCGCCTCGGGCCGCTGTGAGGCGGCTGCAGCTTGTAGTTACAGCGCCATCGGATTACGTGAGGAAGACGGTCAGCGAGCGCGGCAGAAAATACTCCTTAACCGTGTTTCTATAATCAGGACGAACACAAGAGGCGACATGTGAAAGTACCGTGAAAACACGCTGACAACTTATGTGACACACGAAAGAAAACAACCACCCAAAAGTATTATGTTCAATAAACCTTTTTTAATCTCAACAGCAAGTTAGCTTATGTGTGGTCAACATCAATGAAGGTAAATATAAAAGTGGATTTCTATTGATGGATCGATGTTTTGTTTTATCAGCAGGAGGTGAAATGATCATACTTGGAAACACGTCCACTAGAATCTTCATGACTTTAGTCTTCAACTAGAGAAATATTGCTATAATACTTTTAAATGGCATACACTGATTGACCAAGAAGAAGAAAAAAAAGCACTGTAGAGAAGCTGACAAAGAAGCTCCAAAACTCCACACGGTGGGTCGTACAGGGAAACTTCTGAGGGACTTTGGTTTTGTACCTTTGTGAAACCCGGCTCTACTTATTCAAAACAAAGACAAATAAGAAAAAAAGGGCTTCAACAGAACTGATAGTGCCATTGAAAATCTTAATTTAGATGGAAAATACGGAAAAGTAAAAAGGCACACTGAACAATTTTTCACGTTGCACACAAAGTTCACCTCGGTGCACCGAAGATTCACTACGCCACGAATTTGTACAAAGAACGGCTGTCGCGAACTGACAAGTGTTCCTCCACCTTGAATCACAACCAGATAAAGTATTATTGTGTCTGGTCTTTCTTTGAAAGAAATTGGTTTCGTGTCATTATTGGTCGAGCGAGGAGAAGAAGAGAGTTTCCCGCAGACTTCGGTTTCCTTCTTCCTGCCCGGAAATGACGGCGTGAAACTCCTCTTCCTCCTCCTCTTCCTCGTTGTCAAAGTGCTCCACTAAACAACCTCCGCAGACCAAACTGTAGCTGTTCCAGCCATCGACAAAAACAAAAGCAAATAATCATTCAAATATTCACTTAAAGGCTGAATCCACCCTGTGACTCCGTCACGTATGACGCTCCTTCAGCTCCTTCTCTTTCTGAAAGGACATTTTCAACACCACCCACAAACTGGGCCAGAGCTGGTTGCTTTCAATAAACTGTGGCTGTATGACTAAAGCGATTAATCATTTGAAGCTTTGGTCTGTTATTATTATTAGTACGTCCTTGTGACTGATCACAGTTAAAAGTGGAGCTGACTGAGCATTTGAATCACGGGGGTTTGTCGATCGATGCGTCACCGTGACGTCATAATGGTTATTAACCCTAAAAATCAGAAATAGATTCAAAACATTGCCAACGGTGTTGATCTGCTGGAGAGCTGACGCAGGAAGACTCTTCAGCAGTGAATCAGATGTTTATTTATTTGAAAAACCTAAAGAAGCCTCAGTGCGATTGTGTCTCAGGGTGGATATTTGCTTTCAGTCACACGACTAAACAACCAACGTCGGTTGGCCGATGGTCCCCGTCCGTCGAGCTCCTCGTACAGCACTCTGACGTCCTGTTCCGATGAAGATGCACCCGCGCGCTTCAAGTGGGTTAAACAGTCCAAGTGCCGTTTCAAAAAGAGAAAAGAGACCGCTCGTCTTTTTCACCTGTCTGTCAAAGCGCGGCGGTGACCGTGTAGTCAAAATCCAGTGTCACGTGACTCACATTCTGTTGTTCTTCGCCTCGCGGCCACCGATGTCCGTGAGAAAAACAAAAGCAAAACATTCCTTCATGAAGTGACATGCCGGAATCGTTGCAGGGGGGAATCGCACTCTCATAAACATGATCCATCTAGAACACACAGTCATGACTGGAGCCCTGAGGATGTAAACCAGGATCATTCTAAAAAGCTATCGCTGTGCATTTAGAGGGGAAAGCACAGCTTGTTTTATTTTGAACTGAGATGACAAAACAGTGTTTGTCTTTTTCCGACAAACGATTTCACGAATGCAGAAGAGTTGCAGTTTGGATTGTGCAAACATTCTCTCTCTCCCTCTCGCTCTCACCCTGAATTTCTAGGGCGAGTGAGGCGGAGATTATGATCTGGTTACATAATCAGCTCAAGTGATGTCACTGCTGACGACTCGGGTCCCCGGGAACCAATCAGAATGGGGATGTACAGGTGAGGCTTCCATCCATAAACCCCCAACATTAAGGATTAATATTGCTTCAGTATTTCCACGAAAATAGAACAATATGTACAGTCTAAAACAGCACAACTTCCTAACCAAACACACGTTAATTACATCAGCCCTCGTTTATCAGGCAAACGCACAATTCAACTGTTAAATCGTCGTGAGGCCTCTCGCCACCTAGCAAGCGCGTGTGGACGGAAAAGAGCGGTTCAGTAGTGTGAGAGAAAAAAAAATAATCAGGATCAGTAGTTACAATAAAATAATAAAAATAAAAGCCTATTGTTTTTGTCCCATGGCCGACACAAAAGCCTGCAGATATGCAAGTGTTTATATATTATTTTCATTCATCAATTAACTTGACTTGGGTAGCGTTTAGCAAAAAAAGCACAGGCTCAACGACATGGCGCTTCAATCTGCATTGTGAAACAAAATTTACCTGTTGTACTGTATATGTTAGTGTTGAAATGTCGAAAATATTGCCATCACTTTAAACTATATATAACCACATAACATTTCTGTAAAATCGGCCAAAACACCTTTAACACTTGAATTGGCGATGATGGTACCGTGATGAATCAGGGCGATTTTTCTGTTGTTTTATCTACTGAAATTTAGTTTTTTGAGAACAAGTCTATTAATGTAGATGGTGTCCTATTTTAAATACAAAAAAACACCGACAGCCATTGTCCTCACGGCTGTTTGACAGTCAGTCCTAAATGAGTCCACTTCTGAACCCCTGCTTGGTGCGGGGCAGCACCTCGCCGAGCTGCACGGCCCGCCCTCCCCGCTGGGACAAAGTTAGTACGGCGAGCTCGCCTTGTGCATCGGACCGCTTCCTGCCTCACAGAGCCGACGAGAACAAGTGCAGAGGAGATGAGGCGGAAAAGGAAGAGGACTAAGGGAGGATCGTGCTAGAAAGGTCGTCTGAGATTCTTCACAGCTAAGAAATGAAGTTTGTTTTAGTCACACAGAAATGAACACCTTTCCCTACGCGTTGCTACGCTTGTGGCCTCGGCTCACATCCACTCTTAGTGCCGTGTGGCTTCTCATTGCTTAATACAGCTTTCTGTCACGCCCCTTCGGCTGGCTTCAGTTGACCAGTACGAAGCCGTGCTGGGAGTCCACGGTCTCCATCATCTCGCTGTCCAGGAGAGAGCCCTGCAGCTCGGGCAGGCCCAGGCTGTCCGACTGGCCCGGGCACGCCAGCATCCTGGCCACGGCCTCTCCCGGCGCGGGCGGGCGCAACAAGGCGGGGTCCAGTTGGAATTCGTACCGCTCCTGGTGAACACCCTCGCCGAAGGGCCCCATGGCGTGCTGCTCACAGCCCACGGGGAAGCTGAAGCCCAGGCTGCCGGCAGAGGCTCCGTGGGGCAGAGGGTGGGGGAGCTGGTGGTGGAGGTGAGATCCAGGAGGCGGGTGTTGGGCGTAGTGGTGGTGACCCGTGTAGGGATCATAAACGAGGCCCTCGTCCGGTTCCATCAAGGGGCTCAGGCTATGGGGGTGGCTGAAGGGAGGCGAGGCCTGAGGGCCGCCTTGCTGCTGGGGCTGGTGGGCCGCTGACATGGGGGGGCCGTGAGGGGAACCCTGAGATGCCGCCGGGTCCAGAGCAGCGCCTCCTGTGGTGTAGGATCCCTCAGCTATTTGCATCTGGTTGAAGTACACCTGCAGCCCCATGCCTTGAGTCTGCTGCAGGTACATCCGCTTCTGGTTCAGTCTGTGATCAAGACAACACTTGGAATCAACACAAGGAAGACAAACGAAAAGCTTGCAAAAAAGATTTAAGGAGGATTTTTGTTTCTGTATCATTGTTGTCAGTTTGCCAGCATTAAGCTTCCTACACAGCTACATCCGAGAATAACAGCAACAAAAATATGGTGTAAAGCTGGATGAGATAGACACAGCTGCACAGACACAAAAACTCTTGAACTGATATAGTTTCTTTGATGAAGGAGTAGAGCTTTGACAGCTGATACCAACCGCTAGCCAAGGGGCAAGAACTGTGAAAACTAGCTAACGTGGAAGTGCCACAAACGGCGGTTCTTCAAATGTTGACTTGAGTCCGGCCCCAGAGGAGAGTCAATCTTTTTGACCCGTTTGTCCAAATATACAGCAGAAAAAAACAAACATATTTACTTGTACAAAAAAGGTTTTGGTCTATTGTCTAATGTTCATGTTCACATTAACTGTACAGGGGATGAATGTTTTAAATAGCTCATCTTAAAGACTTGTAAAGAAAAGTTAAGTGTAGCTCTGGCACAGACTGTAGTTTCATTCTAGGGTGTTTAAAGATCAGTCCGGTCAGTAGATTGAAATCTATAACTAACTCTTTTTATTTGCATTAAGCCGATGTTGTTTTGCTCTGAATACAATCTTTCAGCAGCTAAATGAACACAGGAGAAAGGACTAAAGGAAATGTGTGGCGCAGACGTGTATAGTGTTATTTACCTCTGTTCCTGCAGCTGTTGCTCTAAACTTCGAGTGTCCTTACAGAAAAGTTGGCAGCTAGCCGGACTGTTTGCTAAGACGTTGGCCTTTGGGGCGAAAGAGAGATTGGGACTGATGACTGTGTTCAGGATAATTACCGTCGTGACAATGACTACAAACCGTTTCATTATTGGTGCAGCGCAGCAGATCCCACTGCAATTTAATTCCATAATGATATCACGGAGTGAAGTCGGTGTGGGAGTGTACCTGTAGTCGATGAGTGAGGTACTGTGTCTCTAAACTCTGTCTGCGGGACAGCAGAGGCGGGTGCGGCCCACCTTGGTACAAAGCTAGGCCCTCCTGCTGCTGCTGCTTGGACGCCTCGCCCTTCAATCACAAACATAAAGCATTAGAGCAAGTGTTGTTAATGCTCATGTACACACATGCATGTGGACCCACTTATCCCGGATCCCCTCTCCGGTGGGCTAATAAAGTTGTGTCAGGGTCTGGGTGCTTCAGCATGGGGGTCTAACTCGATTATCAATGATGCCTCTTGCCCAAATGCCTGGGTGGTGACAGCCAGATGCCTTTCTCTAAATGGCATTTACCACAGGGATTACATAGTAGTTAAATGAAATGAAAGCAAATTAAAAGGATGATGGGCCAGATCATCATAACCAGAAGAGCTGCATTATTGCATTATGATGGATGGACAAAGGGGAAACCAATAGAGACGGTGTGCTTCAACCATTGGTTTAGTGTTTTTTTACAGGAAAGCCTAGAAATATTTCATCAAAAGGTTCCCCTCACAGTGTGCCTTTGTGCATCATGTTGTCTATATTTGTGCCTGTCTTTGTGTGTGATTTCTGCCTGGGCCTATTGAGTGGCAGTCACTACTATGGGTCAGTCTGACCGACTTCAACAATGGCTGCATTCACTTTGTCCGAGGCTCTGGGCTGCACGGGGACGGGAGACGGTAAACAAGCCACAGTTGGCTGCCTCTCTCTGGGTTATACAACAACCTGGGTGCGATTTTATTTTTTATTTTATCTTCTGGGCCACACGGTGTGACGATGCAGACTGATAACAGGCTTGGGAAGAGAAGGATTTTGAACGAAGGAAAGGTTTGTGCTTTTGTGTGGTAATGCAGGAAGACTGACCTCCAGGAGGTTGTGCAAGTGTTGCTGTGGTCCCAGGGGGCCCATGGAGGCCCCTTCCCCAGATCCCATCTGCTCCACCAGCATCTGGACTTTGTTTAGCTCCAGGATGCCTTTGGTCCTCGCCAAGTTCTGGAGGTGCTGCCTAAAGGCAACTAGACCTACGAGCATAAGCAAATCCCCACAACACATTCAGTTTGGATTATTTTAGCTGATCAATAAAAATCGCCTCTCACTTCGTAATAGGATATACTCCGCTCTGTCCTCTCAGGGGGTCAGACTTAATCCTCACGGACGTCAGCAGACTGTCGGAGCGGTTAGCACTACTGAGATGTACGTCATGGGCAACTGTGGATGCGTTTCTTTGTGTTTCTGTGCGCACATGTGACAGGTCTTGGTGTGCGTGCAACAGCAAATAGCTCTGAAAAGACCCATCCAGTGCCGATAGGACCTGACTCACCGTGACGGAGAGAGTTATTTAAAACCAGTCAGCAGTCTGACGCAAAAAGAATCCACTGCATCAACACTCTCAACAGAGGATTACGACAAATAAATAAATAACAACAAATACCAAATGGAAGTGCACAGTGCAGGTTGTCAATGTAGTGCAGGGAAGGAAACAGCTTTAGTCTCTAGTTTTAGGAAAAAAAGGGTAGATTGAAGTTGTTTATCATTCACTCTTATATTTTGGTTCCTCTTTCACTCCCATGTGAAATAAAGACAAATCCTGTCGGCCACAGACTGGAGACACAGATATATGGAAAAAGAGGTGTATATAAATAAACAAATATATATATATATATATATATATATATATATATATATATATATATATATATATATATGAGAGAAAGAGGGAGCGAGAGAGCACAAGCTCTGTGGGCTGAAACCTTCAAATATAGCTGTCTGTGATTCATAACGTGAATCATCACCGACTTAGTCGAGAGACTGGAGAGGAAAAGAGAAGGAAGGACATACATACACACTATATTTTTTTTGACAGTGCAACAGTTGGAAGGAACGGCATGATTCCCATGATATATACACCCACACACAGTATGTATGTGTACAAAGGTATGAAGGAGCAACAGGGGTGTTGCAGCTCTGTAATAACATGTGCGCATGTCTCTTTACATGACTCTTTATAAATCAAACTCTTAGTGGCTGGTCTTCAACGTGTTGGATGGGTCACATATTTAACACTAAGTGTACATACGGCTGATTGGTCATTTCAATGTTTTTCTCTCAACCCGTCTTACTTCCACTTTAGACAGAGATGTATTTATGTGTCACAGAATATTTTTTTGCAAAAGTGGAAAAGCACAAGAGGACATTTGCGTCTGCTGTGAAGCCAAATCCAGGTCAAAAGTTTTGTTCATTTGAAGTTTTTTTGTCGAACATTCAAAATAAATAAAAAAGTGGACGAAAAATATTTTCGGGATGAATATAGTTTTGACTCAGCAATATATTTTTTAGAATAAAATATTTTTTTCAATCTTCATTTATGTATATAGTTGATATTCACTGGTATATATTTTTCGGTTGCAGATTTTATATTTTCAGATTCAAAAGGTTTCACTTTTTAGACCTTTTTTTTGCGTTCGGATGATTACACGCTGCTCCCAGTTGATGCCCCGCCCCCTACGCCACATCGGGGTCAAAAGTCTGAATGTGAAAGAGAAAATATGTTTTCAAACTTTGACCTGTATTTGGCTCCATAGTCTGCCTCCGTAAAAATGACAACGTACCCCAACCCCACCGATATCTTCTGATACCCAACATCAGTACCCATGCATGTACTTCATTCTATCTAGTGTATGAATCCTAGATTATCCCATAGGACCCCGAACCATTTACAATGATCAATTAAAAAGCACTAAATCAAACCAGCAACAGAAAAACGCTGATAATAAATTATTAGGAACAAATCCATTGACATAAATCAAAAGATATACCTGTGAGTCTGCAGGGATCTCAGTTGGTATGATGAGGGTTAAATAAATTAGTTCCTCTATATTATATAAGTGTAATAAGCATGTTTTTTTCCAACCCTGTTAGGCAGTTATAAAATCAATCGCGTATGTTCAGTGATGCATCAAGCTAGAGGCGGGATGACAACAGCATGAAGCAGAGAAGGTTCAGGAGGTCAAGTGGGGGATTTAAAAAAAGCATCCAAAGCGACAAATTCATGGAAAAATAATAAGATAATAGACGAATGAACCATAGTGGTTCTGACCTTGGGTGAGAGAGGTGTCGGAGGCACGGCGTCCCTCTCTGAAGCTGACGGGGGAGCGGTTGTGCGTCTCCCTGTGCTGAGATGTCAGGACGGCCATTGCAGGGTTGGCGGGGCGAGCGCTCAGGAAAGGCGCAGGGGCAATGCCGGCGGCCGTGCTGTTGGCCGCCACCACTTCCCCAAGGGACGGGGGGTCGTCCAACAGGCCGAGGTCACTTTGCATGGAGCCCATGTCGTAGCCCATGTCCGAGTCCATGCTGCCCATGGAGGGGTTGTGGCCTATGGCGAACAATTTACCTGGAGAGGACAAAAATTGTTTTCATCAAACCGCTTCATTTTAGCATTAGCTGTAACCGTGTGTATTTGATCAGGTGGAGTCACACCTTGGTTTGAAGGCCCTGGCTGATTGGACACCTCAGAGAGGGTGTGTCGCCGCTGGCCAAACCGCGCCGTTTGATGGGCTGAGAGCAAGTGGGGCGACTCATCCTCCGTGTCGGGCTCCTCGGTCTCGATGCCCTCATCTATCGACGTCTCCATCATGTTGCTAGGCGACGAGGTGGAGGACTTGCGGAGGGCAGTGGGGGGAGGCAGTGGGTCCAGCAGACAGCCGTTGACCTGGACGAAGGGGAAGCGATAAAAAAGGCTAGAAAGAGAGATTTATGACTATATATTCAAAATTGACTGAAGAAAATGGCGACAAAACACCGTTCGAGCATCTTACAATGCATGTGCACAAAATGCGACGACCATATAGTGCACATGGACGCCATTGATTTTTCTACTTCCTCTGTTTTCCCTCAACTCACAGTTGGTCTCATGGTGGGAGTGTCATTGTGTGACGGTTACAGCGTGCAGGCCTGTGAGTGTTAGTGTGGAGGGCGGCGATGAAGGAATGCAGGGCCAGGAAGTGAGCTTTGACTAAAAAGGCGGTGTGATTGATGCGCACACACGCATGAGCGCCCACACACACACACACACACACACTCTGCATGAGTTCCCACAGTAACCGGAAAGCTGGTGTTGGTATAAAAACAGCAACTTTGCCCAATTCTCTGTCTGTTTAGTGCATGATGGAATGGTTTTAATCAACACACACACACACACACACACACAGGAAAGTTACTTTAAGAAATAGACCATGAAAAGCTGTGGGGGTCAAAGGGAAAGCAAGGTTAGAGGATAAGTGAAGAAGCTGAACAAAGAGTTAAAAGAATAGAAGAAAAATGAATGGGAAAATCTAAAAAAGACAAGTTGAGCCGTCGGGCTAATGGGCAGGAGGTCACAGGGGTGGTATCGCTCCAGCAACACAGCAGCTTCCTGTCCATGTGTGTTCACTCCGCTTCGCATTAGGTCATATCATCATCATCACAGGACCGCTTACATAACCAGTCTCCATTTACTCAGATAACGCACACTGTTCTGCTTACAACACACACACACACACACACACACACACACACACACACACATCACTCTTTAATGGAGCCTGGGGAGGGGGTGGAATGGAAAAAAGAATTATCCACGTGTGCGTCACCGTGCATGAGAGTAAGTCCGTCAACTTGGACAACTAGTGTCTGTGTTCTGTAATCGTCCGTCAGATTAAATACAGGCCTGAGGGAAAAGGTTGCTGGTTAGCACAAATGAAAAGGGTAAAAGCACTGTGTGTGTGTGTGTGTGTTTTCTAGAAGCTATGAAGGACAGGCAGCTGTTCTGTCTGATGTGAGTGTCGGCCGATTTGTTACATAAGAGAACAGGTCAGCTGCTCTGTGGCAGGTTGACAGAGCATCCCAGCTCTTGAAACTTCAAAGGAAGGAGTGCGCACGCGCGCGCGCGCACACACACGCGCACACACACACACACACACACACACACACACACAGTCAGAGGATATGCTTATCAAAGTGCATCCCTCATAGAGGGTGATTCTTGTGGTCGTACTTGCAAGCTGGAAATGGCTATAATGACCGCATTGAACAAAAAGTGGAATATGTGTGAGTGGAGCACAAAACACCCAATGCAATAGACACCCGGACACCTCAGGCTGTGTTCCCTTGTGTTGAACTCACTTTGGGTGTGTTGACATCCTCCACCAGGAAATTCTGCTCCAGGAGACATGCACTCTGGGGGAAGGTGAAGCCATCGGAGGAGGCTTGGGGCACAGCAGGGGAGCGCAGCAGACGAACACCCTGCGGGAGCAAACCCACCTGTGCTGAACCGCTGCTCGGCTGCAGGGAGGGAGAATACGGAGACTTTGACATTGCAGCCAATACTTGATAACACACTTAATAATGCAATTCCAACTAAATCTAGCCGCTGTGAATTTGCCGCTGTAGGGAGACAAAAAAGCCAGGTGAAGGAAATTAATAAAGATCGCAACGTGGTCTTGAGAAAAGACAATGTGCAATGAAAAGAAGATAATAAATAATCTAACTGGGCGGGGGATGGAGGGCACATTAGGATCAAGGCTCGCCGTAAAATACTGAGATAAAGCAGTTGAAAACACAAGCTGGATAAACGGATGAATGGGGACGTGTGTCAGTTTGTTTGTTGGTGGGCGCAGGTGTGAATAATGCCGCTTTGATCAGGGAGCCGTGGATGGTAATGTCTGGACACGCTATTCAGAAGCCCCTTGTCGCCGCGACGCCCCGCAGCTACCTTGACGACCGTCTGTTCGGCGATGGTGCTGGGCCTCCGCTGGCGAGCATCGAGCCGTTGTTCCACGGGGAAGCTGCAGCGATGGGCCTTGAGCCGCTCCACCAGCAGGTAGTAGATGGCAGCAAAGTGGTTGTAGCTTTTGTTCTGCAGAGACTGAAGTAGAACAGACAATACAAGTGGCGGTGACTTTACCCAAAAGGTATTGGCGATCACACATGCCATTGTTGACGTGTTTGATTTGTTGGTTAAATAATTGTTAAAATATGCTGAGAATATACTTATTTTCCTTCTCTGTGTGTACTAAAAGAAAAGACCGCACATAGAATGTAATACATACAAATGATGGTCCCACTGACACAGAAATACTGTTTAGAGAAGGGGTCAATTTATTTGAATATATCGTCCTATGTGTATATTTTTACTGTATATAACAATTTCACCTATTTACCAGGGCCCCCATCAAATATATAGCATGTGGTTCATATCGAACACATTTAAAATGATGAAACAAGCATCTCAAAGATGCAGATAACTGTTGTATGTTGTGTGTATGACCTCCATCTACAAAGTATAGCTGTAAAAATGTAGTAAAATTAACGATATTTTCCCTTAAAATATAGCAAGTAGTCATGTAAAAGTGAGATAGAATGAGCTGAAATTTGAACTTGACACAACTTCTTTCCTCCACTGGCTGCTCTAGTGAAGAAGGACCTTATTCCGCACATTTCTATCCTTCACAGATCTGCCATAATTGTTGTTGTGACGCATACAGTACAACCATTATCTTTGCTCTGACCTTCAAATCTCCCCCCTGCGTAACCCTGTTGAATAAATAAAGCCGGCTAAGTCCACACCTCTATAGTCTTGTTCTGGTCGATGCCGAGGCTGTGCATCAGGCGAAGGACCTGCTCGCTGTACTCCCCCACACGCGCCTCGCCCTCAGCGGGAAGAGGCTGCTGGTACAGGACGGGCCTCTGAACGGGGGCGTACAGGGCCATCCACTTGTGCTCCTTGATCTGGGCCACAGACAGACGCTTTGATGGGTCCAGCACCAACATCCTGCGGATCAGGTGCTCACAGTCTGCGAGGGGCGGGAGAGGACAATCACAGGAGGATGTGAAGAGGGTTTCACAGCCTTTCATGTTTTAGATCACCACTTATTTGGTAGAGGAAGAGATTGCTGGCGTTCGATAACGCAGTGCACTTCTTGTATAAGCTGTGATGTCGCAATTGAGTCATAAAGCATCGTTACCAGGTCAGTCGGGCAGAAATAACACTTTAAATCGGCTGTATTCTTCTCTGCGTTTCTTCTGCCGCTGATTCTTAGCATCGCATCTACTCTTTTTTTTTTCCCCCTTTCCTCCCCACCTAATGAGAGCTCATCGCCTCTAGTTTGTGTCTAGATGGGTTTGACGTCAAGACACAGCTGGGTTCTTAACAGGATTATAGTTCCCCTGGCTGTGCCTCTCAGGCCTGCATGCACCGCTACTGCCTGCACCGCATTCCTGCCCACCACACAGCATCTTTCCCCACATACCCTGCTGCTGCAGTCTCACAGCAACACAGGTGGGTATTGAACAAAAATAGGTCCTGCAGTCGGTGATTTTTTTTACTTGATATAAAATACTTTTCAAATTGAAATATGTAACCTCTACTACGAGTCTTCATTCAGATTGAAAAAGAGACCATGCAATTCAAGTGTCCAGAGTAGTTTCCTTTTTTAAATACATTTTATAACTGAATCATCAAGTTTCCTTTAGATTTAAGGAGTTGACGCTTTAAGCTCACAACAACACACCTGAAAAGGTCAGTCATTTATAATAAATGTGGTTACATTTTTAGAACCAACAAAAGGTTGTCTACACTCATCGGTAACCTTTAGCCCATCACCCCTCCTTATCGTCATGCTCAATTAACTTAGACATCCTGTCTTGTACCACAGAATAATGCGAGAGAGAGCGGTTCATAATGCAAGTTGTCATGTAATAGATTCATCAGAAACTATTCCTTTAATTAAATTGGGTCAAGTCATCTGAGAAAAGTTCCGATGCTCTGATTACAGCAATTTATTGAATATACAATTATTTTCTGGTTCTGTAGCCCTTTGGGACAGTAGGCTGTATGGCTTCGGGAGACAACGTTATATTTGATTTTCCACTTTTTTTTAAATGTAGACTACTACTACGACGACAAATGATGTATTCATTGAGGAAAATCTTCACCAGATTAATCATGAAAGAAAGTCCATTGACATGACCGCCAACAGAACCTCTGCTTCATATTCTCCCCAGCTTCCCCGCCGATCTCTTAAAAGTCTAATATATCACAATTCTTCTTCCTCCTGCCGGGCAGTTCAGCCAAACAGCTTCTCTGCCCATGATGTAAAACAAAGTTGAATCCTCTTTTGCTTAATGCTGCGGCATCTCCGCAGATTGGCCAACCACCAGGTTACAACATGCTTCAAATACAGTGCAATAAGTTTGACGCAGAAGTGACACAAGCCACGTTGCTAAAGCCATGTTTATAGCAACAGTTGAAGCTGAACACATTTTTCAAATCCATTAACCGCCAGGGAAAGTTGGACTATGTAAAAGTGCAAAACCATCCAGCCGGCCGGCTGGCCAGCTGATTGATTGACACACTGTTCTTAGCCAGTACATTACACCATCATGACTTAACCACAAAAGCATCCCAGTTAACACTTGGTGGCAATGTGCCACTGGTGTAGAGTTGCACCAAGTCCCCCAATGAAGGAGAGCAGCACTGTTGCAGGAAGTAGGAGAGCAGTTAGAGGGTCATGGCTGCGGCTGACTTGATTCTTTCCATTTCTTTGACTTTATCAGTCACATGAGCTTAAAAATAACCAAGCCATATAAATGTAAGCATAATGCATGATCATAACATTGAATACAGATATGTATATATTAAATGCAATACAAACAGCTTCCATAGCTTTTAAACAATCTCAAAATTTAGAAAAAAAAACCCAAAACAAACTATTTTGCTGGTGTAGGCTGTGATTGGCTTTGCATATTTCTACCAGACAGGAAATACAAAACACCGCAAGATGCTGAGCTTCACAAGGCAACGTTTGTCTGTTTATTTAATCTAATAAGGATCCGTGGCAATGATTCAAGCCCCGATGACATGCAACAAGAGGGGGACATAAAACAGCTACTGTTGTTGCGTGGTCAGTAGTAAAAACGTTTACAGACGGAGACGCTCCAGTGAGAGCTCACTGTGCGGCACTAGGCCCTGCTGTGCACCACAGGGCTGGTTGGCGGGAGGATGAAATGGGCCGCTTCTGGATAAAGCAATCAGCACACTCTGTTCCCCTGCTTCAGGGAACGAGTGTGACACTGGCCACGGAGATGACGTCGCACTCCTACATTCGCCTTTAGTGCTTAATTGTTTCAGGGTCCTGAGCAAATCTGTCCGACTCTCCCGCCACACGGCCCGTGGCAACAGACTTTCAGATGAGAAACAGACACAAGGGTCAGGAAAGACAGACAGGACGACGTATCACACAAAGACGGCTCGAGTCAGACAGGCAGAGTCTGCTTAGAGAGACAGACAGGCGAACTGCTGGAAGGCTCCACTGGCTCTTCCCTCCGTTACATAAACACCTCCCGCTCTGGAATTAATCTGCATCCAGCCAGCTAGCACAGCGGCTAACAGCAGGGCTGCTTCGAGACGGTTAGCCGACCTGACTCACTCTGCAGCCTTGGTGCACGCACACAGTGACGTGCGTGTCAACACGTTACATTGATGGGGTCTTCTACTGCATCCCCTGAAAATGAGCGTGATGCCCTCACAGTAATGAAATGTCCCCGGGATAATAGCAGCGGACATTCTTCAGTACGGTGACTAAGAAGAGAAAAGCTGGAGCAGCAGCTTCCATCACAGGATTTTTCTTTAGATTATTGCCTCCAATAGACTACAAAAACAATTACTTGAAGCTAAATATATAAGAAATATGGGCTTATTGTGTACGACCAGAGGAAGGAGACCTTGTGTCTTGGTTGTTGTAGCACTTTAATTGTTCGTATAATGGCTCTCTTCTATAGCAAGTTGTAAATAGGCTTGTTTGATGAAAATGCACTTTCTTGTTCTTTTGGGTTTGTATCCTTACGGCTGAAATACACTTACAATCAAAATTATTTCAACCCCCCATTGCACATTAGGTTTATTGGCAAAATACACAATTTCTCAGCTGTTTGCAATAAACAAATTACACAAGAATTGTTTAAGTAGTTTAATGAACCTAATATTACAAAGGTTTTATCCAAATTCAACACAAAATGCTACTTTTAATGACTTTAATGAATTTACTGCAGTCTCAAAATGATTCAACCCCTTCATGACAAGCATCTTCAGTACTTAGTAGAGCGCCCTTTGAAATGATTCAACTCCCTGTATCAAGCACACCTGGTGCAACTAATCAAGGGCTTCATTAGTTCAGGTGTGCTTGAGATAGAACACATAAATACCTGGTCTGGCTCCGGGTTTGTTCAGAGTGACGTTTGATTGCATGTTAGAAATATGGCTAAGTCAAAAGAATTGCCCAAAAAGTTCAGAGAAGAGATCATTGCCTTGCACAAACAAGGAAAAGGATACAAAAAGATAGCAAAAGCACTGAATCTCCCTAGAAATATAGTTGGAAGCATACTTCGCAAGTTCAAAGTTGAAGGAACAGTGGCTACACTACCTGGACGTGGCAGAAAGAGGAAGCTATCAGCGGCTGCCACCAGATTCCTGAGGAGGCAAGTGGTCAAAAACCCTCGAGGGACTGCAAAACACCTGCAGCAAGACTTGGTGGCAGCAGGCACTGAGTTTTCAGTTTGCACAGTAAGGCGCATACTAAACATTGAAGGGTTACATGCCCGGACTCCAAGACGTACACCACTACTGACCCAAAAGCACAAGAAAAGTCGGCTCCAATATGCTGAAAACCATATAAGCCACCGAAGTTTTGGAATTCTGTTCTGCGGAGCAATGAGACAAAACTAGAACTATTTGGGCCTATGGATCAGCAGTATGTCTGGAGGAAGAAGAATGATGAAGCATATGCTGAAAAGAACACCCTGCCTACAGTGAAGCATGGCGGTGGCTCAGTGATGCTCTGGGGCTGCTTTGCTGCCTCTGGCACTGGAAACCTGCAGCGTGTGGAGGGCACGATGGATTCAGTCAAATATCAGAAAATCTTAGGAAAAAAACGGCATGCCGTCTGTGATGAAGCTGAAACTTGGGTGTCATTGGACCTTCCAACAGGACAATGATCCCAAGCATACCTCAAAGTCCACCAAGGCTTGGTTTCAGAAGAAGAAATGGAAGATTCTAGAGTGGCCTTCACAGCTGCCTGACTTGAACCCCATCGAAAATCTCTGGTGGGATTTGAAGAAGGCGGTTGCAAAACGCACACCAAATAATATTACTGAACTGGAGGCCATTGTCCATGAGGAATAGGCTAAGATTCCTCAGTAACGCTGTCAGAAGCTGGTGTCTGGCTATGCATCATGTTTGCAGCAGGTCATAACAGCAAAAGGGCGCTCTACTAAGTACTGAAGATGCTTGTCATGAAGGGGTTGAATCATTTTGAGACTGCAGTAAATTCATTAAAGTCATTAAAAGTAGCATTTTGTTTTGAATTTAGACAAAACCTTTGTAATATTAGTTTCATTAAACTACTTAAACAATTCTTGTGTAATTTGTTTATTGCAAACAGCTGAGAAATTGTATATTCTGCCAATAAACCTAATGTGCAATGGGGGGTTAAATAATTTTGATTGCAACTGTATTGAAAGCTCTTTGGAAGCTCAGCTAAATGTAATTATATAGGAAGAGGAAGCCAGGAAGCTACGGATTCACAAACGTAGCTTGTGGGTTCAAATTAATATAAAAAAAGAAAACTGGGCCAGACTCACAATCTTCCTCTCGGTAAAGCTTTGTACTGGTTAGTCTTCTAAAATAATCTTTAAGTGGATTAGATAATTGAGAGAAAGAAAGAAACCCTATTCACATAATTGGGCAACAATGCGGATCCTGATATAAAATTATTGTTTTTTCGCTGTTGACATTTGTATTAAATGTGGTTATAGTTCATGTATTAATCTGTTAGTGACGGCAAAAAAGTTGGTTCATCGTTAAGTCCAAGTTGACGTTTGCTTCAGACGTGATGAAAAGCCCTGCAGGCTTTCCTGATACATGCCGGTCACAAGAATAGAACGACAGAGTACAGAAAACCCAGAGAACATTTAAGGTGTTGCAGTCGTAGAGACACGAAAAGACCAAAATGACACATTTACATTTACATGTGAGGCACTGAGCGGTGCCAGTTGGTCTGCATAGATAACAAGATATCTCATCTTGTCATGTGTTCAGTATCGCAGAGAGCCTCTTCTTACCTTCTGTCATGAAGTAGGGGATTCGAAACCTTCCTTCTAGGACTCTTTGTCGAAGTACAGGCAGAGTGGGGCCGTCGAAGGGCAACGCACCGCACACCAGCACATATAGCACCACCCCCATACTCTGTGAAGATGAAAAGGTGCTCACACAGACAACAAGGTCAGGGCAGTAGGTAAATCAATCAGAGGTGTCTGAATGCAAATAGTGTCATTGCATTCACGAGCGTGCACACTACACACACACACAAATACATTGTGCTTTGCACTCAAAGACACTAAATGGTCAATGATTGTTGTATTCAGCAAACTACTATTTCAAATACTATATAACAAACAGTGAATTACATCAGCTGGTTTCCTGTGCACAATAAGACAGAGACGGACCGTAAAAGTTAAATCCATGTGTCCAAATGCAAATGCTGAGGTACAACTGTCCACTTTATACAATCGATCATCTTACCCAGATGTCCAGCTGTGGGCCCTCATACTGTTGGCCCTCAAAGACCTCTGGGGCGGCGTAAGGTGGGCTGCCGCACCACGTGGCCAGAGGCTCCCCAGGCTGGAAGAAGTTCCCGAATCCAAAGTCTATTGTCAGGAAAGGTTGAGATCGACATTTAAGTTTCTTAATCTGTAAATTCCTCACACAGGACCTTTTCTGTAACCAAAAGACAACTTGGATGGTATTAATTGCGAGTGTAAATTGGGTGGAAGACGTCCAGTGGAGCTGCGGTCATTGATGGGGTTAACTGCTGAGACGGAAAGTTGTCCACATGGGCTCTGCATGTTACGCATAATGTAATACGTAATCCACTTATTTGTAGACTGAGGAGACTTGTCTTTGTATGAGGTAACCTCCCCAGGACACTGAGGTGAGGTAATAGACCTGACTTGAATTAGCACAAATACACACAAGATGGTGAAAAGTTCACTTCTGCCTTTCATTCAAATCCAACTAAGAGCTGTGGTGATATCTGCCAAATCCCTCTGAGCCAACTTACGTGCTTGCAATCACTCGGCAGACCCTTTTCTGTATTATGATGCATCACTCCCTTCTCCTCATCCCACCTCCCGCTTTCTCAAACCCTCTCCAGTAAATGTTCCTTCACCTCCGCTCTTCTTGCTGCCGATGATTAATGCATCAGTTGATCGGTCATTGCTCATAATATACAGTATATATATTTTTCATTAGTTGATGATTGTTAGTGGGACACGGACTACGTCATGAGACCTGACGGCTACAGGAAAAAAACAATGAGGCTCACTTAACCCTCCACCCCCACAGTTATTCAAAAACAGTTGCATAAACAGATTTCTTTTAGTATTGCAAAAAAAACAAAAAAAACACAGCAATAGGAAAAATAAGTAAATAAATATTTAGCTTACATGATGGGGCTCGAGGGGGGTGTAAGTTTTCTCTGACACACACACACAAAATCTACAAATTTAGCATTTTGTCTGATGAACAAAGCAAATACAGACAAAACCAGATGCAATGAATCCTTCCTGTGTGAAGGTCATAATGTTTGTGTCAACTTTGGTTGGAACTGTTTAGAGAGATCTACAGTCAAGAGTCAAGCCAATGGTCATCTTGCATTCTGCTGTTGGATTGCACTTTGTTGTACAGGGGGGAGTTTGTTATTTAATTGTTGGTTAAACCAATACAGAAAAAAGGTGAAGGGAATTCTCATTAACTGAAAAATACATTTGTGGAATTAAGTGAGAGATTTGCGCAGCTTTGACGCAATGTGTGTGTGTGTCTGTGTGTGAGCGCATGTATTCAAATCCATTTAATTGCTGCAGTGCAGGCGGCAGCAGGTGTGGCCGACACAAAGTGGAGGGTAAAGCCGAGCGTCACAGTGGGGAAGGTTACAAGTATGTTTACTGTCTGATGCGGCTGTGAAGGTGAGATGGGAGATGCAGGCGGAGCAGTGCACTCGGTTTAGCGTCAGATGCTGTGACCCATTTCATGGAGCGGAATACTGAGCAGACTGGTTGACGTCAAAGGCTTTGGCACGCCGCAGGCGACTAACTGCACTCATGGCTCAGCAGGAAGGTGGGGGGGGGGGCTTTGTGCGTCAGTGTCGCATACTAAAGTATTAGCTAAATATTAGCCTCACAAATGTTGCGCTGCAGCTATAGCGGCTTAGGAACCTGTGTGGAGAGTGAGAGGGACAGGATCCTGTCATCCCCTGTAGGGTCTGATGATGATGCTCTCATCCGGCCTTCCAGTCTCTTGTCCCACTTGTCTTTTTCCTGATATGCGTCAGGTTCCAAAACACCTTAATTCTTTGGAACGAGGGGCCATTTGGCTGATTAAAGCAACACTATGTAACTTTTAATAGAATGATATTACTGATTCTTCTCTATTTGCTTCTTCTGCACTTAAATCTACCATTATCACATGGTTGTCACGTGATCTCCTAGGGATTTTATTATTGTTCTCTGTAGTCTTAACATTTGGAGACATTTCAATACAATGCCTGCTAGGGCCAATATTTATATAGTCTAAGATTATATTTCACCACATAATTGGGAGATAGGGATGACTTTAAGGACAACATATATTTTCCCCGAGTGGTTTTCCTTTGTTCCAATACTTCAGCATTCAATGTAGATACAAAAACACAAATTTAAATCCGTTTTTCAAACAGAGGTCCTTGATCCAGAGATTGTCTGTACTTTCCAGATCTTGAAACGTCTTTGAATGACCTAAACCTATGGAAGGTTTCAATGCTGCCAACAATTTGGTCATTTACAGAATGCATAATATAAGCACTGTAATTTGTGGAAGCCTCCATCCTAAAGATATACTTTTCAGCAAGGGAACACAAAAACCAGATCACTTTTGTTATTACTCCTCCTCCCTTCGCATCTCCTTCAATCCATCGACGGCAACGTAATCGGGCTGTTTGATGTGTAAACATGAAGGGCCCCCCTCCTCTGCAGCCACCGTGAGCATGACCTTTCTTTGACTGGCCGCCTGGTTGAGCTTCCTGCAAACGGACCACAGCTGGCCTTTAGAAAGCAGGAGGACCTATAAGCATTGGTGCTCCGTCTGGACACGTATTATGCAGAAGCTGAAGCGTTTAGCTGATTAGTCGTGAGCCAGAGAACAATTAGAAAACATTTCAATAGTTAACTAGGTTTTGTTCACCAAGAAAACGCTCCAAAACATTCATTCAACCGGGTTTTATGCTCAAACTATTTGATATATATAACCTTATATTATTAGTATACTATTTGTAGATGTCAGGAATGAGGGGGAACGTTATAATTTCCTTTGCTTTTATGAACAGAACACTTTTTTTATCCATACTTTTTTCATACATTTAACCTATTCAAAAATAAACATTTTCAGAGCAGTGAAAAAAGAATTAGCTCTTCCGCTTACTCCTTTCAGCAATCCAACAGTGCAATCATTTACATTTGTATTAACCGAATCATGAAGTAAATGGAGGACTTCAGCTGACATGAACTTTAACGATGCAGGACGGACATTTGAAGAGAGGACCGTCTAACTTGTGTACTGTGCGGACCTAAACTTTATGCCTTTGCTACCCGTCCAACAGAGCTCGTTCTGTGCGAGAGAAGAACACAAGGCTCCTCATGTCCTCTCCAGAGACGCTGTCTCTAATCACAAGCAAGGCAATGTTCTGTCCATTGTTTTACTGCTTCAAATCTAATCCGCTGTCCGGACAGTCGGCGGTGAGTCAGACATGCTTATGAAAATTACAGCTGTGGTAAAAAGTGCTCCTGGTTTTCATCTCGGGCTCTTCTGAGAAACAGTGAAACACTCACTTTCTCAACAGTTCTACCTAATTTAATCTCATGTGATTTGACCCTTTTTGAACCAAGGAAGAAAAAAAAGACACTGGACTCATCTGTCATTTTATCTAATTTAAGTAACATTCATCATACCAATCAACAATAATTCTAATCTCTATTTGGAGTCCATGACATGAAGTCCTCTGGGGACAAGAGGACATTTTTGCCGTTCACATTCAGTGTGTCTGGTATATTTTCACACCTGTATTGTTAGCCCTCTTCGTGTGATCAGCTCACCTTAGATGGATTTTAGTATCAACTCTGACTGAAGATGTAGAAAAACCTTGAATTCTTAGTGTACCGACACGGTTGCAGCCGTGCCACCCTGCTGCGCGCCGCTCCTCACCGCTCTCTTCATTCTCTCTCGCGCTTCACCGTCTCCAAAATAGCCAATTCTATTCTTTGCTTCCTCTTCTCCTCCAGTTAAACCCAAACACACCCGCCCCGCCACTGCAGAAGACAGCGGTAGGGTGACATTCTCACTAGCTAGTTCTAAATGCCAGTTGCTTAATAATCTGACTTTGAAGCTTGTACCACAGAACACGAGCGTAGTTTCCGCTGTCTACCTGCGGGTCGCTTTCTCTTTGTGTCCGCTATCTTAAATGTTTTCTCCTCAATATAAAGTAACAGGTTATTGGGCAGGGCTGCTGTCCGGCCATCTTGCAGGTAGTCAAGACATTTCTGAACTACGCCGGCACTTAGATCACAACAGTAAACCGATCAAAGCTTAATGATTCTATGTTGACATCTTGTATTTCTCATCCATCAATGAGTTTAAGGGTTCCCCTGCACAGAGCTGTTACGGTACCTGCAATCTTGATATTCATGTGGCCATCCAGCAGCAGGTTCTCCGCCTTAAGGTCCCTGTGGACGATGTTGCGGTTGTGACAATACTCCACCGCAGACAGGATCTGCCAGAACTTCCTCCTGGCTTCAAGCTCACTGAGACGGCCATGCTTTGCCAGGTAGTCTGTAGCCAGAGAGAGAGAGAGATAACAAAGATGGTGGAGAGCATATGTACATATATACTCACCAAGTATGTGAAAGTAATACTACACACTGACTTATATAGCATGATTCTCTGGACCTTTCAAACACGGTATAAGCAGTACAGTGTAATGAAAAACCCCTGGTTCTTTTGAGGGCCACAAAGTGTTGGGTTGGTGGTCGTGTTGAAAGGATAATTGACTTTGATGAGCTGCAGGCCCGGTGCCGATAGGAGTTCACGGCTGCCCTACATTACACCATGCTTGTTAAAGGGATTCTGTCCAAGATGGAAAAGGATCCCTGTTTCAAGCCTGTGTGTGTGTCTGTGTGCGAGCGGTGGGGAACGGTGTCGTCAGAGCCCGAGGAGGGAGGGGGGGGGCGATGTTCTGAGAACTGGTCTCCTACTCCACATTGACCACATTAGTACAAGTTCAAACGGGGTGTGAGTTGGCGGGTTAGTGGGCCTCAGTGTATGATTTTAATGTACGGACAAACAGAGACACACTTAAAAAGGGACTGAGGAAACAACAGGAAAGCAGTCTGAATATTGACCCGCGTCCTTGGTGGCTGCTCAGAAAGTTGCCTTAAACCAGTCACTGTAGTTTGCGGGAGTTAAAGTCAAACATTCTCATGTCTTGTTCCTCCAAGCGTCCAGATCCCTGACCTTTTGTCTCATCGTTGGCTCTCACACCCCTCTTTACAGAAGCTCCAATCTCTCAAACTCAGCGCTCACTTATTTTCATAAAGTCGGCCGACGGGTTATTCTACGTGATGCAACCATGTGGACTTTGGGAAGTGTGGTGCTTGTTGCTGTCGGCGGGGTTCCTCTTCACACCTCTCCGTCCAGATAGCTTGCTACCTCTTCATTTCACACTCTGTGGCAAACAAGATAGGACACTTTGTGTTGGCTTTGCTTCCAGCTGGCATGAATACAGACCACCGACCAAACCCTGGCGACAACACACAGCAACCACAACAAACCCGGCCAGCAAAACCTCATAAAGAGCAAACAGAATGTGTGAAATGTAAGGAACGCGATTATCTGAAGACCCACAAGGTCAAATCTCATAAAAGAGCACTTTCGTGTTATAAAGCTGAAGGGAATTGAAGGTTGCGTTGCTCAAGATATAAAAAAAAATAATTTCACATCGTCTTTGCATTTGTAACAAACATCATGCAACAACATATATATTTGCCAGACTAAACAACTACGTTTCACAGCCCAATGAAATCAACACAACGTTCTAACTATTAGCTAAACGTGAGATCTCTATAGTAGAGAAACACATTTCATGAGGCCGGCAACAAACATCACGTTGTAAACACCTCATTTTAATTACTCTATATCGGCTCATCTCAAGGTTTACCTTTGCTGAGACAAAGAGTGTACAATAAAAAACGACCAAAGGCTGCTGTACCAAGTTTCATTAGGTCGATGATGCCCTTCTGACGTCAACAGCGTGGTTGATAAATAGCCAACATCTGACAAGAATGAGGAAAAATCGATTAGATAGTGGCTGGCAAATTCCACAGAGGGGGCCGTTCAGTGAGCAGGACAGCTTTCATGCAACGGTGCTAATCAAAAAACACACCGGGGAGAGGAATGTGCCGAGGTGCTCCAAGTATGCACCAGCATCACCCGATCACGCTGTGCGACCACATCAGACCAAAACCTGGACGTGCTTGAATAAGCAATAGCCATACAAAGGGGGAAATATCTAGTGTATCAAGGAATCCAGGGCTGGAAGTGGATGTTATTTCTGAATACAAAGACGGGACTTTAGGTGTTTAGTTCTCCAAATCCACGCTGCATTTCCATAGCAAAGTCCATAACTTAAAATATGTTTTGCTCTTATAGACCACAACAAATAGCAGATGTTTACTTTGGGGAGCAAAGATCTGTTCATTTATGCTATTTTGTCATAGTATTGTAAGTGTTATTTCAGTCCTGCCTGACTGATTACATACTTAAAAAAAAAAAAAAAAAATGTTCAACAAACCAAACTAAACATAACTCAGCTACAGCGTGTTCTACTGTAGCACTTAAAAAAACAAACCATTACACGTGCATGCACACATACAAACACACACGCAATGCGGTATGTCGCCCCAGTGGAGGGATGAGTAATCCACTGATACAATGTCAGCTAGGGCAAGGACCTCAGCACAGACAGGCATGCAGATTGGCATTCTGGGAAAGCGAGCGGAACAAGTATGAATCACGGGGTATTAGGAAACAGCTCAACAACCACCGTGTTCCACTTCTGAGAGCTCAGTGACGAGCGAAAGTCTCAACAGCTGCTCAAGTTGGGAGGGAACAAACATCATGGGTCCGAACTGGCTCTTTGGCTGGACACCAGATAACACCATGACACACACACGCACACACACACACACACACACACACACACACACACACACACTTCCAAGTAACTGGTACACATACCACGTAAATACAGCAGCCATTTTGAAGTCACGTATATGTTGACAGTGATGGTTAAATTAGACGTAAAGTTACATTCCGCCAAGGATCAGCTGCAGTTTGTGACACTTTTCTCTTCTATGGAACGCGTAACAGGAGGTACTCAAATGAAACACATCCTGTTTGTTTTGCCTAAAACTCATAAAACATTTTGACACTGAATTATTGTATTCTTTTCTTTGAAGATATCCTTTAAGTCTTCTGGATCATCCACTTAATCGTGCACGGACCCAACCATGAACGCGGTCTACAGACTCTGATTACCTGGTTTCGGGATGCACATGTAGTGCAAACTTTTAACCGACTACTACTTTGACTTAGAAGCTAGCGGGTCAGTGGCGAGGCGTTGCCCGCTCCTCATTGAGGTTGATCTATACGGGGGGACCGGTGCAGACATGAGTGACTAATATGTTACGGAAGGAAGGTAAGGGTTTTCACTAATTCTGGTGAAGCTTCAGCCGGCCACGTGGACTTAAAGCACCGGTGGGTCAATGCCCCCTTGTGATGAGGATGCCCACCGGCTACAGCCTGCACGTAAACCTGAAGTTCCTCGTTGGGCCCATTGTTTAGGAGGAACTCCAGTTTGTCATTTGAGCCGCCTGGTGTGTGCAGACTTAAAGCGACTTTCTGTTAAAGCTGAAGAGATCTTTGTGCCTGCATTGACATGCGCCAGGCAGGATAAGGGAATGAGATGCTCCGTGCAATATCCCCTTACTGCTCCGACTGGCAGTTGGTTTTGGTTTTTCTATAGCTGTCCCTCACTGGAGCCACTGGCCTTTTACCTCCTGCCTTTGGCCCGAGTGGGCATAAGGGTGGCTTAGTCAACTCTGTCTGATCTTTTTGTATCCATTTTCTTTGAATCAAAGTCCCATCCACATAGAGAAGAGGCTCCATCTCACCAAATTGATTCCCTTCATTACCAAAATAATAAAAAAGGTATCCACTTTATGCAATGGTATTCAGTGAGTCATGGATTCAGGTATACTGGTCATCAAAGTTCAAGTAGCCACACCATGCGGCTGACCAATCTGCAAAACCCCCCAGTAAATATGATTGATGGTTTATGGGGGGGGGAATAGAAGTAAGAATGTGTCTCAGCTCCCTCACTGTCTCATTCCATTTCCATCAGTCAGACAAGAGATCTGCATGAGTGACTTCTCACTGCCAGCTATAATACTCCCCTCTCTCCAGCAGTGCTTTCTTAAATATGCATGCCCTACATTTCCCCAACACCTCCCCAAATTCAAATGGATGTCCCCTGCTCTCGCCTCTATTCTGTTCTCCCTCCTCTCCCCTCCTGCCTCTGCTCTCCTCCCTGCAACTCTGATGTATTTGTGGCTGACCCAATTTCCAGGTTTTGATCCATACTGCGGTGTCGAAGCAGACGGGAGTGACAGACACAAAGGCACATCTACAAGCTGGCATGGAAGCGTCTGCGGTGCCCATTGCTGTGCCCACCCACCCCTTTGAGAAAATGAACCAGTTACTCTCCGCCTCCCTTCTGCCAAACCTCGCTCGGCTTCTTTTGTCTTCACGGCTGCAGACGCGAGCACGCACACCGCTTCTCCTGTCCCTTTAAAACCCGTTTTGTCTGAGGAGAGAGTCTGAGGCTCATGCATTGTCTCACTGATTCCCAGTAACAAGGGTGGGCTGCTCAGATTTCACAACAACTTCCCATCTCGTATTTGTCGATTATTGTCTCTGTAACCTATGGCCAGGAGCGACCCGAGAAATTTATCATGTCAGAAAAGCAGCGGCGACTCTCGCGGGGCCGATAGCGGAGGAGGAGGCAGGAGATCTGGCTTGGCAGCTTATCAATTCCGCCGAGTGCAACATGACGGAAAGACTTGATCCATCCATCCAGAAAGTGTTTTTTGGAAATCAGAAATGATTGTTACATTTTATACTGTAATACTGGTCTAGTTCTGCAGCTAACAGTTGCCGTCTGGCTGGCTTAGTGAAAGCTGCTACCGCTGGAGCAGATAACATAAATGTCTTGCATAACTGAATTAAATTGTGCAATCAGGGATCTGATAAATCCTACCGTGAGATAATACAAAGGAAATATCTTTACGAAAAAGGATACGAAAAAATACGAAAAAGGACGTTGACCAACCGTGATTGGCTATTTGAAGAAATTGTTTGGCAAAGTCAAATTCCTAAAAGTTAAAAAGGAGATCGCATAAAGCATGGGACAGATGGCTTAGTTTAGCAAAACAACTGTAAGCAGAGAAGGATTCAGCTAGCAAAGACCTGGTCAAAACAAATCTGCCCGTCTGTCTTTTTTAATCAAATTTATGAAAAACCGGAAATCAAAATAATGGTTGATTTTCTGTTTTTTTTCCTGTGAACTTAGTCACGCTGAGCGTTCTCCTCTGCGTCCCTGCTCGTGCCGAGCTAACCTAACTCTACCAAGATGTATACTATACAGTTGGAGACCAACAGAGGCCACCACTTGGTCTAACCACAATTAGCTGTAGTGGCAGCAACGCTTGCAGTTTTCCGTTTTATCACTTCTGGTTCTTAACCACACTCGTCTCATTTGTTTATTTTTCTTACGTCTGCTTCGCAGCCCTCTCTAGGTCACAGGAATTGCTGCTGCTTTGTCAACATCACAACTGGAACACTGGCCTCCGAATCACAAAGACGCGCACACGCACACACACAGTCACGTGACTATTTATTTTACTGTGTCCTCTCATCTTCTGTGTCGACGTGTAAGCTAAGTGCAAACATTCTCACACCGTGTACTAGGCGAGGCCAATGATGCACCTGCATGTTGTCCATTATTACATTACATGTCATTTAGCGGACGCTTTTATCCAAAGCAACGTACAATAAGTGCATTCAACCATAGGGTACAAACTCAGGAGAACAAGAAACAAGAAAGTGCAATTTCCTCAAATAAGCCAATTTACAATTTGCTATAGATGAGTGACGTTACAAGTACAATTTAAGTGCTACAATTTGTTAGTCTTTAGTCGAGGTAGAGTCATATATAGTTGCTTTCTTCAAATATTAAAATGTAATGTGTTGTTTGTGCCGAAATTCCGAACTGGAGTCATTTTTACACATTTAAAAAAAATAATGCAGTTTAGGAGTCTTTTATTTTGGTTAACATTCAGTGTACTGGACTGACCGCAATGTGTACACACTGTACACATTTAGTGTGTATGTGTTGGGAGTGTGAAGTAGCAATAGAGTAAAGGGAGTGCTATGGCTCTCGTCGATACATGTACTATTGTTCCCATGTTTGACTTGTCTGTCCTATTCAGCACAACGGTCTTAATTTAGGCTTCACTCTCAGGCAGTGTGCAAACCACTCTTCAAAATGATCCACTTAGAAACCTCTAGAATGCTTTTTTTGGCCAGTCTGAGCCTATTTCCTTTGGTTTCTCCTGCCAACAACTTGTATGTTATTATTTATACCAAAAAAGGTCCAAAAAAGGCAAGGTGAATTTGCACCATCTGATTGTTTTTAGTCATTTGAAAATGTTTATGACAGACCTTCAGGCAGCCAGGATGAATCATAGATGCTCTGGTTATGCGTGTATTTGGCTAGTATTGCGATTTCTTGACTTTCAAAAAAAATAAAATCAACGGACTAAAAATTGAATTCTACTCTATGTTTACAGCTCGATTTGTGGCGTTTGCCTTGACCCAAACTGTTGTAATGCTAAATCAATAATTTAATTATCAGGAAGATATTTAAGTAGATCAAATCATTGAAGTAATTTCTCAGTGAAACTGCCAGACATTTCTTTCTTCGCAAGGTTGTTCGTGTTGTTGTAGAGATCTACGATTGATTGATTTGTGTGTAGGATGAAGAGAACCAGTTGGAAAGGGCATTTTAGACAAAAGTATTAGCTGATTAATCAAGACAATAGGCATTTCATTTATAATATGAAGATAGAAATGAACTAAATTTGAATAAAAACTAAAAAAAATTTTTTTTTTATCACAATCGGATTTGTGCAGCTCTGCTCAGTTTTGCCTCGTGTTTTTTTTAGTTTAATTGTTGGTTAGTGTGGATTTTAGACTTGGTGTGTATTGTACTTTATCAACTCAGATTTTAAACTTTGTGGAAAGGTCCAACTCATTAGGTAAGTGAGTCATGTGTTTTACGGCTTTAACGTTTCATGTAAAGGGTTCATTTTTTTGAAGTTCTTTTTACTACTTTTTGTAATCTAATCTTTGAAAACCAAAACAGTTCACGTAAAAACGAAAACGAAAAGGTTTAACAGCAAGTATTCAGAACATAATCTAAATGCTCTACAACCGTCAATAAAAGTCAAGAAATGTTCTTGGCGACCGGCATATGAAAAGTAATCTTGCAGAGCAATAAACCGCTGCGCAGCAAGTGATTCTGCCCCCATATGGTAATAAATCTCTTGTTCTCCTTGAAGTTCACCCACAGCCTCTGTGACATTGTGCCACAGAAGTAGTCACAGCACATTTACACACAGCAATCAGTAGCAGCACAAGGGCCACCGCAGGGTCATTCCTTCTTCAATCATGTGACCTTTGAGATTGAGGCTGGCACACGTGTGAGAACAACGGCCAAATAACGCTCTGATACTTCCCTGTTTGTGACAGGAATGCCAGATTATTTTTGTGCAACCGACAGCGAGAGGACATTTAAGAATTGGGTGTGGCAATGTTTAAAAAAAAAAAAAAAAGAAAAAGAGGTCAGGCTGATCTTGTACTTGAAAAAGATCACTCACCGAAGATTTCCCCATTCTTGGCATACTCCGTGACCAAGTAAAGCATGTTCTTCGTCTCCATCACCTGAGAGAGGGAGAGGGCGAAAGAACAGGGGCCGAGGGGGAGAAAAAAGCGGGAGAGTGAATACACACAGAAAAACACTTCAATAGCACCAGATGATTAAAATGTCCAGTCTCCTGCAACAAGAGAGACTTATAAAGGGGAAACTGTAACAGACAGAAATAACCCAAATTTTACACAATTGTCCACATGGTCTTCTGAGGCTCAACTGCAGTGTCTGACATCAACAGTCATGAGCAAAACAAAATGCATGAATGGTCCAGGGTCTAAAAATGGTATCCATGTATGAGGATGGAGGTGGACAGTTGGTGTTGCCGAGTATATCTGAATGGTACTTGAAACCTTTCAGCCCTCACAGGGTGCTGTGTTGTGTAGGAGGAGGAGAACCGATTTAGAAGCACCAACACTCAGGAGATGAATAGCATTAAATGCAGAGGGGAGAATCAGTTGGAGAGTGCAGGATGAATCAGACACAGCGAGCCAGACATTCGCAGTAGAAGTCCCACGCTCATTGCGTACGATCAATTTTCCATCTGTTACATTGACCGATTCATGGATTCAGGAAACATAAGCCAGTTTTTTGGGGGGGTTGCGTATTAAGCACATTTTGTCCTCTCTGCATTGTGAAACCGGAATACAACTGATTGAGTGGAGCAGAGAACCTAAACGCGGGCTCACTTTGTCTATCAAAACAAGTAACATTGTGATACATCATCTAATCTGGGAAATAAACCTTTCACGCAGCCGACATTTTGACTTGTCCCTGCAGGAAAAGCAAAAGTGTAACTAACAGTATCAACGGTGGCTCCGTTTCTTTCAGTTGTCAGTAATCCAGCATGTACGATAGCAGGGGCCCTGGCACGAAGAGGTGGACATCAGCCATTAGCAATGTTATTAGTTTACCCCCGAGTTTGACAGAAGACAAAATATCCAAAAACAACACATTCAATTCAGTCTCCATTCAATTCACGTTGGAGCTTTCGATCGTTTGTTGTACTAACAGTCAGCTACATGCCCACCAGCTTCACACGTCGTTGTGTTTCCATTAGCCGTTTTAAACTGTTCCTTCATTACGTATTACATGCAGCTCCCGGAAAGGTTTGGCCAAACAACAGGGAGACAGGGCGGCTGTTTCAGGCAGCATTCCTCCCACCTCTGGGAGTAATTATCATATAAGAGACGTATAGGAGGAGCTACGGGGCATGCATCTCTAGAAGCATACAAGAAAGGTTTCTGGAGAATTAAGGACAGTAACGACGCAGTTTATGGTTGCATGTGTGAGGTATTCCATGAGAAGAGAACCAAATCCTAAGGAGTTGAACCAAAGGTCTAAAAAGGATCCGTGTGGCGGACATGGATCAATGACCCGTCCCACTTTACGGCCTTGTCACACTTTCTTTTGAAGTCTTGAACCAATGTATTCCTGCACATATTGCCCCAATATTGCTGAAAGTGTTGTTTACTTGCTCATCCATAGATACGCGCCTGTTTGAATCAGCCGGCAGTCTGCACGGCTATCGCTCAACCTTGTCTCATATGACCAAGACCTGAAGCAATGATTTACACTCTCATTTTTACTTTTTTTCTGAAATATGTCCGTTTATATGGGTAATTGTCCTTTTTGTGCTTGTCTACATTCAAATCTTTAGTAAAAATGAACGTGCTGACACATTTCTTGATCTCAGCTGCATTTGACTATAGAATCATACGAACTGAGGCTGCAGGCTAAACGGCTGCCATACGTTCTCCAGCGTGGGAAAGTGGCCACTGAGACCAGACACCACACCTCCGATATATACTGCAAAATACGGGGAGCCATAAACTGAATCAGCATTGTGTAAACTTGTTTGGCAAGGAATCTAACCGACATTCACTTGGCTTGTGTATAAGTCATGCTCTAGGGGTCAAAAGTAATGCTGGTTATTGTTGTACAGTTTATTATACCAAGGTCAACACCAGAGTTTCTTTACTTTTACTGTACTCAGAGTTAATTAGCATTAATATAATGTGAAAGTTAGTTTGGTGCAGTAACTTTGCAGGTTGATGTTACATCACAAATAGCACATTGTTGATTACATTGACAACAAAAAATGTAATGTATCTCTAGAAAAAATTCCACATTTAACAAAAGAAGCCACATTTTTAAACAAAACGCACACCCCTGCAATTTAATAGACTGAAACAGAAATATTTCTCAATTGAATCCCGAACTTTCCTATAAACGAATGAGACAAAGAAACAACTTCAACAGATTTGCAGTCCAGATATACAGAACATGACTGTTGTAAATGCTGGGTTGGTACCAAAAAGGGTTTCATACCCCGCCTTACTGTCAAAGTCAAGTATCAAGTTGATACGATCCCTTATGTGCTTAAAGTATGAAGTAAGTAAGTATGTATGTAGGAGCTAAACAGGATCGTAGTAGTGCGTTTAAGACCTTGCTACAGCGTAGCACTCACTACATGATCATTTCAATTTGAAAGCATTCCGCCACCATTGATAATCTCTACCTCCCTTCAATGCTGCAGATATCATACATTGTATATGATACTATATTTCAAGCACTTCCTGGCCACTCATCCAAGATGAAGTGGTTTTGAATGGGTGCTATGAGGGCAATAACTGAAGACTCTTCTCGGTCTTCTAATAAATCTGAATAGAAGTGCGTACAAAGTCCCAATTCCAGATATCAAAAAATAAATTGATCCAACACTGCTGATGAACAGCCGCAGTGGTGAAAAACAGGCCGTCTACAGGCCAGACTGTTTCATGTTTCAATCTAATGTAAATGTATAATTTACAGCTCTAAATGTAGGAGTCCTAATGGTCTTAACTATGTGGCCATTAGCTGTAGTGCAGGGATTATTGTCACAACCCATCTGATACCCTCAATTTATTTAAGCTTTTTTTTTTTGTAAGCATCGATATTCAAATGGGGTATGCAGTTCTTATTGGAAGGTTGATAGCAAGTAAGTGGTTTTCTAATTAACAGAACAATATTGAGTGGTTATTCTAACTGAATAACAGTGAAAAGCTGAACATCCAAGAGGGAGAGGTATGGTGGGATGCAGAAGGGGAACAGATGTGAAGCAAATTACCGCCGACGATGAGCAACGACTTCACACAACACATGCCAATCTATGGTGGCGTCCATCATCTGTTTGTTTTTGTGTAATCATAAGATTACATTCTCCTTTGGGCCAACCCCAGTATACAAATAAAAAAGAAAATTACTAGTTGACTTGAGCTGATTTGATGGACAGGCTGTTGGAAATAATGTACACACCAAAAATAACACGGCAGAAAGATGGCACAGTGCCGTGTGGTTGTGTAATGATAATGAACACTCATTTACTTTCTCTAAAGAAACAGGACCCCAAAGGCTTATGTAATACAACAGAGATGCACAGATTTTTGAGCTATTGGTAGTTAAGCTATTTTGTGGCAATTAACAGACATAATGGAGTGATAACGGTTTCTCTGAGTCGCGTACAACTGTAGGTGAACTTGCCCTTGCACAACTGGACATGCGTAAAAATATGAAAGAAAAGGTCATGCTGACTGGCCAATGCTTTTAGCACAAATCATACTGCCGAAGACGGGGGTTAATTTCTATTTGGTTCCAGGTTCGAATAGTTTCATCTTTCAGGAGAAAATAAAGAAATAAAATAAATAAAAATAAAAAAACACATTTTTGCTGCATGAAATCATGTCACAAAGATACATCTCAAGAACTAACCATAGGCGTATTTTCAGTTTGGAAAAAAAGTGTGTTTTTTCTGTTAAAAAGCTAAATGACCCTGTCTGACATTGTGTACTAACACACAACATTAACAATTTAGTTTGCTATTAACACCACTGTTCACAAGTAAGACGTCCTCTCTGCATCACATGACTGCATAGATCACGACGCCGATGGTCCGAGCTAATGTTTGATGAAAATTGTTTATCACAAGCGTAAATCCAAAAGGACCTCTGTGGTTGGCATACAGCCACCAAAACAGAGCCTTTAAATGAAACACTCAGAAACTATAACATACTTAAAAAAAAACACACACACACAAAATATCGCTGATGACTTTTATGTTGGGGCATTTTAGCGAAGTCATTGTGCAAATAAACACGGAGAGTGTTGCCCCATATCAATCAAGGTCCCATCAGGTCAGCGGCGCTGAGAAGAACCCATAATAGTTTCTAACAAGCAATAAATCCATTCTGGCCTAAATTAAATCATTCAAGTCAATAAAAAGTGTGGAATACATCCAATATCTGATTTCATGTGGGCTAAAATAGCGGGCTAAAATTGTTGCAGAACTAGTCAGATCTGTAGCCCAGTACAACCTTCAACGACTAACATTTAGTGTTAGTATTAAGTAGTAAGCAGTATATATATATAAATAAAAGACATATCCAGTATAAAGCAGCAAGGTTGTAAATATGAACAGCATGGTAGTGGAATTATGCCATAAATAACTATGCTACTCTCATGTCTTAAACTACTTCATCTACATTCGTCTGCACAAACCTGTCCATTTAAAAGTGACTTTTCAATGAATTCCTGGCAAAATAATACTCCCTCCCCACCCCCCAAAAAACCTCTCATCAAACACAATGTCCTCCTAGCTTACAGAAACAGATGATGCATCAATCTGAGCCTTGTTTAAAAGATGCTTGCTTTTCACTAAAATTGTAAAAAAAAAAAAAATTGTGTGTTTTGTATACTAACTGGAGTAAAGCAAAGGAAAAGTTTCATTTGAAGCACCCGAGACAGGAATAAATCTCCTGAAAATACCTTGATTGACAGACAGAAGAAAAAAAAAAAAGAGAACTAAACCAAAATGCTAGATTTAACAAGCTACAAAGATATAACCTGCATAATGCTGCAGTCTACATCACTAAAGGTTGAAAAACGCTCCATCAAAACAAGTATTTTTTTCCACAGACAATCAGGTACTTAAGCTGGAGACTCACCTGGTACAGCTTGATTATGTGAGGGTGCTCCAGCATCTTCATGATCTGAACTTCTCTATAGATCTTCTCCAGATTGACAGCATCCAGTTGGGTCTTGTCGATGATCTTAATGGCCACCTGCAGAGAAATACGACTGCAGTCACTCGAAGGCCCAATGGAATCATTGTTAGGCCTCATCTGACTTTATGGGGAGGGGAAAAAATACTGTCTCGACACCGTCAGATACATTGGTAGAGATATGTATTTAATAATCTCCAATAAGCAAAGGGAGACAGTCCGGTCTTTCCAGAGAACTGCTTTTGAGCCACAAGATAAATAAGATCTTCAAACACTTGAAAAAAAGAGCAACGCAGGCCTTGTTGGATATACACACGTACACGTTTAAATGTCGCACTGAAAACACTCTTGGCTTTGATTAATGATGTTCAGGGGGGTAACAAGGCAATATTAGCATCTTTCCTTTAGACAGTCTCATAAACAACATTTCCTCCGTGTGATCTGAAGTGTTTCCAAGCGTCTGTGAGCCGAGCCGGAGGAGTCAACAACAGGAGACCCCAGTTCCCACCACGGTTGGATTAAGTTAGAAAAATAGTTCTTCCTGAGTGGATTCAGGCTGAGGAAGGGGCCGTATCAAAAGAACCGCGAGGGGTTTTGTGGTCTTAAGATGGAATGATCAGTCACTTGATAGATTGTTTGATCAACAGAAAATAAAGCCAAATTATGGTGATAGATTTTTCACACCTCTGGAAAAAAGTGACAAGGGGTGTATTCTCAATCTTTACTTCAGACAAAATTACCCTGATGTTGTTACAGTGTGAGGTTGCTTGCATTTGACCGGTTAAAAGATGCACACGAACCTGAATTTTTGCAGTTTGTACCGTGTTATTACCGTGTTATTGTAGTGGTGTAACGCTCTCAAGACAGCCGTACGTTGGGTTTAATCAAAGTCGGACAACTCAATCCAACCGGCCTAGTTTAATTCTATTTGGCATATTTGGAGTTACCACTCTGGGTGCTTTAATACACTGAAACCTCCATTATCACCCCCCTACGCACAGAGCAAACAGGTGTGCAATCTGCCATCACATCCGGTGAAGAACTCTAAATCTTTTAATGGCGCTCCAGCTGCACGTCGAGACCTCCGGGGCATACCATTTTAAATCGCTAGCCCGCCGGATTACAGGCTAAGCAAAAGAAAATCATAGACAACCAAGTGATTACATTGTCAACAATGCTCATAAGTACGCGCACACGCACACAACATGAGAATCCTTGAATAGTCTGCTTCAACAAGGTCATTTGAGGTCAATGAGTTACGGGGGCGTCTATTTCATACATTAAGTAATGAGAGCAGAAGGGCTGGACAGGACAAAAGTACGGCACACCGAGCTCACAGGCAGGACCCCCAGGGGAATGAACCGGCACTACGTGAACCCTCGGGCTGCAGTATGTACATAATGGGAGGAAAAGGTCAGTAAAACACGCAGTAGAAAAAGTAGGCTATGCACACAGATACACCTGTCTAGAAATATGCACACAGAAGTCACATCAGATCTGTGGTTTCATGTGTGTCATTAAGCACACATACACACCCCCACACACATTCCAGGTTAACATCTCTTTTGCGCCGGGCAAATTTCACAAGGCAGATGGCATCACATGAAGTTGATCCAGCGGACCGTGGCCACTTAAACAAACGTGACCTCTACCCAACAAGGTGGAATGCCTGTTGTTTGTTTTTTTTCAACCCAGAGGCCACGCGAGCAGACGGAGAGGTGCAGCCACTTAGTGAAATCACATGGTGTCTTGTTTAGCTAAAAATGAAAACCTGCATTCAGAGCTGTGACACAGTTGCAGATTACCTGGCGAGACCACCACAACAAGTCTTAAGAGGAATTTACCGACTGCGTTATCCATTTGCAACACAGCGTGATTGCTCCTGTTCGACGACTGACAGTTGGAGGCCCCCGCAAGGGTCAAAGATCAAAGTGTGCAACTGTGTTTTCCCAACAGTCTCTCTATTTCTCCACAGAGAAACACACACACACACAGACTGGACACTCTTTACATGTCCTCTCTGGCATTACAACAGAGGGGCCCGGCACTCAGTGGTACCGGTCATGAATCGCCTGTCTGTGGAGCGCTGACATAAAGCCCGTCGGACAGATCAGAGCCCTGTTCCTTCTGTGCTCATCGCCGGAGTGTTCGGTGTTTGCACATATCCAACCTTCTCCAAACTGAGTGACCACCCCCCCCACCCTCCCAGTGCAGTGTCAGGGAATTGCTGTCTGCATGCATGCCTGCATGCAAAACAAGACTTTGCTTCCCCAATTACAGAGCTCTGGCTGGCACATCCTCCCCACAACAGCTCTCGCGCTGTTGGCACAATAAACCACAAGATCAAATCATTATTTGGATTACACAACGAGGACGAATGACCCACGCTGCATGCATGCTCACAATACAGCGACATAAACAGCAGCCCGGAGTTTTAAGAGTCCGGTCCGTCCAGTGCAGGTGTACGATGATGCTCTGCCGCGAAGAAAAAAAAAGGAAAGCGTATTTACAGTTTGTGTTTCCCAGCAGCACTGGTGGTCAGACCTCTTCCTGGCAGTGATGTTGGCTAAGGGGGGGGGGGTCAGGAGGGGAGGACATTGCTCCTGTACCTGCAGGTATTCAACACACACCAGCTGTTGCTCGCTCCGGAGCCCCCGAGTGGCCCGAGGAAAGTTCTAACCCGTTAACCCGGATCCCAAGTTTCTGCTCGTGCGCGAGGCGGGCAGCATCTCGGTGTCCGCCGTGAATTGGGGGGCGGCGGGGGGGGTTGTCAAAACTCGTGCGATAAAAGTTACGTAACTCAGCCGGAGAGAGTATAGCCTAAGTTAAGCTAACCAGCCCGTCGAACACACTCACCTCGGTCTTGGTTATTCGGTGTCGAGCCAGCTTCACCACGGCAAAATTGCCCTTTCCTAAGGTGCGCTCGATGTCGTAGAAGCCCACCCGGACGGGACCCCGGATCAGCGGTTTCTGCGCACTCTCGGCCATGACCATGCTGTTCTTAATGGGACCGGGTTGTGGAAGAGTGCAAGGGTAAGCCGGACGAGCAAGGGGGGGGGGCGAGGGTGGTGGTGGTAGTCGGGGGGGAGACACACGGTGGGGCTCACGCTGGGGCTTGCAACAGCAGCTACAGATAACGACGAAAGGGAAACAAACCGCCCGCCGCCGCCGCTCGAAGCGTGTCCATTAAAAACAGACAAAGTTGATTTCGGTGTCGCCCGGCCAGCTTGACGGCTCTCTCTCCCTCCCCCCCGTCAGCGCGGCGACGCGAAGCAGGCCATTTGCTGAACCCGGGGAGAAGGGGTTCGTCGGCGGCGGGGCTGTCACACCACGCTCGGTCTGTACAATAGCGCTATAATCTTTCGGGCCGAGGTGCCTCTATCGGCTGTCGAGCACGCGAGTTGACTCGCAAAGAGGCATCGTGTTCCTCTGGTTGACGTGTATTGACGTCAAAGCCATAGGGGTATTTGTACAGGGGGCGGGGCCACGAGGCCGCCCCACACTCCAGTGCCAATTGGTTGCCAGGACGACCAGACCCACCTCTTACGTCAACCGGTAAAATTGCTATTCTGAAATCTGTTTGCCTGCCCGTCCTGCTTGATTGCACGCATAGGTAACTCTGAAGTTCCCTCCTGCAGGGGTTTAATAAGGGCTCAGTGGGCTGCGAGTGACAAACACCGAGGAACATGGTTACATTTATTTTAAATCAGCCCCAAATTGCCCATTTTACTTGCATGCAGTAATATGCTCCATAAGAATGGAAACATATTTGAAAAAATATATATGTAGGCTATTGAACGTTTAAAAGAACCATCCACCTCCCAGCACGTCTGCTTTCAGTGATATGATCCATAAAGAAAGCGGAGCTGCCATTACGTAACCTATATATTATCATATATGACATTATATAGTGTGATATAGCAGAACCTTATGTGAAACTACACATTTCTTCAGCAACAAAGACACTGGTCAGCTTCTTAACAGCGCCATCTGTTGGAAAACAGAGAAAATTGACACAAGGCTGCACATATTGATCCCACCGTGAATTTTGTTCTTAGTAATTGGCGTTTTTCATTGACGCACATCCAGTCACATAGAAATTCACCTAAGCTCTTCTACAAATACATTTGAATATAGCCATGTGATTAAATTAGGAATGCAACCACAACATCTTGAAATCAAACTTTATTTGACACACAAAGAACCTGCTATGTTTTTAGATTCAGCACACAAAGTAGTTGTTCTGTTCAGCTCATGCAGCGTCAGTTAAGCAATGGATTACTAAGCGAGCAGCGCTCCAAAAGCCTCCGTTGTCACGCATAGACTTCCTGAATGTCAGAGTTCCAGATGTGCTTTGGGCATTTCCTGTCCAACATTCTCCAAGAACACACTCAGCCTCTCCTTACAGGGCTCGCTGTGTCTTTTGAAGACTGGGACGCTCAGAAATAACATTTCTGTTCCGCAATTTATATCTATGATTATTTTACAGATGTACAAAGTGCGCATGTGCTGTGACACATTCACAAGTAGTGACTCCTGAAAAGTCTCCGTACTGTCAGTTGAGTGGAAGGATTAAGTTTCCCCAGGTGGATCAGGAGAAAGGCCACCGCTTTGAGGTTCCCTGCGGTCAGCAGAGCTCGGTCATCAGGGTTTCCGCACGTACAGTCCTGTTCTCTGACATCAGAGTCCAAACAGGAAGCCTTACATTTGGCTGACAGAAGGTTTAGAGAAAGGGTGAGAATCATTCCTGAATAGGACAAGTCCACTGCTGAGGAGAGACAACAGGATTTTCTTTTGCCCCTTTTTCTCATAATATCTAGTGGTGTTTGGGAAATGGCTGTTTAGTTTCGGATTGTTTACATGATGAGTAACCTTGCGGGTTCTCAAAACTAATTCTCAGGGTTAAAAGGTAAATCCACTATGCCATTTATAGCAGCACTGCTGCACGCTTACCTGACCTGAATCAGTAATGCTTATTTGAATTAATTAACGCCTCAATGAAACCGAAGCCTTTGTGCTGCAGAGGAGTTACCTAATATATCAGAGTTAGCATTCAGGAAAGTTCATATCAACGTAATGTGAGCACTTACCTCAAAACCACAAACGCCACCAAATTTGGTGGCGTTTGTGGTAAGTTTTTTTTAACACCAATTGGATTGGATCCCCTTACTTACTCCACCTGGTTTAAACACATGTTTAATACTTGAAACCAAATATCTGCAATACTAATAATATTCCCCTAAGTTTTGGCAATTGTTATCATGCTAATAAACAAAACTGTGGTTGTGAATATGGTAAATATAATGCATGCTCAAGATCAACATGTTTTCATTGGCCTTTGTGAGCATGTTAGCATGCTGACATTAGCATTCAGCCAAAAGCACTGCTGTCTCTCATAGCTGCCAGCATGACTATACAGACTTATTATTATTAAGGGTTTGACATATATTACATTTTTATATAACTCGTTTAGTTCTCTTGAATCCAAAATAAGCCATACTGAGTTTCACGATTCCCTCGACAATTTGAGAACTCTCTATTTGTGGGGTTCTGGGAAGAACAGGTGACCCTGCTTTTAAGCATTTTTAAGCAAGAGTTGCAGCTTTTGCTGCTTGATGCTCAGGAGGCCAGACTGAAGGTGCACAGGTTATATTCCAAATAGTCCATGCCGACACAGCCATGTATTAAGAAATTCTGCACAACACCATTAACCAATAGGGTGTGCAGGAAGAAAGGGATGGAGAACATGGTGTTCCCCTGTCTAGCTGCATCACATTTAATATCTGGCTAAAAGCTGACGGACACCCACAGCGATGAGTTTAGCATCAACAGCGTTATCCATAGATCTCGTTTTCCACCCAACCAGCCTGCCGGTTCTGAGCTCTGCAGGTCTCATAGATGTCGTTGGTCACAAAGCCACTCTCTCTGTCCATGCATGTCACATTCTCATAATCGTCACACTGAGAGTCCTGGGAAGGAGTGCAGAAGTACTTTGTCATCATGTCTGCCGGCATGCTGCTGACCGGAGCAGTGTGGGGCAGTTTGGCAATGTCACTAAAGGCGTACGGTCCTTGCACGGCATACGGTGAAGCTGTTTTTGATCGGCTCGGGCAGTTTTCTGTTTCTGTTTTCCTCCTGACAATGAAAGATATGACGTCAAATGAAGTAAGAAAAAAAACAATTTCAAGACCAAAGATACAAGCAGTAAATGGGTCAAATAGGAAATGCGTGCACAAGAAATACAGTACCTCACATTGGCCAAAACAAAGTTGTTTCCATGTGTTGTATTAGGAGATAAATATTTAATAAATACATTTTTAAAGTATATTTAAAATCTTCTAAAAAAAACAATAAGGTCCTGCAAAATAGGACATTATCTATGTAATAGTAGTTCTTAAAATATTACATATTACATTGCATGCTCTTCCTTTACCTCTTAGAATGCTGTTTGTAGCAGAAAAACCCAGCGGCTGCAAACAGCAGCAGCAGCAGAGCCGGAATAGTTGCATAGAGGATGTAGGAAACATGCAGGTTGTTGTCTGAGAGTGATACTGCAGAGAATAAAACAACCCTTAATATGACAGAGGCCTGAATCATTGAATAGTTATGGTTATGTCACAACTCAAATCATTGGTTGATAGAACTTTAGGGTTCAATTTGAACTTTTCTTTTCTTTTCTTACCTGATGACTCAGGTAGTCCCATTTTCGTCCTCCCGTCACTCTCTGTGGTTGAGAACCCATTCGGCCTTACAGATGGAACTGAAAGCAATCAGAAAACCAATTTCCATAATCAGTTATGATTGAAAGAAAGAAATGAGAGCGAGAGTATACTTTGAGTATCAAAAGCATAATGTTTTTGATGAAAGATGATTTGGTTACATGTACATTTGGCTTAATTAAACTATAAACTATTTTCTTACCAGCCATCCAGAAAAGGTATGGCTTTTTTTGTCATAAAGCAAAAGCCAAAACACATGTGTAGCCGTAGGGGGAAAAGCCAGACGTTCTGATCATAACAAATTAGATGAAATAACCCCGGTACCATAATTCAACAAAGATTAAAGGGGTACGATTGGTGTCATTGCTCTCACCTGGAGGAGAGGATAGACGGGGCGTTTTTTTTTCAGAACAAGAAAAGATGCCGTGGGGAAAGCGTAAGCTGGAAGGTTTGGGAGACACGAGGAAAGAGCTGACGTGTAGCGGAGTTTAACGTATCTTGTCTGTAAATGCTGAGGGGTCTGGGTGATTGTGTGGGGAGTGAATGGACCTCCGGGGCTGATGGCGTGACATCGGACAAGCGCGTTATCCTGTGGTTGTCACCTTCCCAGGGTTTTTCTATGCATTGGACAATTGAACTGTGAGTCGGACTATATTTTAATCTTACATTTTTGCTCTGCCAAGGATTGGGATTTGGGAGGCAGCACCGCACCCGAGCTGCGGGACCAGTAAACTCTTAGAACTTATTTAAAGTCAATGCGTGGTCTTGGGTCAGTCATTTGAACGACTTATGGGATGAGAAACCCCATAGTTGCCATCTTCTATAGAAGTTTGGGGGTGCTACACATGTATGAAGCATGATATGTCCCCTGTATTATATAACATAGATGTCTAATTCATTTACACAGAAGGAAAGTTGACATTAAAAGTCTCCAATAGTTTAGTCTGACCTTTCTTGATTTACTATTTACTTACATACTGTAACACACACAGTATTTGCAGGGTAGTCAAGTACATGTTTTACCTGTATGTGCCTCGTTCCCTTTCTTAGTAAATACAGGTTGTTTTTCTGCCAAAGAAAAAAAGTTAATTCAGCCATTCCTTGAAAAATTATGGAAGAAATGTTACTTCACTCTGTTCAACAACAATGCTCAATGTATGGAAACATACATACGTGTTTAAACATACTTATCTTATCTATTTATATTTAAATTTTGCTTGAATATTTTATCTCATTTTACTTTGTCTTAATTTATTCTATTTTATTCTTATATTGCATCAATCATCAAGACAAATGTGTAATATATGTGGCAATAAATGGCTCATCTGATCTGCGCAAATATTAAACAACTGCTTTCCATCCAATAACTTCAAACCTAACATTAAATCATAGCATCTTACTTGTTTTGCTCATGCGCCCAGTTTAATTAATTTTTGGACGACAATAATCAGAATTTGTGGATTCAAAATACAACCATAAGTACCAACGATCAAGCACTGCACAGCCAGGTACAACAACACAGTGTCTGTGATCTACTGCCTCACCTTTTGGATATTTGCAGACAAAGTTGTTCTTGGAGTTACATTTGTCATCGTTCCAGTGGAAAAGGAAACGACCTTCTTCGTCGGGTGGTGCAGACGGCTGGTGGTACAGAACCACACACATTTCAACACCACACGATGGCTCATCCCAAAGCCAGTTCCTACAGAAAATTAGATGCTCAAGTTTAGACTTGTACTGCATTTAAATCAGACAACTTACCTTATTGCATGCACAGTTTTTACCTAAATTTTAATTTATCTAAATTCTAGCCAACTGCCAACATTCCACTACTCCCACACATGCACAGTTTAATCTTTTCTAAATGGATAAAGACCTGAACTTGGCCTTGCTTCCATCCAGCCAATAGTACTGCGATGGGCAGCCTGGGGTTGCGGTCCCTGCCCTGTCGAGCCGCGGGCTTCGGCGCAGCCCGATCCAGAAGTCTCCGTCTCCGGGCTGCAGCTGTTGTATGAACCTCTCCATCAGTCTCTGCTCACTTTCTGTTTCAATGCTGAGCAAGTCGCCTCCATCCGACCGGCAGGCCTGCCTGGCGTCGTCAAAGGTCAGCCGCCGCCTGGTGTCCTGGACGTAGGACACCGTGTAGCAAGGACGCTCTGTCCCGCGGCGACAGATCCTTTGGCCTGGACAACAACAGGGAGATAACAAGATGATAAGTGAAGTTTTGTTTTTGTTTGACTATTTACAACCTGAAGCATTACAGACAAATATGAAACCAGTTTTTTTTTTTTTTTGCCAAAGTCTTCCCACGTGTTACCGAATTGGTAAACGTATGACATGGTATATGTATGACAGCATATAACATTTATTTCTATGTTTATTTTTTTGCTGGATTGGTCCATCTATCTATCCAGCTTTAGCCGCTTATCCGGGGTCGGGTCGTGGGGGGCAACAGCTCCAGCAGGGGACCCCAAACTTCCCTTTCCCGGGCATCATCTACCAGCTCTGACTGGGGGATCCCAAGGCGTTCCCAGGCCAGTGCAGAGATATAATCTCTCCACCTAGTCCTGGGTCTTCTCCGGGGCCTCTTCCCAGCTGGCCGTGCCTGGAACACCTCCCTAGGGAGGCGCCCAGGGGGCATCCTCACCAGATGCCCAAACCACCTCAACTGGCTCCTTTCAACGCAAAGGAGCAGCGGCTCTACTACGAGATCCTCACGAATGGCTGAGCTTCTCACCCTATCTCTAAGGGAGACGCCAGCCACTCTCCTAAGGAAACCCATTTTGGCCGCTTGTACCCGTGACCTAGTTCTTTTGGTCATGACCCATCCTTCATGACCATAGGTGAGGGTAGGAACGAAGATTGACCGATGCAAAGATAAAGGCAGGCAGACCGATGCCTGCCTTTATCTTTTACCTACCTATCTACCTTCCAATAGAAAAATAGAGCAAATTTAACAATCAGGGCGCCGATCTGCTGTATAATGGTGAAGAAGTCAGTTATAATATTACATTGCCTGGTATTATATTTATTGTACTATAGCCTTAAAGTTGGGAAAAGTAAACTAGGGAACTGGACTTCCCATCAGGGGTCTGACTCGCAAACAGCCCGTTGATGCTCATTTGCCAGCAAATCACGTGGCGCTGTGTGACTGCAGCCTGTTTATAATTAAAGCAACGTAACGTCACGTGCACTGTCTGCTCCGGGCTTTATAAAACCTTACTTCTGGTATCAGCCTCGTGCACTAAAACGACATTTATAATTAAATGTGCCGTAAAAAGGCAAAGCCCCGCCGAGCGATCAATGCCGATGTTCAAATCTTATTAAAAAAAAAAAAAAAAAAGATCTCGACACAAACAAAGACGCGTAAGAGTCCCACCTTTAATAAAAACACATAAGATTGTATCGCTTCGTCAGAGAGTCTTAAAAGTTCTCGAAGTTGTTGTGTTTCCTCCGCAGTCAAACTCTTACCGTTGACTTTAGACGCGGATCCCGGGTGGAAGCAGAAGGCGATAACGGCGCCAAACAGCTTGATGAAATCCATGTCTACATGTTCCCCCGGTTGAGATGCACGATTAGTCCCGAGAGCGGGTTGCCTGCGCACGAGTTTTAGACTTTAGAGACGTTTAGAAGCCTGCGATGAACTGCGGGTGGAGGCAGTCCGGTGCGAAGTGGGTCATCTGGTGGAGGCGTGCATATGGCGCCTGTCTGAATGGGGGGAAAACACACAAGAGATAGACCGAGGTTTAGCTATTGTTTCCTACATGTAAACTCAAAACACTGAGGGATGCATTTGTGTGTCTGTGTCCTTCATGGAATCAGCGAAATCCCATTTCATGTGTAGTGATTACATCATAATGGGATGAATCGAGTTCTTTGTGCTAACACTGTGCATCATGGCTCCGGTAATAAAGTAAAGGATGAGGAATCTCTCATTTATTTTCCACAACTCACACAGACACACACGCACACACACATAGTGGTTGAGTGCTGCCTGTAATAAAGCAAGAAAGCAGAAAACAGAAAAGACAAGACTTTACAAACTTGAATGATGCATGTTAAATTAAAGTAAAATTCAACTGAAAACACCATTTTGTGAGCAGGGCAGAAAGTGAGATTGGGATATAGAGAGATAGAGAGGAAGAGACTAAAATAGAAAAACATGCAGCAGAGGAAGAGGAAATGACCTTTTTTTAGATGATTATACTTCCTGTCCATTCCTTTGGTTTTGATTCCAGATATTGCATCTTCATTTCCAGAATATAGTCTGTTAGTTAGTGAAAGTCTGGAGCAGTTACGAAGACTACTCTTCAAAAATAATAAAAAAGAATTAGAATAAGAATATTAACAAGAGAAAGATGAGAAAGTTCAGCAAAATCCAGCAAAATCCTCAGACTGAATTGTCTCCCATAAAACCCAAAAGCTGACTAGTTGGCTACTTTGGTTGAGAGGAATTAGTTGTTGACAGCAACATTGCTGCTTTTTGTATTCATATTTGTGAGACCCTAATTTGTTTAGGCTAAAATAGTAGAAGTCGAAATGTGTATGGATTTAAAGGTACTTAGTTCTTAGAACTGTCAATATGCTGTCTGGAGGAAGTTGTGTCTCACAGCTGGTGACTCACGAGCATTTCAGACACAGAACAACAACAACAAGTTATTTGATGTCTAGTTCTTGCCAGCAGATGACACCAAACTACCGACGGAGGGAGGGCGAGTAGCAAATCCATTGGAATTTAAAATGAATGTATTGCTGCCCAATGACATCGCTCGCCACTTTAACTCAAGTACTGTACTTTGGTACAATTTTGGGGTATTGAATATATTTGCTTTATTTCTCTTCTCTTATACCCCAGAGCATTTCGTAGATAATTAATGCTCCATTAATGCAATTTAATGAATGCCTTGGTAGCAAGGGACATAATACTTTAACTATATCTTTCCTATGGTACTTGAAAATACTTTTACTCAGACAATCGAATTTAAATCTATTTTTAAAGGCAGGACTTGATTGATTAAAGAATAAATGTTTCTAGCAAATTATTGCTAGCAAATGAAAAAATCCTCTTCAACTTTTGAGAGTTGCAGTTGTTTTTTAACATATTTGCTGTGTGAGTGGACAGACTGACTGACGATTCATTGGCTAACGATCTTTACTGTGACATGCCCACAGAGTGCAGCACTAGATGCTTCCCAGTGTATCCTCTTTCTCCCACAACTAAATGTGGCTCTTGCCTTGGGCCGCCGTTTTCATTGTTTTCCAATGTGATTATGTGTCAGTAACCATTATACCTTTTTTTTGAGAAACCCCCCAGATGTGTACATTAATAACTACCACAGCGCTCTTGCCATCTAGTGTATCTAACTACAGCATTCCTACTAAAGACAATTTCTATTCTACATCTTTTGTGCGTCAATATTCATTAAGAATTCAAGTTTCATCCAAATCTATACAATGAAATCAAATTCATTTGAGCATTTTATGGAAGCTACTCTACAAATACCATGCAATATACCTGTCATTCTGACCAAGCACCTGCAGGATTTTTGGAAGTGTTGCCTGGATGTTTTTTTAAACATAACTTTGAACCTTAACGCAACAACAACATAACTGTCATCTTAACTGTTCATTTCTGATGAAAAGAAACCTGAAGCAGTTGTTATTGTCAACCCAAGAGATCTATGTCAAATCTCGCTGACAGGTACATCTGCTGGGCGTAGGTGCTTGCTCCCGGCAGGGTTCACTGTCGGATGTCAGTGGTTGAATGTCATGGTGGAAACGGGGAGAAACTGTCTGTATGTAGAGTGACAGAGAACCGCTTGAAAGAAGCGCTCGAGTGTCATGCCTCTATGGTTGGATGTTGCTATAAAAGCCACACTGCACAACACAAGACACCAGGTAGCAGCAAGGGTAAAAACGTTCTCGTAGGCCTCTATCCAAAATTAATTGATTTTAAACTGTATATTTTTTAAGGATTAACAGCTTAAATCTACTTTGATAAATAGCTAATATATTGTTTTTTTAGTATAATTTCGGCGTTTTTATTGTTTTGTATTCATCCCTGGACTTCCAGCCTCATCAGAACAGCATGATTCTCCATCTTTGCCTCCCTCTGCTGGTTGGGCTCCTGCATCCAGCTCTGTGTGTCTACAACTGCTCGTCTCAGTACGAAAGAATCCCAGGTGTGTCAAACTACCACCGAGCCGCATGGTTTGCTTCAGTATGAGTATTTCTGAAAAATTCAGTGCAGAAGGTAGTTTGTGAGAAGTAAAAGTTGTGAAAATAACCGTGGTTAATGTGGTTGTCAATGTAATGTATATTTTCCTCTTTCAACATCAACTGATTCTCTTTTTGTTCTGCACCATCAAAAACCGTCAAGTATTTTCCCTTCCCTTCTCTTACAGACAATTCAGACGTGACAGTCGTCTGTGGCGCAAGAACCATCACTTTGGAGATCAACCTGTGCACAGCTCAGTGGGCAGGCTTCAGCATCACAGACCTCGCTCTGAACGGGAACCACAATGCTTCAGAGTGCCAAGGCTCGATGGACAACCGTGTAGACCCTCCAGTCATCCGTTACCAGCTCCCTGTTAACCACAGCCAGGAGAACCCCTGCCGCCAATCTCTGCAGGTCAGGACGTGTCTACAGGAGAATTAACGTACGCATAGTTCCAGTGATGGGGCTTTGATAAACAACACTTCTTTTGGGGTTTTGTTGCTGTATAGAGGGATTTCTTGCAATGGTTATTTTGTTGTGTTGTTCAGATTGTGGATGAGATACCGGACCCCACAGGTCCATTCAGTAGCTTCTTAAGTATCCAGGCAGCGATCATCACCGGGTTCATTGACACACCCGGATCCGACCAGGGGTTGATCAGCTACTCCACAGACCTCTACTATCACTTCTCCTGCCGCTACCCGCTGGAGTACCTGATCAACAACACACAGATTGTGGCGTGAGTAACAGGAAGTTCCTTTTAAAGGAATCCTGCAATGCACAGAGGGGATATTTTTGATATACACTATCAGAGGCCCCGCATATTGAAAGTGCAGGAGGTGCAGTTGCATAGGGACTGAACCAAATATCAGTTAGGACTTACATCAACATGGTTACGGTGCTACCTGCTAGATATTCCCTCTGTAAACATGTCAATCTTAATGTAACTTTAACAGAACTATATGCATATTCTACATCAACCTTAAAAAAATATCTTTTTGGGTGTTATTGTCATATATACATATGCAATGAAGGTTGTTCAATGTTATGATGATGTCCAATGTCAAGCCCCTCATTGATCATCTTTACGATGTGTGTGTGCTTGCACTCCATTGCCTTTTGTTTGGCAACAACAACTGACAAAAACTTTCTTTCCATCATTTATAAGCTCCTCAGTTTCAGTGGCCTCCAGCAATAACAGTGGAACGTTCATTGATACCCTAAGAATGAGCGTCTATAATGTAAGTGTGCATTTAGTTCTTTTAGGGTAAAATCAGTCAATGGAAACCGCTCTATAGTAAAGTATATCTGATTTCCTCTTTCTCCAGGACTCTGACCATGCCTACCCGTTAGTGGTGCCTTCCACAGGACTTGAACTACGCACCAAGATCTATGTAGAGGTCAAGGCTGTTAACCTCACAGGAAAGTAAGTAATTAGCATTGGGATGAGTCGATGTTTATAGTAAATTCTTCTCATCAAAAAACAAATATTGACATCAAAAGTTCTTGCTGCAAACAGTAAATCATTGGCCCACTGATTTCAGTTTCCATGTACTGCTGGACCACTGCTTTGGCACTCCCACTGCTTACAACGTGTCGCAGACTGAGCAGCACAACTTCTTCACAGGGTATAAACACACACTTAAACACACACTTCGATAGTTTATCTTTTTACATGGGGAAAAAAGGGCACTTATCATCGCTTAACATTACAAATGTAGATGGCATCCAAATATTTCTGCTCTCCGCTAGGTGTTCAGTGGACCCAAGGACGTCTGTGACAAGCAACGGCCTTTCAAATGTTGCCTGGTTTAACTTTGAGGCCTTCCGCTTTGTCCAGCACCGCAGCCAGGATGTGTCTAGCATCTATCTGCACTGCATAATGAGGCTGTGTGAGCCCAGCAAATGTCAGGAGCTCCTGTCTGTAAGTGCACAATTTAGAGAAAGAAATGCAAATTAAACAACTTTCAAAGGTTCCCCAATGATAATATTCCTTAGACCGGGAGTTATTGTATATGATACATATATCATTGTGTATTTAACCTACCCTTTTAAAATTACACACAATGTTGAGCAGACAACGTCACAGTGAAAGACCCAATCTGATACAAAGACATCTACTCAAAACATTACATTAAGACATTTGTGGATGTACTTAGAGGTATTATTGGTCTTATTACATAACTGACCCTGATATCTTGGACATTGTGGTTTATGATATTCTCCTACACTTGAGCATGACGTTTTTCCTCATATAACATAGATCTCACCCAACTGAATGTGTGTTATTTTTCAGGCCTGTGGAAAGAGAAGAAAACGCTCTGTGAGTCCTTTTGGAGAAGAAAGCAGCGAATCTGCCACTGTTACAGTTGGACCGCTTTACACTGCTGCCGTAGAAGGTAAGAAACCCGCAAAATATACAGTGTGAACCAGAATGAAAAGTTAACTTTTTCTCTGACATACTCCTCTTCCCCATCTAAAGACAGGCCAAATGCAGCTGCTTACAGTGAGTATATTGTGATCTAAATCATCATTATAAATACATTTGTATATCTTGGAGGAACTGGGAAGACAACACAAAAAGCCTTCTTGAATAACGCCCCTCCCTGCATGCATCAGGTAGTGACGTGGCATCAGAGAGGGACGATGTGAACGTGGCGGCTCTGGTCGTGGGGTTGGTGTTCGGATCGGCTGCTGCTGCTTTGCTGGTTCTGGCTGGCTGGTTCGCCCTGAAGAAGTTTTATTGGGCGGGAGGATTGCCCCATGCCTTTAACTGATCGGTCAATTGGCCAATTAGCTTTACCTCATAAGATATTATAATGGTATATTATATGTTTATTGGTGAAGGTGAAATTTGAATTCGTTTTGTAGTAAATGTAGTAATCACGGGACAATTTAATATACACGCTAAGCACCTCTGTGCTGTATCTGCAATCATTTATTGTGTATGATGGAACAGTCACACCTGAACTATATACAAAAACGACGCATGAACTTGGACATTTAAAAAACAATACTTTTAATAAACAGTTGTATACACATATGTATAGTTTTCAACAGAATGTACATACTGTATTCTCTATAAGTCAGATTTTTTTTTTCATATTCAAAATAAAGTTTGAAATCTGATTGGTTGTGGTTGATATAACATGCGCTGTAAACAAAGGACATAAATCTAAAGCAAACAATGAATATTTACAGCCTACTTATTTTATAATAGCAAACAGTTGACCAAATGCATGGATGTGAATGGAATTATTCACTTTTTTATTGTTAGCTTTGTGCGAAGATTGTACAGTTGTCTCACTGCACTGAGTGCATAATGTCCTGGATGAGAGCAGAGAGTTTGACTGTGAAATCCCCCTGCAAGGAGGAAGAAGAAACAGGAGACAGACCGTAGGCTCCCTGGACCTCAGACTCCTCCTCAAGCCCCTGAAACAGCCTCTCCATTCGGACGTCGAAAACTTGGCTCTGCAGGGCCGCATTTTCGCAAAACCGCTCCATGCTGTCTGTGACGTCCGCCTTACAAAGGCGTGACGTTCCCAGCAGAGCGGCAAGCTCAGATTTAAGAGCCCCTGTCCTCTCTTGCGCCTCCATTCTCAGCAAACCCACTTCCTGTCCCAACCTGGAACTGATTTCCAGCCATTGCTCTGACTCGGCCGCCTCTTGCTCACCGCCGCTGATCTCTTTCAGACGGTCGATCATCTCGACGGTTTTAGCGTGGAAGTCGTCAATGACGGCGGCCACCTTGGCGCTGCTGTGCTCCATTGTTTGGCTCACCCACTGGAAGGCTTCCTGGTACAGAGCCGGATTGGCCTCTGCCTGCTCCTCTGCCGTCTCCAGGCCCTGCAGATAGAGGCTCAGCTGGCCGCACAAATCTTTGGTGTTGCTGCTGAGGGAGCTCTGGAGCTGCTGGGTGAGAGGAGCCAAACGCTCCCTCATGCTGGCTAGAGCGGAGCTGGGGTGGGCCGGAGATGGGGACAACCTCTCTCGTAGCTCGGCCAGCTCCTGGCGCAGACGGATGCGCAGGCGCTCCGACTCCATGTTGAGTTTGCGTTGCATCTCTTCTGCCACGGGGTTCTTGGTGAGGTCATCTCGGCCGTAAAGGTCACTGCTGTCGATGTTGGTCTTGTAGATGTTACTGAGCAAAGAGGCACAAAAAGCACTTTATTAGACAGTGTTTTGATGTTTCTTCTCTTTAGGTATTTTCCATTTCACCTGAGTGTATGGACACCGATGTATTTGGGGTCTTTAACCAGTTTACAGTGCCTAGTTTAGTCAACTTACTCGTCATCCTTAATAGGTTCGGTCTTGTCATGAGCCTGGTTGGCTTTCCGAGTTGCCTCCTCTGGTGTGAGTGGGTATGCTGCAGATAAAGGAAAAAACATCCATGAAAAAATATATACAAATGCCAAATAAAGGCAATTTAACAGTATTTGAGGAACAGTGTATACCTGATGCTGTCAAGAATGACAAGGCGAAGATCACAACTTTTAGATGCATTTTTAACTGTCTGTATAGGGACAGAAGAAAAATTATTACATACGTATTAAACATCAGAACAAACAAATGACTAAAAACATTTTAGGAATAATACATTTGTAATTCCTTTTCCAAACATTCCCTTATCTGTCTAACAAAGGAGACAAGAATAAGATCAATATGTGAAGAAGTGGCTAGCCATTACCTGAGGATCAGGGGTCTGCAGAGGGACTTCTCCTCTCATCCGACTTATAGGTCCTTGTTATCAGAGAGTCTGCCTGTGTAAACAGTCAACACGTGGAGGGTCAAACCAATGACAGAACACACACACACACACCGAGCTACACAAACACGTACTCACTTACAGAGCCCACACACACAACAAACGGAATGAGGCGTTGCCAATAAAACTCCCCTGTTGAACCCTCATAAAACTTAACTTTCAAAGGGAGTAAGTACTCTGATTAGAAGCATTATCGGATAACAGGAGAAAAACTAGATATTGATGATATAGAAAGATTGTTGCACACTCAGTTGTGTGTCCTTATTCCAAATAAAAAAGGAAAAACTAGGTAGAAGTTCAACGTTGCGACCCCAAAAAACGGTTCAACAAGTCCAAGTTTGGGTGTCCAAAGCTAACTGGAAATGTGGCTGGATTTCAATTTTTTTTTACATCAAAGCCCAACTTTGCCAGGAACCAGATTTATATCAGTATTTACATAGGGTTCACAACCTGATGTTGCTTTTTCAGCATTATGCAAGATTTTTGTTTTTGCTTTGAATGTTTTATATTGTGTAAGAATTCAGTGTATCCACTTTTGGATCCGCTCATGGAGCTTTGATTATGAAAGCTTGTTCTGATTATTGACAAACAAAATTTTACAAATTTAAAGCGGCTTAAAAAAAGCAAAAGTGAACACTGCTGCTTATGCAAAATGTTTGCCCTGTTTCTTATTCACCATCAAAAGAAAAGATAACGTTTGTGCATTATGGAGTTCACATGATCATTCACACTGTGTTATTTCTCCGTTTACATTAGTAATGCAGAGGAAGTGCTTTGCCAATGATATCCTGTCCATGATCCCTTTAACCTATAGAGTATTTGTGAGTGACATGGATGTGTAGGTGAAAGGTGAATCCTGTTTAGTTGGGTAAGTATTGAGACGTCACTGTTGGGTCATAGTCCATGGCTACCGTGATGAAATATGCGCCCTTTTCCAATTATCCAAAGTCCAACATTTATTTCACTTCAATTACAGAGGGAGTGAGATATTTGATCATTGAAAAGATAGCTGATAAAACGATAACTTTAACATATTATATGTGCCCTTAGAAAGCCTTGACATGAATGAAGTTTATGGGCCTAATATGTGAATTTCAATGGGAATTGAGTAGCTGCTGTGATGCACATTGTCCTTAAAATACTCCTTCCTTCCTCTAAAGCAAAGCTGTGTTGATGTACCTTGCAAGCCAAATCTTTAATCAGTTGCATGGTAGGCTTGAGAAGAATAAAGGCGGGAATATGACCCGGCAGCGCCAGGCGGCCGCACTCTGTTTTCCCTGCTTATTTCCACTGTCACTGTCACCTAACCTCACAGGCATCATAAATCATTCAGCAGGCCATTGAAAGTGATGCAGCACAACTATCCTGCTACTACATCTCTGTCCTATACCAACAGACAGATCAGGACATGTGTGCAAGACTACAGCAGACAGGAGTGAGGTTACTACACCATCTTCAAATACTTCAACTTCTTTATTGGCTACGACCAAAACGAGGCAGGACATCAAGAGACTTTTCACAGGTCCTGGATGAAGAATTTCAAAACCTCGGCAGCTGGACATATTAACTATGCTATGGACTTGTAGATGGGAGAGTTTCAGGTGTGTGTGGTGGCTGAGTGTTGTGCTTCTTAGTCTGGTCCATGGAAACAACTTAAGTCATCAGTTCCAGGAGAGGCCATCCTGCCGGCCAGGTATGCTATCTTGACTGTACACTAGGGTATTTCGATAAGAGGGCAAGAAATGAAATAGTATTTGACACATACATGACACAAACTCACACACGTCCACCGTTAACTTTCTCTAGATAGTTTTGGCGAGCAACAGACCACCAGTGTACTTCTTGTATTTCTCTATTCTAGTAGTATGTGTACATAAGTATGTGTATGTATTTATTTATTTATGATTTAGGTTTCTACTGCCCTTTGTGGGACTTCATTCCAGTCCCTTGTCCCAGAGGAACCTATGGGCCAACTTCTGGTGCAACGTCCATCGACAGCTGTTTCAAGTGTCCTGCTCAGCACTTCTGTCCTGGACCAGGCCTGTCCGCCTCCCTGCCCTGTGGTCCTGAGGCTCAGCAGCCTCTCTCTGGTCAAGACACCTGCGTTTGTCTGGGAGAGGGACAGATTTTCCAGGTGACAAAGGGTTCTCACACGATTGTGCAGTAGGATCAACCAGGTCATTACTGCAGCATTTACCTTCTCTAAAGTGGGTTCACTGTATGTCAACATTTTAATATCAACTCCACCTCGTACTTTAATCTCTTCTTTTATTTTATCAATCATTTATTCTTGAGCGTATGATTTTATTTATTTTACTTTATTTTGCATCCCAGGAAACATTATGCAAAGTAACGGGATAGTAGTTTCCTCACTGAGAGGAAACTTTACACCACAATCTGTTACGTCAACCTGAAAGAGCTCTAGATCAGATTCCTTTGCTGTAGGCTTGAGTTTTCTACTATGTTGCAGTCTGCTCTGGTAATTAGCCCCTATAGTCATCACTTAATAAGGACTATTTGATTTCATTTTCTCTGATTGATCTATGAGTGATTGGGGGAACAAATAAGGAATGAATAAATAGTGGAAGGAAGGCAGGAAGGAAGAGTAATATAAGGAAGGAGAGCTATATTTTGATATGCATGTTCATTAATGAATGACCAGATGAGCAAATCAGGTCACAAACGGGCCGCACTGTGAACTGCATGCAGTGTTCTACAATAAAATGTTTAAACTGCATTTTTTGCAGACCAGTGATGGGAGGTGCCACTGCACCATCGGCTACCAACCTGCCAACAATGGAGAGGCGTGCGTACACAAACTCTACTATGTCTGCAGAGATGGAAGAACTCGTTCACAGTACGGAGACTGTCTGGACAGATATCAGTGGTTACTTCATTGCAGGCAACAGGTTAGGCTTTGTTCAATTGTATCACACACAGATGCAGGCCTGCACACTAGTAGAGCAAAGGTTATCTATAACTTATCCTGACGATCTGAGTGAATGACGCTTAAGGATTTTGATGGACTGCAGATGAGGTCTGTTTACAGAACACACTGAAAAAACAAGCGCTGCATTCATAGAACAAGGCTAATCATTACAACCTAGATGTCTTTGGCCTTTCCGCCATGAACCTGACAACAGTTTACCTGGCAGAGGGTTAGTTCCACTTAATATTTAACCATTAACTACTTCCTGTGACTGTCAGTTAGTGAGGCCCGCACTGTGCTACCCATTTGTGTCACTGCGCTCCATAGAAGTATTCGGTACAAATAACCTTACACCTAGTTACACACTCAAACCGGGCATGAGTTGAGAGGGATTTTTTTTTTTTAAGTGTGTCAAATCATTCTTATTCGGAGAAAAGATGAGTAATATAGTATTTGCTTGGTTTCAAAAAATAATTATAGTTGACTAATAAAAACCTATTATTAGCTTTGCACTGGTTTCTTTCCTGCAGGTGTGTCCCACTGAAGAGGACTACCGGGGTTATGACGGGGAGCTTGGTCTGTGCGTATGCAGAGAGCCTCCTGGAAGATCTGCATGTGGAGGCCTTTGTAGGAGAAGGCCAGCTACTGAGTTAAAGCTCAACTGCCAGTACAATGGAGATATGGAGCTGGTGTGGAGCTACGGCAGTCAGGTCAGTAAAGGCAGTTGCTAATTAAGTAATCTTTCTGTTATCCATATAGTATTTCCATTGCCTTTTTTTAAACAGACCTATACATTGTAAGCACTATTATCGTGTATGTTGTGTCAGGTGACAGGCGTCTCTGGCAGCGGGCTGGATTTGTTTTTTAAACAGTCAGACTTCCTGGGGACTCCTCTGTGTACCAGTTATCTCAACTCTTCACATGCTGTCTACATTGTTCAGACCACCGGTAAAGACACGCACACAAGTGGCTTTCTCTCTGTCTTTTCTCCTCTATCTTCATCTGTATCACACATCTTAAAACCTATTGTCTGATTGCAGAGGCAGGCTTCATCGGCCTCCTCAGCGGCCTCCCTAAGGAGCTTCAGCAGCTCTTTCCTGTCGGCACACAGTGGGACACTCAGACTTCAGGTGGTTTGTCAAAAACACATTTCCTTGTCGTCAAAACAGATAATGATGAATGAGCCACATTGAAGGTCCTATAATGTCGTTGTTTTTTTAGGGAGAGATTCTGGCGTTCTGTGGGAGATCACGGAAGATGAATACATCAGTCGTGAAGGAATAGAAATGAATTCCAGCCACAGGAAGGGAAACAAGAGTGATACCAAGGAAGAAGTGAAAGACACAAGTGTAACCGGAGTCCTGAACCCCACAACTTGTCTCCGTTTGGGGGACGTTATACTCTTCACTGTGGATACACGTCTCTATCCTCAGTATGATCTGTAGGTTAAATGCTAAGCCTACAAAATGTGCACATCCATTTTTGCAAATGTCTTATTTCCTTTACCTTCACTTCATGTCTGGCAGTGACAACTTGTACAACACAAACAGAGACTTCGACTGGGGCGCATTCAGACAGCTGAAGGAAGAGCTGACCCTGTCTTGGACTCCTCCTAGTTTCTTTGCAGTGGTCTTTAGCCAGCCCGGAGTGTACGTTTTTACACTGAGCAGCAATCAGCACAAACACTTGGTAAGGGAATTTGAAATAACAAATGATTTTCTGACTTCTGACCTGCTATAGGCTGAACAACAAACACAATTCTGTAAAGGATTGAGATAAATTAGACAGGAGTGCGTATCCAATCACCAATATAGGTATGGCGTGCTGATTCCTTTGATCAAAATCAAACTGGAGTACACAGTATCTGAAACAAAACTGTCACATGTCCCCCTACCTTCTGCTCTCTAACTTTTCATACCTAGTATGTGAGGGTGATGCCTGCAGGCGGCCAGTGTTATGAGCCCAGCCCCTTCTTCCCCACCATCCCTCGACACGTGACCAGGGTGGGAATCAGTAGGAGACGCAACCTGCTGCTGCGGCCGGACTGGCTGGTGACCGGAGGACTACTATTTGGAGCTGTGATCATCCTGTGTATTTGTGTTACACTGCTGGTTAGTGTGCATTCCCAAACACACACCATCAGATGTTCAAACTATCACTTATTCACATTCATCTATCAATCCATCTCAACATTTAGATCCTGTTTCGTGAATATGGATGGCCTGAGAAGCAGCCAATCACAGCCCGGTATCGTTTGTCACAGCTGTCCTACCAAATGGACGACTACTCGTCAAAAGGATCGAGGGTGATGTCACTGAGGAAGATCCACCGAAACCATCAAGCTCAAATGACACAAGACTCCATTCCGCCAGGTACAATATTCCAACCCACAGTCGCAGAGACATGATCTCTGCTCATTCATTTCAACGCTTAAACTTAACGCCATATGTTAAATAACCTGCATTAAAACATGATCTGCATCACGTGAATGGATGCCCCTGCAGTGTGCACATAACACACAAACACACAGACTCACACAGGAAAACTGACACTTGTTGAGTTGAAAACCTCATGAATTCTTATATATTGCTGATGGTGCCCCCCGGGCGCTCCCACCCAACCTGTTACTGGTGAAAAGGCTCTTGTCACAATCCTGATGTCACAGGATTTCGGAAATCCCCACTATGACTATTATGAGGCATTTTTATGCAAATGCCACAATAAAACTTTTAAACTTTGCTACAGTTATCAATTGACTGTGCAATAGTGTGTTAAGAAGGCACAAGCCATTATCAAAACAAGGACATATAACATCTCCTCTCAAAGGCCAGTTCTTTGTAAAATGCTTCGGCCAGCAAAGAGTGGGCTGTTTGCTTAAGAGTGAAATGATTTATCAAAGCTTCTGATGTGCATATATTAAGAAAAGCGTGTACCAGAAAACACTACAGCAGATGTACCAAAACATGCAGATACGGGCAACGCGGTCCACGTTCGTGAGGTGGGGGTTTATATTCTAATGGTCTGTACTTGGATTTGTGTTGTGTTTGACTTTTTTTCTTTCAGTCTTGGACGAGTTTTGGGATTATGAGCATCAGGTTGATCTGGAAGCATTCAGCAGCAACACCTTCTACAGCCTCCTGCTCAAACAGAGTCTGTCCGTCACCGCACGCCTTGGACAGCTCACCACTGAGGCCTGTAGCTCTTTGTTTAAACACAAAAAACAATCCATTAAAACAGGAATGACACGCAGTCGCTCTTTTTTTCGGATTCATGTAGTTCTTTTCTAAAAGGCTTCTTATGCTCCACAGATACAATTATGCATTGTATGCATTGTATTAAATGATTGTTTAATGAATATTTAAAGCTTTAGGATCCACTAAGCTGCAATGTATATAAGGATGCTTTTGTTTACACTATGCTAATGGATAGATAACATCTCACATCACTTTGAAAGATATATATTCGCTTTATTGCTAAGCTTTTGACTAGAAGATTGGGACCACTCTAATAAGAAGCTACCACCAGCCACTGTATGACCGGAAACAGATGGGAACAGCGGGCCTGGCTGTCAGAAGTTATAAAAACCTGCCCTCCAGTACTGGTCCAGCTCACTAATTAGCATTTCATATCTTCACGCATTTCAAGAAAATCACTAACAGTTTAAAGAAGACTTTTTGCTCAACGCATTAATCTTTACATTTAGTGATCCTTAAAGATTTACATATGGTATGCACATATTTTTTACTTTTGGACAGAGCAACGCAAGCTGTTTTCCTCTGTTTCCAGTTGTTGAACTAAGATAAACTAAGCCAACCAGATGTTGCCTGTAGCTTTATATTTACATTACATATATGAAAGTGTTGTTGATCTTCTAATTATCCTCCGGGTTTATATCCTTATGGTTGAAATGCACTTATTGTAAGTTGCTTTGGATAAAAGCGTCAGCTAAATGACATGTAATGTAATTAATCACATCTTATATTGTAGCCTGACTGTAAGTCTACATCCCAACAATGATTTCTGACAAACCACAATACAAACTGTATTTACTAACCCCAGTATTGGCGACAGATTGTTGTTACAGCCCTCAGGACAGCTGTGGTGCTAAAGATGTAAGTGGAGATGCCACACATCACAACTATGGGTCACAGGCCTGAATGTCTTACCAGTGCAGCCTGCGTTGCATCGGGTGTCTGACCTGATAGCTACGATTTAAGACATTTTGTTCTCACATGTATGTGTCTCTTTGTATCCAGGTAAAGGAGCTCTATCAGGGAGTTCTTGGGAAACTGCAGCTACTCCACCCTGGCCTGATCACCGAGGAGAGAATGGGAGAGGGATGTGAGAGGATGAGGAGGGAGGTGGAGAAGGAGGTGGTACGACGGAAGACTCTGGCCTCACAGCTGAGGACACTGCTCGACAGTCAGCTGCAGGTTTGTTTTACACGGCGTTCACATCAGTACATCCTCTGTTATTTAAGATCAGGTGGGTGGCTTCTTTCCGTAAACTATTTATTCTACCAACACGGATGAGAAAATAGAAAGAGGATGAGAAGGTTTCCAAAAGAAATTTTCGGCTGAAATTATTAATTTTCCAACATGCCGAGCATTTTAGACTTGAAATGGGAATATGATTGACTGATTCATCCAAATAAATAAATAATAATAAATCTTCCGTTTACCAATTATCAATAAATGCACCAATTGCATCAATTGTAGGTTACATACTTAGTACGTGCCGTTAGGTGTGAATGTTTTTGTGGTTTCTCCAGGTCTTGAGGCGAGAGCAGCAGGCTCAGCAGAGGGTGCACAGCGTGTTCATAGCTCAGCTCAGAGAGTGCACAAGACTACTCTGCAAGGCTCACGACAACAATCTCCAACAGAGGTAAAGCTTCCAGTCGTCCCTCGCAAAGTGACACAAACGACAAGCACGTTGAGTAAAATCGGCTGACATCTTCCGTCTGACGTTTGCCATCTTCAGTTTGACCCAGCGGCTGAGCGCCCTGGTAGAGGAGATGGGAGAGCTGGTGTCAGCAGAGTGCCAGCGTCAGGGGGCCTGGGGGTTTCTGGGGGAGGGTACGGGGGCCAAGCTGCTCTGCCCTGACTCTGGAACCGTGCTGACCAAGGACCACATCTTTGGTGATGATATTAAAAAAACTCTTGCCTTGAATTTTAGAAAAACAGCACCACCCGTTGCTTAAAAATGTGCACTACAAGAAAAAATGTAGATAAAAGAAGTACACAATTCTGTTCTGCAATCAGCAATCATGCGAATATGCCCACATGTTCCCAGTTTAGGGACATACGTCCAATTTTTACGGTACTGAAAACATGCATACCTAATTAGCTAATTCAAAAAGTATATTCCAAAAGTGGCTCTCCCACTGTAATATAGAGGTGTACATAAACAATAAAGACACATAACCCTTTCACTTGACTAAACTTCATCAATCCATTTAAAAACAAATGAACAGTAAAAGCTGTCCACGCTTCATGTGTCATCTGTCATAATCATCCGCTGTTTGATGATCAATCTTTTCCCGCCTTCCTTCAGCTCCTGATGGATCCATGCGTCCTTGCAGGGCCCTTCATTGGGATTCAGTCACAGGGCTCTTAAGGCCGAATGCTCACAGCCACATGCTGCTGAGCAGCGGCCACAACGTGGCAGTGCCACCTGATTTCTTCATCAACCCACAGACCGGCAGAGTGATGCCCATAGCGGGCAACGTGGCCTACGACCCCGCAAGCTCTACTCTGGTTTCCACCACAGGCTCGTGTTCAGGTAATGTGCCAGGATGGGAAGGCAAGACGAGGCGGTTTGACCTAAATTGAAAAAAGGCATCCAACAATGGAAGCAAGATACTTATTTTTACATTGTGGATAACTTATAGCCATGCTATGACAATGTATTTACTTTTTCTTAGAGGTTATAGGAATACCAGTCAAAATGTTGGACACCGTTTCTTCTGAGTAAAGGGTGTCCAAACCTTTTGACTGGTACTGTATATTATTAGCAACAATTAATAAAAAACGTTCAAATCAGTTTAGACATTAGGTTCTTGGATTTGGGGATGTCATTTAAAAACGATATTTCCGTTTACTTCAGAGTGAAAGTGAAAGTGAGAGAAACCTGTAAATGAATCGTAGAAAAGGGCATAATATTACAGTCCTGGGTCTTTGAAATTGCATCAAAAGAAAATGACCAGAAGGGGACAATTTCAGGCGAGACCACACCATATGGTAAATTAACCCGGGGGTCTTTTGTACCTGTGTCTGTAGTTTGCGGACGTTTTAATAAACTAATCTGTTCTTCTCTCAGGAGACAGCAGGAAGTGGGACAGTCCCCTCCTTCCTTTCCTTCCTTACCCAACCTCCAGCCACTCAGAACAGCCTCTGTCCAACACTCGTCTTAGAGGCCTCAGGCCGGGCCAGCAGTTGCAACTGGGAGTTCCCATGGCGGACCCGGACACAGGAGTGCCAGTGCCAATTCTGGCTGTGACCATCCACCCCCAGACAGGACTCGTCTACCCACTGGGCGGGGTGCACGTCTGTCCCCTCACCCGCCTGCTGCAGCCCATACAGATTGGCTACCCCATGCTGGACTCCAAAACGGGGAACGTTGTGCTCACTGTTGGGGTCAGTCTGGATCCAGCATCAGGTTAGTACTGACGCTGAAACAGCCCGCGTTGACGATATCACACAGTGAGGTAACTGTGTCCCGTGTAGGAGTTGTGCTGCCAGTCGGTGGAGTCCTGCTGGCGGAGTCCTTTATTGAACCTCTAAGTGGCCGGATGTTGAGAGTGGGAGGTGCAATCATGCAGACTGGGCAGCTGCTGCCTAACGCTGGTGGATACCAGACCTTCCTAGACAGCAAGGTGCTGTACCAACAAATTCCCTTTTTGAGCTTGAAAACAGCAGCGGGCAAAAATAATTTCACACGGACAACCGATTCATTCCGTATTTTAGATGTTGAGCCAAAAGAAATGTCGTGAGTGAATGTAAAACGCTTCTCCGTTAGGTTCTGTCCGTGCTGTTCAAAGTGTTGGAGCTTCTGAAGACACTGACTGACGTGTGGGGATCAGATCAAAATTTGCAGCACCATCAGGGCAGCGAGAGAGGGAACGGCCGCCAAGATCATCTGGTAGCTGCAGCCAAAGAGCTCCAGCAGGCCTGGGGACGCAGCCTGCACTGCCAGATGCAGCTGCAGACCAGGTTGGGTATCCTCCTTGACTGGGCTGCAGGTCTGCAGAAGGATGGCGGGACTTTGGGTGAGGAAATGACAGCAAGAGGGAGTAGTCTGCTGTGAGCAGGAGATGGCAAAGTTACTTCTCTATTTGTTTGGTTGGTTCTCCCTCCTCCTTCTGTTGTTGTTGTAAATGAGGTGCTCTGTTTCTTCTTTTTTTAGCTGTCGATCTTTTCATAAAACCTTTTGCTTGTGATTGCAAACAGATTGTCCTAAAAGTAGATTATACTTTTTTCTCCTTTTACTGTTCTCTTTTTTACTTTTACTTCTCTTTTCTTTACACCTGTTTGGGAATACCATTTCAATGGGAATACCATTTACTGAGCGCGCACAGCTGTTTTTGAAACTAAGAGCATTTATATTAAAAAAAAACAACCTTTATGTATTATTTTTTGCTGCTCTCAGGTATCACAGTGTTGCCCGTAAGTGCCTTCTAATACTGAGATCAAAAGGAGTTTCAAGCATAAAATGAATTATGCATTTTTCATGAGCCTAAGGTGGAAAACATTTTTCATAGCTCAAATGCTTTTCACATGGCCTTTAATTATCAAAGGCGACCCCCTCCCCTCTTCATAGACCAAGCAGTAACCCATGCACATATTAGAATACTTAGTAATTATGTTGTTCTGACATATAGTGCAGCGGATTTGAGATCTGCTTTATCTCATAATTGTGCCGTGCTTAATATAAGTCTCACTGGGATTAAATTACGTAAACATGAATTGCGCTGTGAATGGCATGTTTACTTCATTTGTTCCGCTGTTTCATCTCACTCTCCTGAGTGTCAAATTTCCTTAGTACGGAAATATTGTTGATCTGCTCGAGGCCTTTTCTAATCTGCCCTTCGTGACAGGCTTACCGTGTTCTCTGCATGGTTTCAGCAGCTGCGGGTTATGCTCTCACATGGGCTGTGCTGGATCACCTGTTTCTTATTTCTGCATCTCATTGTGTTTAATATACGTTGCCAGATGTGCCTTTCAGTCACAATCCACTCTCACGTACCTCACTCTGTGTGTTTACAGAGTTCACTTGTGCTTTTGCAAGGCATAGATTTATTGTTGCCAAATAAACACAAAAGTAGCACTATAAGAAGAGAATGTAAAATCAAGTCTTTGCTGTACTGGTTAGAAAGTCCTGACCTACTTCTGATGCTGCCTAACTTGCTAGAACAGTTTTTCCATAAAGATTCAGGGCAGACTTAAATATTTGAACACCATGTCATATTTTGTTCACTCTACTCCAACTTTCTTTTGTGTTGTCCAAACCAGGAGAGATGCCTCTCCCAGGTTCAGATGTGTGTGTGCCCGCTCTGCTGGGGATGGAGTACCCTGACCCCATGGGATCTGGTCTGAGTGTGCCCGTGCTGGGGGGTCAGACAGACTTTGTCTCTGGAAAAATAATACCGCTGGCCGGTACCATGGAGGACCCCGATGGAAAAGGTACTGTAAGACAGAAAAAATTGCACGGGTTCACAGTTCACCTAATCCACTTTTTCCATTTCTGTGTTGCACTTCACAGGCCTGGTGGCTATCTGTTACGCTTCTCAGACTGTGGACCCGGTGACTGGGGTGTTGACCCCAGTGGTTGGAGCCAGGTTGGATGCGTCCAGGAAACACGTTGTGCCAGTCACAGCCTCTTACTGGCTGACGGTGGCCAGTGAAACTGACAGTGTGCAGGTGGGAAAGTAATTCAGAAGGGTGTTTCCATAAAGGATAAAACACAAGAAACCTTTAATTTAAATAAGTAGCATATTGGTGATGCACTTCTCCACCTGATGTTTATTTTTTATCCTAATAAATACCGCAGGAGGGCATTTTTTATGTTAAGCGATGTGTGCTCCAGCATTCCATTTTACATTCCATTGAAATTATTTACATGACATTTTAGCAAAGTTGACTATTTTTTCTTGTTATGCTATTGTATGCCAGGTGGAGGCGCTGCAGAGGGAAGTGTGTGCGCGAAACACTTACTGGCAGCAGCAGAGGCAGCGGGAGGAAGATGTTCTCTCTGACCTGGACTTAGCCGCCTTCCAATGTCTCTTTAGAGTTACAGAAACAAAGTCTCATCAGGTCAGTGGTACAGTTTGCTGTGTGTCCGCACATATATGCCTCCACAGTACTAGTGTGTGCTCTGCTGCAGGTCCAGTGGTCGGGGATGCAGCTGAAGGAAGCAGCCATGGAACTGCAGGGTTCGGCGCAGATGGAAGTACAAAGGAGAGCAGCTCGGCGCTCCCAGTTGGCTCTGATCTTGCCTCTGCATGTATTACACATCCTCACGCAGGGTAAATTGGCTGGCAAGCAGGCGATATGAGAAGAAATGAAGGAAATTGACGACCTCCACTGTGGTTATATGCGTTGCTTTGTCAAAAGACTGACACTTCACACCAGTATCTCACAGAGCACCTTTCAGTTGTATAGTTATTTGCATAATTGTAATGTTTTATTTGGGTTTGTAGGAAGTCTTTGTGCGTTCTGTCTGCACAGGTGACGAGGAAGCGTGGGAAAGGCAGTGTGCGTGGCACTCAGAGCTTGTGGCAGGCCTTGATAAGCTGGATGTAAGTATGGAGCAGCTGCAACAAGACCAAGAAAAATGGACAGCACAAGGAGGAGACTGGGCTTCAACCATGCATGCTACGGTCAGATTACTGGATTTTCCGCCTGTTTTTTGCACTGAAGCTTGAATGGTGACCGACACAGGTCAGGCGTTTAGCTCCCTCCCCCACCAACAATGCCATAATGATTGAACTTTGGTGCCAGACAAGATGTACTCAGTCACATTGTCATCCGTTCGTAAATGACCTATAATGCTTCTTCTCAAGGTCAAGCCTGTGTGTATTCCTCCTGCAGGACAGAGAGCTGAGACAGCGAGAGTTGTGGGAGCAGTGTTGCTCCAGACTGACAGAGTTGGAAGCTGCTCTTAACGCACTGCATTCTGTCAGACACCTCTCTCAACTCCGCGCAGACACTGCTCAGGTTTAAACGCGCAGACATATAAAGAAACCTACATATATGATGCAAGGAAGTCTTGGGCACTTTTTGTTTGCCAGTTGGTTATTAACTCTGTTTATTTAAACCTGAGATGTCAGGTCATGCTCCTTGTGCTTAGTTGAAGCAGTTCAGAAATATTTGTTATATTGTAATATGGTTACATCTTGGTTTTCTGAGCTACATCCCTCTTCCTGTTTGTCTAGGCAGTGCTGTGTGGAAACTTTTGGTATAGGGAATATGGTCTGGTCAAGTGCAGTGGACACAGGCCGACTGTGGAGCGCAGGGGTTTGCTTCAACAGATGGCTTTGCCTCTGCTGGAGAGACTGAACAAGCTCCTGGAAGACAAACAGCCTACCAGCTCCTCTCCCAACACCTGCAATCAGCACATTTCTGGTACCAGATACGGTTGTTATATTTACTACATGATAAGGGTACTCATACATAACAGCAGCCCGGTAGTTTTCAGAGAAAGAACAAGCCCGGATCAATAATGGTGTAATTTGGTATCTGTATTTTTTTTAAATGCAATATTTGAAATGGCCAGTTATTGCACTCTGTGATCCTCCAAATCCCTGGATCATTATCCCTAGATTCATTATCTACATTTCCTCAACAATTCTGTTACTATATTTAAAGGATTTATATGGCTTATGCTATTTTACTTTTTAATTATGTCAAAAGATCACATGAAAAGACCAAACCAAGCCCAACAATTACTCCATTGAGCGTTAATGTTTAATTTTTAAAAAGGCTAATTCATTTTTCCCTGTGGATGCAGAGTCTATAACAAACATCACCTTAAATAGGATTAAATGGTGCATTTGTTGACCTTATGAAAAAATGATCAGCTTGCTGGCTTGTTTTTAGAGAGGGATTTCTGATGAGTTTCAGGTTTGTCGACAAAGCAGGCGTATGGGTTGGAGATAGCCTCTGGAGTCTGGACAGCCTCTGTTCCCAAAGTAACAGGTATGTGCTTCTTAAGCCCCTTAAGCTTTGTAATAACACATCGGTGTGTAGTGAGAGTGTCTACACAGAATGTGTACAAGTATTGTGTAGTATGGCCATGCAGCAGCATAAAGCAGTGGGAAGGGAAACAGCCACTGTGTCGATAAAACTGCATCGTGGCATCAATGTTCGCTGGAGAGAAATCCATTTCTTCAGAGAAGTGCTTTGTGTATGTGAAGTGTATGTAAGAAAATGGTTAAGAAGCAGGGGGTTATTATGGTTCTGACAAGAGTTGGAAATAAGACATAGCTTGCATATGTACAGTGTGACAGGTATAAATATCACTATTGTAAGTTTCACAATGAAAAAACAAATAGTACTTGTTCCAATGAAAACTTTCATGTAAAAGTCTTATTCAACAAAAAGAAGCACCTCCCTAACAGGATGCTTTTCTCAATGAACTTGCCATTTCTTTAGCTACCTGTCAGGAAGCTGCATGGCGGGCAAGGTAGGACTCAGACGCAGAGTTTTCAAAAAGAAAATGGACTTTAATTGTCAAAAAGGGTTTCAAAAGCAAAAGGCCAAGGGGCAAAAAACGAAGACAGGAACCAGGAACGAGAAGAAGATTGTGGACAGGGACTTGGACTTCCATACAATGACGCGACAACAGACACACATGGCTTAAATACACAAGGGAGGTGCAGGTGATTGGACACAGCTGGGAACAATCATGACAAGACAGACAATCACAGCGGACAACAGGACAAGGCAAGAAGTGACATGACCCAGGGAGAACGGAGGAAGGAAACTACAAAATAAAACCAGACATTAACCCAAACCGTGACAGAACTCCCCCCCTCAAGGGCCAAATTCCAGATGGCCCTAAACAGACAAGGGGCGGGAGGGAGGGAAACCAGACAATGGTGGGCCGCCCGGGGAACTCTGGCGGGCGGCCCGGTGGGCAGTCAAGCGGCCGGGGAGCCTCTGGGGGTCGGCCCGGTGGGCAGTCAAGCGGCCGGGGAGCCTCTGGGGGTCGGCCCGGCGGGCAGTCAGTTGGGCGGCTCCGGAGCGCCGATTGCAAGGCACTGAACGTCCCTGGGATGGCCGGCTGGGAAACACGGGAAACCTCCAGCTCGGGGACACTGAACACCTCCGGAGTAGTAGTCGGCGGCTCGGGGACACGGAACACCTCCGCAGTAGTCGGCGGCGGCTCGGTGACACGGAACACCTCCACAGTAGTCGGCGGCGGCTCGGGGACACGGAACACCTCCGGAGTGGTCGGCTCAGCCCCCGCCATAGCCCCCCCCCTCAAGGGCCGGATCCCAGGCGGCCCCCAAGCCACCAAAGGGAGGGTAGGAGATGACCTGAGCCTGAGTCTCGGGCCCGCTACAGGCCGAGTCGGGGCCATGAGTCTCGGGGCCGGTACGGGCCGAGTCGGGGCCATGAGTCGTGGGGCAAGCCCCAGGGGTCGGGGGCTTGGAACGTGGGGCCGGTACTGGTCGGGTCGGGGGGATGGAACGTGGGGCCGGTACAGGCCAGGTCGGGGGCATGGAACGTGGGGCCGGTACAGGCCGGGTTGGGGGCATGGAACGTGGGCAGCTGGCTCGGGGGTCAGGGGCATGGATCGCGGCGCTGGCTCGGGGGTCGGGGGCATGGATCGTGGCGCTGGCTCGGGGGCATGGATAGTGGCGCTGGCTCTGGGGTCGGGGGCATGGATAGTGGCGCTGGCTACAAAATAAAACCAGACATTAACCCAAACCGTGACAGCTACCGTTTTGTTTCTGAAGGAATCTCCACACAGTCATTGAGGGAGCCTGTCAATTACGCTGCAGGCCAGGACACTGAACCTCCGGCCGACTTAACGACACACAACACGCAGAGACACACTGCATCCGACGGCATTTACTCACAGGGTGAGAACACACATCATTTGTATAATTGTTGTTGTATTGAGCCATACTGCATGTAACTGTTCACCCTGTGCTGTCCTGTGCTTTGCTCGGTGCTTGTGGCATAAAGACCGGAAACCACGGCAACCGCCAGCTTGGCTTGGTCCAAAGGCAGCACAATTGAAATCCTCCAAAGCGCACTAATTTATACATATTTTATTTAATCAAATGAAGTGTAAGAGTTAAGTGTAGAAAAAGTCTCATTAGGGGAAAAAAATGTCAAGCTTTGATTTTAGATTGATGTCTTGTCTGGATGAATTGACATATTTTAGTCTTAAACTGCACCGTCTGTGAGATATTTCTATACATAACATCCATCAAATTACAACATGTCATTTTTACTTTTCGGTTTAAGATACATCAAGTTAAGTTTGTGAGGGGTTGTTTTTTCTCAAAAAGAGGCCATCCAGCCTTTTCTCTGAATGGGACTCAATGAGTACTTTTGATCTTGACTCCCTCACAGAGAACCACACAATAAAAGACTCTAAACAGCTCACACCCAGTGTCTCCGTCCCCCAAATTCTAGGTAACGTGTGGTAACACATGTGGTGTGTCACATTAACGGTATCCATCAACACTTGCAAGCTGCTTAGCAGGGGAGTTTTTGTGGTTGTTTTGCAGCAGTGTGATGTTCCCAGCACAAAATGTGCCTTTATAGGGACTGCGGTGAACACCTTCGGTTTTCAGATCGCCTTAAACACGTTCACAGTGTGCAATCTGCATTACAATTGTTACTATCACAAGAGTAAACTAGATTACAAATAGCTTACACCTATAAATATAAGCATGCTGATATCTTTGGAATAATGCTCTTAGGATAATTACTTGCATTTGGGAATAAATTAAATATTACTTTCAAATATTTGTCAGTACTGAAAAGATGGTTTGTGTTTGGACCAACAACCAGAATAACAAAAAAAAGATAAAACCAGTCAAAACCGTCAATATTAAGATAGTTCTTGTATCCGACTATCTGTTGCCTGTTTACATGTCAAATTAAGACAGTCACAGCTGCAAATTTGGCATATGTTTAGTAAAATAACTCGCTAACTTAGATATTTTGTTTTGTTCAGACACAAACCAGAGCTTCATAGACGTCCTGGATGCTCAGTGGGAATGTGAAGGAGAGCTGATCCCTTTGGACCTCTCTGTCCTTAACCCCAGAGAGCTTTTGGTCTACCAGCACGGACTGTTCCTCATGCACACATTGCATGGTTTAAAACTGGTTTGTGCTGGTTATTTTCAACCTTATTTCTTATTCTTTTCTTTGTTGTGTTTGTTAACTGTTGAATGTGGAGTCCTGTGTGCAGCCTGAAGTACTGAGGCAGGAAGCCCTCTGACTATCTCAGTATCCCAGTTAAAGACCAACGTAGCATTTGGTATGAAAGCTCCAGGGCTTTAATCTGACTTTCCTCAAGAGTTCTGGTGCATATCATCCCTTAAATCTCATTTTGCATTAACATCTTGAATACTTTCCCTTGTATTGTTTATCTTGTTTTCTTGGTGTCATTCCCTGTTACACACATCCATTTATTGCTGTTAGCTTTTGTGGGCTGAGCATTAAATGGAATTCTGTTAATAAAAAAGGCTTGGATTGTTTTCTTCCCCAACAGACACCATCCATTTCACTTCAGATTGCAGCTAGTCTCCCAAACAACAGCTACCTAAAAAACGCCTTCAGAAACTCCTTCTTTTATCAGGTAAATCTGAGCTTTTCTTTCTGTGAGAGTGTAACTGGAGATTATCCTGGTTTTTCAGTGACAAGAAAAGTGACTGATAAACTGGACGATGTATGTTAAATGAGGCCCCACAAAATATAATAGCTGAACATTTGAGGCTATTTCAATATAGGTTGGTACTTGATACAAACCAGAACCTCTCTCTGCTATCTGCCAGAGTTTTTCTGTACTTCAATATTATGTCAAACGGCTCAACACCACAGCAGCAGCTTGCGGTGAGTCCTCGAGGGGAATCAAAAGCATTGAAAGTGAAGGCTTTATGGGACATCCTGTTCAGCTCTGCTGATCTCTGAAGACAAAGGTCTCACCCTCTGCTTACAGGGGAGAGAAGTCACACCAACAGACAATTCAATTCAATTCAATTCATTTTATTTTGTATAGCCCAAAATCTCAAATTACAAATTTGCCTCAGAGGGCTTTACAGTCTGTACACATACAACATCCTCTGTCCCGAAACCCACCATCGGCACAGGAAAAACTCTCCAAAAAATGAAAAAACCCTTCCAAGAGGTAAAAAAGGGAAGAAAGCTTAGGGAGAACGTCAGAGGATTATAGTTTCCGCACAGTTTGCTTTAGGTTCCGTGTTTGAGGGTTATTCCACGGAGCAGACTTCCTTCTTGTTGCTATTCTTCTTTCCAGAGGAGCAATAGCGTCCAGCGCCACTCTCAAAGAGCCTGTAGCAGTATCGACAAAATTATTGATCTGGGATGGACTGAGGTTCTCACAGGAGTCTTCTTGTATCTTGAGGCAGGGCACTGAACTTAGAGCAGAAGAAATGGCTTCTTTAAATGAGGCAACAGCGGTATCCGATAAGCGTTGACTGTAGAAACCCTTGGCAGGAGGAGGTGGTTCTGATAGTAGAAATTCAGACACAGACACAGGAGATCAAAAAAAATATATCCACAGCATTTGGGATTCCTGCTTGCACGCAGGCATACAATTTTCTATTTTATGAGGCAGACTTTCTTGTAAAATTCCTTTAGAGAGCTGCACACTTCCTGAGAAAACCAACTGCACACTGTGGGTAACCCCATTTGTGTAATGGCCTCAATAACGGCCTGAAACCAAAAGTGTGTCCCATTTTTGAAGCGTATCACTGATTCATATCTACTGCTTGTTTGGATGGGTTTTATATACAGCCATTCAACACTTAAAATCTATTAAACTCATTTCCATTTCTCAAAGTTCATTTCATTACGTATCGCCCCCAAATCACGAATGAACCCGTACAACACGAATGTGTCTTCCAACAGCTGCGATGTGTTACCGCAAATGAGTGCTCTGTTGACAGGAGGCAGAGGGGACGCTCTTTGTCCGTCGCCAGAGGCTGAAGTCGGTTGGAGGTTTCTCCCTGCTGCTGCTCCACTGTCTGTCCCACATCAAGATACACAACATGAGCTCGGACTCCAGTCCTGTCTTCCAGAGGCTTTTCTTCAAGGTAGAGGCAAACTCTCAAATGGTGCATGAATCACTAAATGTTTGGGAAACATCTGTAGATTTAGATTTAAAATAAAGCTGAACGTTGTAATTTAGGCTGTTCTATTTTTTTTTTTGTGGGTTTGCTGTTAGTTTGGTGTCTGTTGTTAAAATGTAATGTATCAGGTGCGTTTCATTGTACATTATAGGTACTGCAGGGATGTTTGGGGGAGCTGTTTCATGCCAGACTGGGTGTGACCTCCTCTGGACAGGAACACAGTCGGTCTGTGTTACAGGACCAAGAGACCCCATCTGGAGTTTTAAAGAGGAGCCTTTCAGACTCCCATGCTGCTTCACTGCTTTGCGGGTCTCAAACACCAAGCAGAGGATTTCTGTCTGAAGATGTAAGAAGAACATCTTATATTTAATCATATTAAATTTATCTACTTTTAGCAGTGTAAACATTCTGTGGTTCTGTGCAAGAGTTGCAGGATATTATTCAATCAGAAGGTAATCAGAGCTCTTACATGTCTATTGTTGTGTGTGTGTGATTGTGTAAACAGGAAGTTGGGGAACTACAGAGGAAACACAGAGAGACCAGTCTGCTCACCCATCTTGAAGGACTTTTGAGAGAGAAAAGCTCTCTGTGAGGAAAATTCTTCTTCTTGAAAGAGAAGAAACAGGAGGGTTCTTTTATTGCGAGCGTTATGAGGGGCTCTTTTCAAAACTCTTTTTTTCAGTTTCAGAAGCAAGCTGGCCACCCTAGACAATGAAGGTCTCCAGAATTTCTCTCCCCACAGTGGGTAAAATTACCTTAACATTAATTAAATTAGTTAAATTAGTTCAAATCAACACTCTTAAAAAAACACACGTAACAACAGCAAAGCCAAATGAATCAAACACAAATAATTGTTTGACCCTTCACTTCCAGCAGCTGTGTAAAAAGGAGGCTTGCGCAATAACTTCTACAATTTAATAGAATCCAGCTGAGGTAGAAACTCAGGACTCCTCCCTCATTCCTCTCTCCGTTTACAGCACCCCCCTGGCCCCCTCACATCTTTAAGATGAAAAGTCTCTGTTGCTGGCTTGGTTGTTACTGGCACGTTAGCCCACATTAGGCTTGTTGGAGATCAACACTACACAACACTGAAAAACCGGACAACAAATTATTCTACGCACAGGAACTACCTTTTATCCACAAAATAAGCATGCTATGCTCCGTGTGATAATAACGTGTTTTTTTACATGAGCGGTTTTCAGTGCAGATTTTTCAAACATATTGATACCTTAATCCAGCATAAAGTAAATTAAGCTTTAATCAGGAACCATAAAACTGGTCATTATGACATTAAGTACACTTTACTTATACGGTAACACAATCTTAACGCTAAATAATATATGTCCCATGAGCCACAAAGAAAGGCACATTTTTAAAAAAGTGTTTTTTTTATTCAATTATTTTTTGGAAACAGCAAAACAGTTTTGTCCTTTTAACACGTAACAACAGGAAAGCCAAATGAATATTAATCAAACACAAATAATTGTTTGACCCTTCACTTCCAGCAGCTGTGTAAAAAGGAGGCTTGCGCAATAACTTCTACAATTTAATAGAATCCAGCTGAGGTAGAAACTCAGGACTCCTCCCTCATTCCTCTCTCCGTTTACAGCACCCCCCTGGCCCCCTCACATCTTTAAGATGAAAAGTCTCTGTTGCTGGCTTGGTTGTTACTGGCACGTTAGCCCACATTAGGCTTGTTGGAGATCAACACTACACAACACTGAAAAACCGGACAACAAATTATTCTACGCACAGGAACTACCTTTTATCCACAAAATAAGCATGCTATGCTCCGTGTGATAATAACGTGTTTTTTTACATGAGCGGTTTTCAGTGCAGATTTTTCAAACATATTGATACCTTAATCCAGCATAAAGTAAATTAAGCTTTAATCGGGAACCATAAAACTGGTCATTATGACATTAAGAACACTTTACTTATACGGTAACACAATCTTAACGCTAAATAATATATGTCCCATGAGCCACAAAGAAAGGCACATTTTTAAAAAGTGTTTTTTTTATTCAATTATTTTTTGGAAACAGCAAAACAGTTTTGTCCTTTTAAAAATCACGTTTTTAGCCGGTCTCACCTCCAAAAGCGCATGATACAAATTGTATGTGGACACACATGCAGACATCTGTTTCTATTTTGGTGTCTTGTGTAGACAAATGCTTTTACTGAGATTTGAACACAAGAAGCCCAAATGTTCTCCTCACTGTGTGGAAGAGGCTTTGACGGCAATGATTATGATTAACATAATTATTCCACAGACAAGTGCAACAACATTAAGGATCTTGGCAGTCCTCGATGCATCCACTGCTTTAGCTGATTCTCCGACAGCATTGGCATTTTGTACCTGTGAAAAACAAGTTTCAAAATGTATTTGATAGAAAAAAAAAATTTCCACTGAGGAAATGATGTCATCAACAACGGTCATCATTTATCACTACGAAGAAGCCACCTGATGCCTTGAACGTTCACAGATGAGATGTACAATGTTACAAAACATTAAATGGTATTTGTTTCGTTGGGGATTATAGGCCATCTATTAGAATACAGAAGCACACGCAGCAGATGGAGATAAAAGAGTTACCTACCTTAGTGGAGAAGATGATAGCGGCAATGCCAATAGGCAGGCAACAGCATAACGTGTTAAAGATGGACCATATCAGGTAGGATGGAGCCACATCACGGTTCTGGCCTCTTTCCATGGCTGCTCTCTGTAAGCTGTGTGGGTGAAAGTCTGGATCAAATGGCTGCTGGTGTTTGCGACCCAAAGCTTTTTATCAGTCATGGGTGTGGCTTAATATAGGACTAACAGCGAGGGGGCTTTTTGGGCGTCTCTTAAAACTAATACTTGACTTGCTTGAGAATTTATGTTTGGGCAGGAAATTACTCAAACTTAAACTTTTGGAACCTTTTACTTAACAAACTTCTTTTGCCTATTTTACTTTCTGTTCAATAAAGGAAAGCGCCATTTTTTGTGTGATGCATAACAACTGTTGGATTCAATAGATATTCTTTTATGCGCTATACTGTATCGTATATAAAGACTTTGACAAAATAATACTCCAAAAAAACATAACATAACATTTCTCTGAGACAAACAGACTTTCCAAAGTTATGGGAAAAACAAACACCAAGCACCCGAAGCACATTATCTATAGGAATGTAATTCTGTTTTTTTTGGAGTGAATAATGTCCAGCAGCCATCTTGTGTGGCAAACATTCCTTTCCGTGTTCGGATCAGTTTACGGGATGTGGGGGGAGGGGGGGGGGGGGGGGCAATGGGGTTCGAGCCGAAAGACTTTTGAGTGGCTCAGAATCTATGAATAAGGAACAATTTGCACCCCACACCCTAAACATTACACTGTTTAAAAGTAACTGCCCCTTCTTCCAACTAGGGGGGGGATGAATTATAACTAAGAAAAGCCATTTTGCTTGCTCATGTTCAATATGTGTCACAATAATTAGCATTAGATTCATTGTAAGTCTAATAATGTCATTCAATAACGTGTCTGTCTTTTACAACTGCTGTCTTAGAAGTAAAAAATACACTTTTTAATGTTAGCAATATCAAATGGATCCCAGTACATTTGATCTCTTAATAGAAATTTGTTTGGTTTTGTTTGCTTTAATTTATATTGTTTCTTTTCCACAAAAGAGATTCATATGATTCTCAACAGCGATTGACAATATTTCAATAAATTAGCCATTTTGCTAAATACAATTTTGACTGTGCAACAATAGGTTCCTGATGGAGAACTCTACATCTGCCTTCCTTTAAAATAAGGAATTACACTGGATGTAAACAATGTGGAATGGTCTCCATTCGTCATGTCTCTCTTGCATTGTTGGCAAGGTCTTCCTGTTGATTTTGAGTGAGCTCCTCGCTTTCCTTCTTAAACTTTGATGACTCCCGTCAGTACTTTATAGATAACGTTCTAGCCAAACAAAATAAAAGGCCAGGAGGACATACTGTATTGTGTTCAATCATAATATAGCAAGCATTGTAGTAATCTATGTCTTTAAATCAATTTGAAACTGCATTAAGACAAATACTTAACATACATACATTTTATGTTGCATTCAATTGTTTTTATCCCTTATCATTTTGTGTATTTATTTGCAAATGCCCGTTCACGTTTATTGTTTTACTTTCCTTGCAAAGCATTTCTAAACTTTGTTTGGAAAACTGTTTTGAATCCCTCGTAAAGTTTGCTTACATAACATGTAATTTAGCTGACGCTTGATTGTATGTCTGCAAACAGGAACAAACTGAGAATTTATGTGATCAATTAAATAACTGTCTACATTCAGATGAAAAACATTGTTAGTTAAACTGTCCTTCACTGGCATATCATTTCAATGCGGTCAGCGCAGCCGGACTAGAAACTCATTTTAACTTATGGTGCCGTTTTGAAGTGGGGTTCATCTTTTGAAATAACTTCAGAAGAAAGACTTGATACATGAGACAATGCATTGTGAAAAGGCTGATGAATACAGATGCAAACAATCAGTTAGAGCACATATACAGTATACCACTGAAGCACGTAACATACACAGAGAGAAAAAAAGCAAGGCAGGACAGACAGCGCATCAATGCTTGCAAACCAACAAGCAAAACTGTTGTATTTGACGGTTTTGTGCGTTTTGTGCCTTCCACGAGTGAGTTGCCGTCACAGAGAAAGGAGATTTCTTAAACAAGCTTGACCTATGTGCCTCTTGAAGCAGATCTAGTAAGTCTAGTGCTTTTGACGGCTTTGTTTAATAAAATCCCTAAGTGGAGACAGGGCCGTTCCATGTAGAAACTTGTTTTTTGGCACCCACACTACTTGGAGTCTGGCCCATCTTTAGCCGTTGTAGGAATAACTCTATACACTGTTTCTCAGGGGCTGACATGTCAAATTATGTTTACATGGTCTGTTAATTATTCTGAAACACAATGCATCAACAGCAGCTGGATACTGAACTCCACAATCTTGCTTTATTTTGACAGCGGTTACAAATTTCCCTGCATATCTTCAAGATGCTTTTCTATGTTAAGAATTATTTATGTGCTCTTATTATCTTAGTTACTTGACTGAGATCTCTCTTTGCTTGCAACTAAGTATTTTAAAAAACAGATCCAAGTGAATTGTAAGTGACAATGTGTTGTTTTTCTGGAATGGAATTTCTATCCTCATCTTTGTGTGACTGAGGATAAAGAGCCTCACTGTCTCGGGATGTTGTTGCCTGGGATCTAGCTGTGAGCTGAGTGGTCTTCAAGGATGAGGTCATTGTCTCCTGATGAAGAAGACAACCGATGAAGTCCGTTTAGGCTAAATGACCGTTGTTTAATGCTTGTATGCTTTCCACATGTCTATTGAATTGACAATAACAACACCTTTTTTGTCTATATTCCATTCATTTTATTAACTCACTGTTATATTTTATGTAGATAGGTTTTCTTTATTTCTTAAAGTGTCAACATAAAAGGTTAATTTACAGTCACAGGTGAGAAAAGTGTTTAGACGATTGGCGAGAGACATTTTTGCACAGCTTGTTCTCTCTATGTGTCTTTAACCACAAGGAGGCAGTGCTGGTCTTTTACTGAGGAAATGGGATGAGAAAGGAGTGTAAGATACCCTTATGGCAAGATGGTTACTTTGAAAGCCAGTTCATTAAGTGAGGAAGAGGGACATATAGAGTATCTTTGGCCACTCTGTAGGTTTGAAGCTGTGTTGACAGCTGTGAGAAACTGTGACAACCCACATTAAGGATGAGAAGTGGTGCCTTCAAGTGCCTTCAGGAAGATAAATAAAGGTTTATATTTCAATTCATTTAATACAGTCTACGTAACAATCGGTAAATTACACATTTTTATAAACAACAACGATATTTAGTTTCGTTTGGTTGGTTAGCAGTTTTTCTGCACATACAACGTGGGTTACAACTCCCCTAAATTTCCGCTCTCCTTTTACCAGAATCGACTATGGTTTACGAGTGGCTATGAAAGCAACACGTCACCATGGAAACGCAACGGAGCCTTGGGACAAGTGAATTTACATTCAGCGTTAAATAGAGCCAATTCTCACCTACCGTAATTAGTTATAATAATAAAAGCAGGCTTGAAAGGTCAAAGTACGATGGATAAACTTGAAGACTTGGAGATTTTTTTGAAGACTGTGGACGAAATAAGTGAGTACCATAGCGCTACTTAGCGCTAATTGCTAATTAGCTGACCTATAGGATTAACTTACATGGTGCCAGAATCAAGCTACAACAAGTTTGCTAACCGCTTAACCATCTTAACATTCAACTTTAGATGAAGGACTCCAGCTCATGTGTTGGCATAACGTTATACCAAAGAAGTAGTGTTTCCCCATGCAGTAACCAAGGCAAATTTAAAAAACGTCACAAACTCACTAGAATTATTCGGACGGTTCGGACGGACTATTGTTTATTGCATGTTAACTTAACGTTATATAATAACGTAGGTACCATAATGTTTTTTTGTAACCCAAGGTTGCAATATATCTAAGTTAACGTTATACATTCATATAGAAATTAAAATCAGGTTAAAATAAACAATGTTGATGATCAAAGTATGGGTTTCTTAATTTTCACAACATAAGTGATCACTGTATGCGTTGAATATATGAGTTAATCCTGAAAACGGATGATTCATTATTTTCAGGTGAGCTGGTGATGGATCTAAAGTCCCCCGAAGTCGATGTCCAGCATAAAGCACTAGAGAGAGCTGATTGCTATGTTGCTGCCTTGGATGAACCCTGCAGCACTAAAGTCAACAAGACAACAATCAACACAAAGCCTCCACTTCCGCCTCCTTTGGTAAAGACACACACACACACAAGTCACCCAAGTACAGTTGGACTCCTTTGCTTGCTCTCCGTCCTCCTCACTATGTTCATGCCTCTAATGTCTCGGTGGGTCAAAACAACACACACAGCCAAACCTGCCACCTTGTGTTGAGTTGTCTACCTTTTCATTTTTGCACATGTAAAAAGGCACAAGGCAATACACAGTACTAATATTTTCTTTAATCCCCCCCCCCCCTGTTTTACAGGACCTGCAAAATGAAAGTCCAGGTGAGCAGAATACTTGGTTGCCGCTTCCACTGAATTGTTACATAATTTAAGCAGACGTATATCTCCCATATCGTGCATTAAATGACCTTTTCCCTTATCTTTATCGTTTTTTAGGTGATGTTCGGATTGTTTTGTTCACTATAAAGTATTAGATATTCAACCGCCTCTGTTTAGCAGGGTTGTGACTGGGCATATGTCACAGTGGGAAGAGAGACGTGGTACAAGATGTGTGGTTAGCCACTCCCATACAGCGGGCCACATTTTAGTTTGCAGAGGATTCTCTCCCTTATCAAACTGTTACTATTGAGGGGTCTACTATGGATCAGAGGAAGTGAATGATTGGACACGAGTGGTGTATTTTTGTTGGTTTGGTTTTCTGAAAGCATCTTTAAATGTTTAGGGGCTAGACTTGTTATGCTGCCTCAGACTATGTGGGAGAACCCACCAAAATGTTTCCCACCTGTAGGGGGGGGGGGGGGGGGGGCATCAACACATTGATGACTGAGAAGCTAAATGCCTGTTTTGCCTTTATTTTCCCCAATATGTCTCACGTGTATACATCCTTTTTGATTCGTTTTTTTTTTCACCAGATAATTTCATGAAGATAATAGAGAGAGATGCTGAAGACAGGAGAGCGAGGAGGTCGGCAAAAGCAAAAAAGGCTACCGGTGTGTTATTCCGTGTTCCTTAATGATGCTTAAGAATGTGCTGCACTTGCTGTTCTGTTGATCTACCAACGAATCCGTCTAAACGTTGAATCGTTTGTGTCACTGCAGTATTCAAAGACAAGGGAAATGAAGCTTATGCTCAAGAAGACTATGAAACTGCAGTGAAGTACTACAGTGACGGCTTGGCTGAACTGAGGGACATGCAGCCATTGTATACCAACCGAGCGCAAGTAAATATCTTAGTAAATATCAGTTTTCTTCTCAATCTTTCAAATTGTAAGAGCCATTTTGTCATTGTATTGTTTTGTGAAACCTTCCACCACTTGGAGGCGTAGGGCCGCTGTCAATTAGACCGCACGGTCAAAATAATCAGCAGGATCACCAGAAACAAGTGGTTGTTGTTGCAAGGAGCAAACTGTTTTTGACCATGCAAGGGGCCGAAAAGATATTTTATTGGGTTATGATAACTGGTGATAAAAAACATTCTTTTTGTTAGATCAAGAGAGAGAGAGAGAGAGAGAGAGAACGTGAATGCCTTCTACTTATGTGAGGATAAAAATAAAATAAATAAATCGACACAACTGTTTTTTATAATTCAACCCCACAAGTAAATATGACAGAATAAAGAATCAAAACAGTGTTTTTCAGTAAGATTATTTTCATTAAATCTATAGTCAAGACCAGGCATCTTGAAAGTATATGAAATTAATGAAAGACACATGCTACACTACTAATCACATTCTCTATTTTGCATGGTCGTCGTGTTTACTGCCCATTTAAATGTTGAAATCTACTCAGGCCCACATCAAGCTGGGAAAGTACAAGGAGGCCATCAGTGACTGTGAATGGGCCCTGAAGGTAAGGCGAAGCTGGCAGATAAGTTCATTCAGTTTCAGCCTTATTCGTCACAGGGTCATGAGAGGCACGGATCTTTGTGAATGTTGTTTGGTGGAGAGACGTTTGGAGTGTGTAACAAGTCTGCTGTGCTCTCCTACAGTGCACCAAACAGTGATGGATGCAGGAGACAGGTCATCTACAGTGCAGACATGTTTTGTGGCCAGAACATAGTGTTTATAGAAGTAGATAAAAAAAAATAATGTTTTTGAATTCCGCCAGAATTGATAAATTGTTTGGAGTTGCACTGTGATTTGTAGGAGTGGAGGGTTCCTTTGAAGTTTAGAACACTTACTTCTTACTCTTACTGCGAGTGTGATCATTTCCTATCTCTCTCTCAGTGTAATGAGAGGTGCACGAAGGCTTACCTACACATGGGGAAAGCCTACCTGGCATTACAGAAGTATAAGGAGGTAAGAATAATTACTGTCATTCTTATCACTGATTTTCTACACATTGCTCTACAGACAGCATCTCGTGTAGCTATAGCAAACACATAACCATATAATGAAAGTCCAATGGCTGCAATAGATAGCAAACATGCAAGCTGACCATATCTCGCAGCAATCTATCAAATCAATTTTATTTATTGGTGTTTCATACATACGCTTTGTACTTAATATTGATATCTGATAATTGAAAATATGTCATCATAGTTTACTTAATACGAAATTATTATGTTGAAATAATGTATTTTTTAGGAGTGATCAGAATTATTTCCATTTCCACCATGAAACACATCACCTAACCATTGATTAAATCAATTATTTTAAATTAATTATAATATAACTGATTAAATTCTCTTTTTTTAGTCCAGAAACTGCTTCAAAAAGATTGTGGAAGTTCAACCTGAGAAGGAGAAGATGGTGAAAGGTAAAGGAAATATGCTGGAGGTTATGTTGGACCTTAATATATTCCATTTGTGATAAGTGCCTTAATTGGCAATTCATTAAGTCAAACCAAAATCAAATTTGTTGGCACGGTGGTGTGCTGGTTAGTACTGTTGCCTCGCGGTGAGAAGGTCCCGGGTGCGATTCCACCAAGCGTTTTTGCATATTCTCCCTGTGTCTCCGGGTGCTCTGGCTTCCATCAGATCCTAAGAAATGCACTGGGGATTAGATTAATTGATGACTCTGTGTAAATGATTGTTTGTCTCAGTCAGCCCCGCAATCAATGCAGGTGCACCCGGTCTCTCACACCATGTTGGCTGAGACTGACTCTACAACCCTGTAAAAAAGAACAAGTGGCATAGAAGATAACAAATAGAGCTCCACATATTGGGTCTACTAAATGTTTGTTTATAGCCTTTCTCTGTGCACCGCTGTGAAGTCTCTTTGCTATTTTCATATCAGGTGCAGTATTACATTCCTTATACTTATAATACGGCCTAGGGAAACCGCCTGCATGCCTAAGGTAGAGCATGTTTATGGAAATGAGCAAGTACGGTGATCATCTCATTTTGTTCTATTATGACACTTTCAGTTTTTTCTTTTCTGTGACAAAAAAACTGACAGAAATTCCAGTTACTGCTGAAGAAAAACTCTCTCGTTCTTTCTTACCTTAATTTCTCACTTTTGTTTTCTCCATGCAGAATACCTGACCCAGGTCGATTTAGAGGAGAGGAGAGAGAGTCAGGAGATGAATGCAAGGCAAGAATTTGACAAGGGAGAGGGGAATAACACAAGAGTGCCGCAGCTGCTGGAGAAGTTGTCAAGGCCGGGCCACATTCCTCTGTACTACCGCGGAGCATTGGAGAGTCTGTCACAAGCTGTTAATGACTGTAAGTGCTCTTTTAGGAGACGTTTTGCACATACTGTATATGTGTGTCCACCCTTACTCAACAGTAACTTGCTTCACTGGTCTACCTGCTGTAATGTCATAGTTTAGTGGCTGAAATGGTCGGAAAAGAATGAGCCTTTTAGGCCTTGAAGGTTAAGGTAGGTAGTGAAACACTTTACACCCCCAAAATGTATTTAATGATTACACACCCCATGATGACTTGAATTCTTTAAAGGAAAACATTGTTTTTCTGGCATGACTCCACGTCGGTTCATGTCCGTACGAGTAAAGTGCCTACTGTTTTTAATCTTATGGTTAAGTGAAGATGTCGTCGTGGTGCAGGGAGTAGAGCGGGTGTGCTGGGAACCGCAAGACACCTAACCCCTAATTGCTCCCTGGGCAAAATGTGAAAAGCCATGGGTTTAAAGTGTAATGTAAGTCGCTTTGGATAAAAGCGTCTGCTAAATGACTTGTATATGTTTGGGAGTTATTTAGCATATGACCTGATGAACATCATTTAGACAATTAAATACTGCCCAAGTTGTTTCAGAGTTTATAAATGGATGTCCCATTTATCATACAACATTCACACTAGTTCCTCGTCACTTGGCTTTGTTATTGTGTTCTTTATTCACGTGGAGGATAAACAAAGTTTTCTGAAATAAAGGGGGGCCCAAAGGGGGCTGAAATATTCATTTAAGAACCGAGAGCCATTGGATCAAGTCGAGTCAGGATGCAAAAAGTGATTGTTTCATGTCTAGTTCTATGATGATCGAAGAGAGGGTCGACTTAACGCTTTCCATAACTGAAATGCTCCATTTACATTACATTACATGTCATTTAGCAGACGCTTTTATCCAAAGCGACTTACATTACACTTTAAACCCATGGCTTTTTTCACATTTTTGCCCGGGGAGCAATTAGGGGTTAGGTGTCTTGCTCAGGGACACTTCGACATGGAACATGGGGCAGCCTGGAAGCCATTTACCTGCCACAGTGAGCACATTTTCCAATGTAGAGTGTGAAGCCACATTGAAAGAGTAAAAAAAGTAATGCTGCCATGGCGTGATTGGCCACTGAGCAGATCATAGGTATACATAAGATATTAGAAAACTAACAGCTGCCTAAAAAATGCTGTGCTGAACCAAATTGATATTTTCATTCCATAATCACTAAAATCAATTAAAAAAGGTGTGGTTTGGCTATGCCTGTGGGGGGGGTTAACCCTCCAGTGCTTATTTGATTTGTGGTCTATTTCTGACACTCTCGATTAGTGTAATTACACAGAGTATAAAGGATGGTGTAAGTGGGTTGCTGAACTGCTGGGAAGGCATTTTTGAGCTAGCAGAACTACTGAATACTGAACATCAAGGTATTTTAACATCTCTTGGTGAGGGGCAGTGCAGGTACCTACTGTTTTTGAGCAAACGAAGAGGGGGGATTACGATGGGTGTCTTGAGAGCAACCTGTGATAGCAGGTGTACATTCCAGAAACACAGTGCCGTTTCCTGCATTCAACCCTGTCAAATGTAGAGTGTGCAGCTCCTGCGTGTCCATTGGCTTTCCAGATTTATGACAGTTTAGCCCGAGGACCATGAGTCCCTGAGGCATTCCCGGGGTTATCAAAGCTTATACATATTGTATATTTTATTTTCCAGCAACATCCCTGATTAAGGCATAGCACCTTATTATAGCCAGTTACAAACAAGAATTATGAATGAATTAAGAACGAAACTAAATTGTTTTTAAAAGTCCTGTACTGAATGAAAAGTGGTGCCATTGTATACGGGCAGCAGGTGCTCTACACCAGATTGTTCACCCCTTCCTCCGTCAGCTGCTGATATTTTTGTATATTTTAAAACCATAGCGGTACATCAAGGTTAACGGCTCACTCAGGAGTACTTATTTTTTATATTTTAGTTAAGAAAGCGGTGAATAAATAGTTTGGTCTCGCTGCTACAGGCCTTGTGCAGGCACTTTTACCACACAGCTAAAACCGATGGAATTGATCCTGTGGAGCTTGTAGAAAACCTTTTTTTGCATCATTTAGATGAATACATATGTCAAATGATATCATTCCTGTCTCAAGTACCATTAAATGAAAAAAGGGCAAAACTTACAACTGAAATGATATTTTCTTTCCACTTGTGTCCTTGACTGTAGGAAACAGGAAACAAGCCGAGCTAAACCAAACATGTGTGTAGTTTCCTGTCTTCTTACACTATCTACTGTTCTCTTTTAACAGGTACAGCCCGCACCCTTTTTAGACTGAACAATGGCTTTGGTCTCATCAGCAGCAATGACACGGTGAGAAGGTAAGGAGACCAGAGGGAGAGGTAGCTGCCAGTCTCAGTGGAGCTTTGGCCGATGGGCCGAGAGACACGGGCACACACACAAAATGATGGGCCTAAACTAGAGAGATTATTCTCTGTCCCTCTCGCTCACTCTGTGGCTGTTTGTGCGATGGCACAAAGAGGAAAATATGATCTCAATGAAAATCGAGATGTGTGACACGATTATTTGGCCTTGGGTAAGAAATCCGGTGCATTGTGGCCACTATGCTGTACAAAAACATTTCTATCAAGAGTCAAAGAAAGAAGGGTCTGGACAAACACTAAAGTTAAAATTCAAGGTGCATCGTGAAGGCCAGTTGGTGGCCTATAGGTTAGACGAGGGGGATGTCGATTGGTTTTATTGCCCAGACCATCAGGCTGAATCCAGGGGGCTATTGCTATTATTCATCATTACCACTACTGAAGTGCCCTTGAGTTAAGCCTTTAACTCCAGCTGTTCCAGTGGAGCCCAAACGGCAAAACTACTCCGGATTAATGCAAAACTAGATTCATATGACATAGATCCTATGATGAGAAATCAGGTGGTGTTATGTATTTAAAACTCCTTAATTTTTCACCGGTATTGGGCAATATCATTTCAATTTGATTTGTTTTATGTTAATTGTAAGAGAACTGTGCTCATACCACTGCATTTCATTTCCCCTGCAGTTGTCTGTTGCAGAAAACAAAGGATCCAGAAAGCCAGGAGATGTGTGCGTCGGCTCTAAAGTTATGGAGGGCTGTTTGTTGTGGAAACGGTATGTCGCTCCTCTGCTCTCGTTGATTAAGCAAGAGAAGGGAAAAGAATAAAGAATTGGAATACTAATAAAATGCGTTGTTTTATTTTGGTATCACTGCACTGCGTACAATAATCACCACTACTACTGAATACTTCTCTTTTGTCAAACCTGTATTTGACTCTGAATCACTCACGCTATGTTGCATCAAATTGCATTTTGTGTGTGTGCCTGTTAATTCCATAGGTTGTTGTTCTCTGGGAACATTACAGCAAACTCAATCTTTACATACCACGTTTTCCTTCCTTTTCTTTGCTTCCAGTTGAAAACCAGAAACTGTTGATGACATTCCCACTCACCAGACAGTCCATTGTTCAATTGATGACATCAGAGAACGTTGCCGTGCAGAAAGAATGCCTGGCATTACTATGTGTGTACTCACTGGCGCCACGTGGAAGACGTTTGGCCGCTGACAACCTGGATGTGCCGATGTAAGACGTTCCCTTTGGTTGTCGTTAGGTTCTGCTGATGAAAGCGATCAGAGTAGCAGGAGTAGAAATACACTTTAGTAAGTGGACAGCGATGGTAGGCTCAATATGTCTGCTAATAAATCAAATCATTTACTTTTAATACCTTTTTTGTTCCCCCCACTTGCACCCCTGTTGTTTTACTTAACGAAATCAGTGGTCAGCCTCTGGACATATGTTTGTGATTGACAGTCTAATTTCCATGTCCATTTAATGAGATTTCAGGGCAGAGGAACCATGACATGTTTTGTGTCATTACTGTTGGACGTTTCTATAATCATACTTAGTGGCCTAAGTGATTTCTTATCATATGCATGCCCGATAATATCTGAGCTGCAGCTAATTGGATTTTCAGAAAATTAGGAAGGATTAATTATTTTATTGCTAATTGTTGTTATTACTATTGTACTGATATAGTTTAATCTTTTATTCCCTTTCTCCTTCTCTTCTCTCTTCCTGTACCCTCTCGTTTTCTTTATCTCTTTCTATTCTTAATCTGGATCCAAAGGTTAGTGAAGAACCTCATGGCGTGCATCTCAAATCCAAAGCAGCAGCACGAAGCAGCAGTCAACATTCTGGAAAATTTTGCTGCAGAAAACAAGTATTACTGATATGCAAACACCAGTGTCGCTCTCCCCTCACCCTACGAAATTATCAATTCTATTTCTGGACGAGAAAATATTTATTTTCAGATTTGCATAATTCAGAATACGACCCAACAGACCTATTATCGACGCATACATCATACCCATGTGTATTTACATTAAAATCCATCGTCACGTCGTGTCAGTTGGTGAAACGGAAAGTGTGGCATCTTTAATAATTCAACATGTGCTACACAAGTGTTGAAGTCGCTTGAAGGCAAAAGGGCATTCTCAACCTGTTTTCATCTCTGGCTCCTCGAGCCAACGAGACATGAAAGAACATTCCAGCCTCTCCAACACAGCCTGAAATAAGTGGAGGTGTCAAGCAGTGGAATGAGCAGATCCATTTCCCCATTCCCAGTCTATTGCTCAAAGGATTCTCAACGAAAATGTGTTATATCCTCAAAGAGTTTTCTCTTGAGTGTTAAAGCTCCACACGATCAATGTTTGAAATCAAATAAGGTAAAAAATAATACAAAACCCTTCCAAATTCCCTACAAATCCTTTACAGTATGTGTGTGAACATACAGCCTATTTATCTGTTGTAAGCCTGGTGCGGGGTCATGTGTTTTGTCGTGTGTGTAACTGTGTGAGGCTCCACATCCTCGACTGAGTGACTGCGCCTCTGTGCCTTTTCACTGCCAGTCCCGCATTCCGCTGCAGAAAACTCCAGAATATTTGTGGTGCCATACCGCTGGATGCTCAAAAACCTTTCGTGGTTACAGCAGAGCACACATTCTTATAACACCTTCTATCAGCCATCTTGACTCCTCACTCACCTCTCTTGGGGATCGCTAGCGCTGAAGCAGTTGAGTGCATCACAGGCCCACAGTTGCTGCCATTGACACAGTGGGGAGGGGGGGACTGTTTGAACACTGTTATTGTTTTGGACAGTATGTTGTGCTAACTGAATTATACCAGTACACAAACTACTGTCCTTAAGTTGGATGACAGCGTCATGGAATTACCTTTTTGAGTGTTTGCTTTGAGTTAAATCATGTACATCATAAACATCCATATACATGTCAAACTTACACAGTAGAATATTGTCATACTTACAGATTTGGCGTTCAGTTAAGGGACGTGTTGACAGACTCTGTCATCGTGCCATTCACAACATTGCTGGTAAGATATGTATACAAACATCATATATGCATTTTAAGCGTGTTTATGTGTGTCTGTGCTCAACTGTTATTCTTCCTTTTGTCAGAGAAATATCAGCAAGTCCAATCGGCCTGTCCTGGCATCGGCGATATCGGTCATTGGCTGTCTGGCTCGAGATGACGTCATCTGCCACAATTTGGCTCATGATCCAGAATGCTGGAAGGCTTTTGTGGTCGGCATTGTCAGTATCATTACACTCTGGTTTCTTTGCATTCAAAAATACAATGAGTTGTGAATTGAGTTGAATTAGTATACGATCACCTGGATAAATAAATAACGATCTATTCTGGATGGCACAGTTAGATATTTTAGATATAGTCTGTCTTGAATATTATGAGAATGTTTTTTCGAACTCACTGTTTTATTCAGTCTAGGGTCTGTTTTTCTATCATTGCAGAGGCAGTGCAGTGCATGTGAATTCAAAGAGGTAATTTACCCCATGCTTGGTTTGATCATCAACCTTTCAGCTATCAGATCTCCTATCATTGAGGTAAGTACGGTGATGTATGATGATTTTTTTGCCTTGGGTAGAGTTTCACTTTGGCCTGGTTGTGTGTAACTTGTATCTCTCAATAGTGGGAACCGTGTACTACCTAATACTTGCTCTGGAGAATTGTCATTCACTTTGGAGGCACCTTGACAGAATTAAATGTTTTGGCAGAACACAAACTCTGTATTAGTTTAATATATTCTGTATTATAAAACATATCAAAAGCCAATGGACAAGGGAGGAAGAGGGAGTAATTGTGTGAACCATGGTGTGCACTGCCACCCATTCAGAGGTGAAACATACATGAAAATGGGTTTAGCCACACGTCCATCTTGTTGTTGCAGGATCAAGCTGTTTCACTCTGCAACTGCTGCTTGGGCCTGCTGAGGGATACGGATGGACGAGTGATAACTGTGAGTAAACTTTAGCTACTACAGTACAGTACTCAACAGGGTTCATAACACTTCATATATGGTGTTGCCCCTCTGTTTCATAGCTCCCGTTTGGTTTTCATGATTGGATGTAATACCAAAAATGTTTAGAAGACAATTGATGACAACTTTTTTTTGTCATTGTTTGTTTGCCAGACGTTCATATATACATAAATACAAAACATAAAAGCATTATTCCAGGTAACTCATCAAAAAATGTAAGCCAAACGTTGGGACTAAGGGGCCTTTTCTGGGCCTTAGACGCTCACTGCCGATGTGCTCTAAAAGGTATTAAGCACAATCCACTATGTTCAGAAGATCCTATATGTGTCGGCTCCAGGTGCTGTTGTCTGTGCTAATGGCTAAAAGTTTCACACTGCCTATACAATGCCCTCAAAGTCCCACCCCTCCACCTATTGGTTCCTTTACTTACTGTTTTAGTGCTCTCTCATTGCATCACTGGAACCTTTTCATGTTACCTAACCCTAACCCTTTAAAAAAAAGCTTGTTTTTCTCTTCTCTTCTCTTTTCTTGTCCTGTCTTTATTTCTCTTACATATTTAAAGCATTATCAAGTTCCCACTAAAGCCCCGCAGCTCCAATTATTGCTGCTGTAATTTCTTTTTTGAACTTTAGTGGATTAGCTTTCTTGAGAGAAGGGCTTTGTTCAAAATTGCATACTAATACTATTCTTATGTATAATGTAAAATTCAAAAGGTAGCGTGTTCATTCAGCACAAAAAAATGGGTTTTGTGAAGGTCACAGATGCCCAGTTAATTTCTACATTAGCAATACTTGTATGAGAGTGAGTGTAGTTCACTGCACAAACTCAACTGCCCCACAATGCACTGTGTGGGTGTCTTGAGAAAAAAAATTGAGCCATGCTGAAAGATGTTAAAAGGTCCCTTTATCGAGCGACATTACCATCTCATTGGACCTGTGCTTGGAGGCTGTGCTAGACCCTCATTTGTAGTCTACCAACTCCTGAGAAAACAATCTTGGTCTTATCTTCCATTTGGTAATGGAAAAGCATTGTGCAGTGATTTAATACGAACATATTTGGTGAAAATGGCAACCTGGTGCAGCTGTGATACTGAAACTGAAAGCTGCATTGCCTTCTTTTGATCAAATAGCTAATCTCTACTTATTCTAGTCATTCGTGCCCTTGACATACAAATAACTATCAAAGATGACTAGTTTACACATAAATTAAATTAAATATAGATATTTTTTCACTTCTATAGGCTAATTAAACGTTTTTTAATATGCACTATATAATATAATATATAATAACGGGTGACTTGACAGATCCCTCCTACAAAAAATAAAAGGCTGCACCCATGTGGGACCTCTAATTCATATTTTGATGCTTCTCGTTTTCTTTTTCATCAACTTGTCTTTAAAAGGTTAATTAGGTGAAACTCACACCCCAGTTTACAATTGACTTTTTGTCCTTTATTGCTGAAAACACTCCATAAAACCTGATTTCATGTTTTGTAAAGTTTTCTCTCTTCCTTTTGTCCAATTCTCTTTGTGTGCAGTAGGAACTGTTTTGGGTTTCTTTCTGCTAACTTTCTTTCTTCCTCTTCAGTTTTCTCCTGAGCCACTTCCATCCTCTCAATATGCTGGATTTTTCCATCCATCTTTCTTCCTCTACTTTTCTATTTCTTCAGTTAACTTCTAATTACAGCATTCCTCTCGTCCCGCAGAGAGCCACGGGCGTCCTGAGCACCGTCCTCCCTCAGTCCTCTCAGGCTGTGCAGCATGTTGTTGAGGGGGGTGTTGTACCGAGCTTGCGCTTGCTGTTGAAGGTGCATAACTGTACACAAGTATTTTTGAACACATCAACACTTACAGTATTTTGTATTTTAATTGGAATGCTAATGTTATGAGTACATAACTCATATTAATATCTCTAACAATATTTGTATTTATGTTTACCTCTAATAACTCAATCTAAGTTCAGTTTTCTGACAAAAAAAAACTAATTGGTAGACATGCAAGACGTTTATAAAGTTTAAAATTACGAATGTCATTGTTACTCCTGTGTCTGCCATGCAGGGAACAGGGAAGTCTGCCACCAAGTATGCCATTAAGACTCTGGCAGTGTGCACTGCGGCCAGTCAGTTGGCGCAGGAGGAGCTGGTGAAATCAGATAAAAGTGAGAAATGATTGACATGTCTATATTACTTTAAAAAACTCCCTCAGGATTTTGGGAATACAATTTTAGGGTTGGCATAATATGCAAACAAAGTATGTGTGTGTGTTTGTGTACATACTGTTTCTGTTGACGTTCATGTCATTGCATGTTGCTCTGTTAATACATTTAAAAATGTCTTGCCTATTCGCTTATTTGTTTATTTTTTCATCCTATACAGAACTTTCTATTTTACGCAATTTGCTGGCTTCCAGCTGTGATGAGATTGTGACAGGAAATGCAGCCCTGTGCTTGGCCCACTGCCTCGGATTGGAGGGAATTGGCAGCACCCTGCTGGGCACAGATATTGTGCTGCTGCTGCTGCGCCACGCTGCAGGGGACGCTAAGAGGACAGCTGTGCGGCAAAATGCAGCGATTGCTCTGGGGAAGCTGTGTCAATCTGAGCCCAGGTGCCCTCTCACCTCACTCTATGAACCACATGCTGCTGATTAGATTCTAGAAACTGTCCTGAAGGAGCCTTGACAGACGAGATTAAATGCCTCACTGAAGTGAGACAATGTAATGTTATGGCTCTGGTTAAAAGACTTTGCCACCCATTAGGCAAGTGTATGACGTCTGGTCCAGGTTGGCCTGAAATAGACTATACTATATATTTGTATTGGCATAACAAAATCATGGTGTGTGTATATATATATATATATATATATATATATATATATATATATATATATATGTATATATATAAAATTATAAAATCAAAATAAACAAACATGTTAAAAAAAGAAGTCAAGTGTGAACCGGCCCTAACTCTCTAACCATGGTATATGTTAGGCAACATTGTCTCATTCAATTTGCATGTTTGAAACATATTCTATTTTTTAAAAGTGTTACGGACCACTGCAACCAGTTTTACTCTCATTGTTTGTCTCTGGTCTTACATAAGTCACACATTCCAGTTCTTCTAATATATTTACCAAAACAATATAATTTAATGATTAAACAAAATATAAAAGAAATTAAGGGGTCTGACTGTTTTCTGAATACCCTGGAGACCCTTTGGCTCCTTGGTATTCGGAGCAAGACCTAAATCTTATGCAAAATACAACTACTGGTACATATACCATTTGTTATTATTACACAAAAGCTAAACGTCTACATTTGCTTCAGGTTTATGATAGCCCCTCTTAGCTTAAATTCAGTATTTCTGCAATTTACTTTATGTTTCTATTTATTCTGCAGTGTAAAATTCAAGTGTAAACATCTTTTATTTCCGCACAATGATGTTTGCCGTAGGCCATCTTCCACATAGTGCAGCCCCATTCAGATTTTGTAAGTATAATTGTGTTGCACTGTCTTAAATAATGGAAGAAGGCTGCAACAAACATGTCTCTTTGTTTTAAGGAATCTTTTACTGTACCTTCAGGCTAAAAAGCTCAGCCATGACTGTGTTCATGTGTTCTTAAATTCACACAACTGCTGTTAACATGTCACCAATGTGGACACATTGTCACTGTTGTTTTTGTTTTAATAAGCTGCTTTCTTCCATTCCAGACATGTGGAGAAAGTTCGAGAACTTCATGGCTTTGAGATTCTGCACTCCTGTATGAAGCTCGCCACTGGGACGCTATAGCGTATTCTGTAATCCCCGTTTGGGCTCACACACAACAATTCACCAAAACAAAACAAAAACACCTGTTCTTGAAGTCAGAGCATTTTCCCTTTTCTACTCTAATGATTTGTTAAAACTTGTGTTATTAACTGCTACTCCAAAAATCTATTTTTTTCAAATGTGGTGGATTTTATTTTCTTGATGTCTTGAAAATATCTAAATATGTTTTCTTATAAGATTTTACTTGTATTTGCCTACTCTTTATAAACAAGGCTATAAACTTCAGCATCCTTCATGTGTGTTGTTTTATTTCACACGATGGGAAACATGTTGTTAATGACCATGACTATGTGGAGATGGAGGTCCATGTGCACTAATAACTGTAAATGTCTGAAGAATGGATATTGATCAGGCAGCATTAACATGCTGATTGGATTTGAAGTGACACACAGATTAGTGGGTTACAACTGAAATCCATCTTGAAGTTCTTTCTCTTTACCATGAAGAAGTATGTTAAATGCAAATTATGGAGTATACTGAATGCCTAAATGCTAGTACTATGAGCAAATTTGAGAGGAAGCTGTAAGTAACTCAAATCTCAAACTCTTATAATATAAATGTGTGTAATTTCTTTTGTGTCAGCCTTTGGCTCTTATTTATTGTGTCTGTTTTCCCAGTTTGTATATTTTTTTCATTTAATTGTGCTGAAAAGATGCACTGAGTCTTTGCTGATAACAAAACATCTTCGTTATCTATGTTTGGATTCATTGGGGGGGCAATTTTCCAAATTTGGCCTCTCGTCTGTACTAAGTCTGCTATCTGCTAAATTTGCATCTTTGAGAAAAGAGGATTACCTCTATGCTCACAGAAGGGACTGTGCGATGGAATTCAATGTGCGACGGTTGGTGCTGTGCTACAGCAGCATCACAGCGCCGCTCTGGCACTTGAATGTTGAGCCTGGTCACTGCGAGAAGGTCACTGCTGTAACTCTGCAATGTTTACACACAAACTGTGATGCAGATCTGCACTGGGAAAGACAAGGAACTGGAATAATATTTGCTTTCACTACATGAAACGGTCTGATAGTGTGGAGGTTGGGGTGGAGGGCAGGTTTGTGTGTCTGTGTGTGTGTGAGTATGTGCGATTGGCACACAATGTTTTACGGAGATTCTAGATCCTCAGAAGATGAGTTCTACTGAAGTTAGTGATGAGGTTCACGTGACTGGTTTTGGTTAAATTTCAGTAATTAGATTTTTTGCCTTTCAATTTAGTACAAACATTCATATCCCCCACGGAACAACTTTTTCATCCTTCAACTCGCATCGTATCCAGGTGAAATATTACTGTTACTTTGATTTGGGGCAAATATATTCAACACTAATACAAACACTCAGGACGCTATCGGCCACAACAGGCTGAACTTCAATTGATATATGTTCAAATTCAGCTAAGCCTTTTTAGTTCAAGCATACAAGAACAAATTAAAGAGTTTTTCACAGCAACTCACTTTGAAGTGTTGGTCATAGAGAATTTAAGGTCCCTAGAAATAACTGTAAGGTTAACAATCTGACCCAGTTTATGACTACCATAAATCTATACGTTAAATTGAGAGGAGAATTGTTACTGTTGTGTTCTGTGTTACTTAGATTGTTTTTACCCGTGACTATTTTGTAAATGCAGTGAGAAATCCAATTGTTCTCTGTATGAACTGCAGAGGACAAAAGCCATTTGTGCATGTGTGCAAACAGATGCCTTCTGCTCAGTTGGATTAAACAATAAAAAAAACCCGTATTCAACAGGGTTCAGGGTATGAACGTTAAAGTAGAATATAATGTCCGTACTGTAGCTTTAATGGTTGATGCAGATACAGACATCTAAAAATACTCTCTAATTAGAGAGCGTCCTAATTCTTCAGCTCACACGCTTTCAACAAGTCCACAGTCGCTGAGGGAGCACAAATTAAGTGAGGGCAATACTGCGGCCTTCATTTATCAGAACAGCCTTAAAAATCTGATCTGATTGTTGGAAATATATTTAGTTACTTGACTCTTCAATATGTTGCATGGCAATGTATATGATGTACTGCTTTTGTTGTATTTGGTGTAACGTTATAGCGAGTGTCATTTACAACCCTTTATAATTCCTGAGTGTATAATATCAGTTAATATTACTGTCTTAAATAATGGTAGAATTTAACATCCATTCATGTGTGTGTGTAGAAATATTGGACACAATCCAGTATAGCATGGGTCTACAAAACTAATGAGTCACAATTTAGGTTTATGCCACATGCTTCTTTGAAGAACGGCAGCTTTTGAGGAGGAAATTTGAGTAACATTTTTAGATTATCATGTATATATATATATATTTGTCTATATAGTCTGTGAGAAAAAGTATATTTCCAAGGTTACTTCACTGAACAAAAAAAGACACAACTGTACCGAAAGATCTGCCTTTTAAAACAGGAGTACATGATTGTTCATGGCACAGAATCAGTAGTAACACTGCTGTGTAAAAACACACAGCAGTGCCAATGACTGGCAGGTTTCCAGAGGCGGTCTTGTGAGTCGTGAGAAAACAGATCCCTGAAGAATTGGCTGAATTTCCTTTAATGAGGGATTTTGTTTCCAGCAATGGGCATAACTCTGTCAAATCAAGCAAGGATAATCCATCATATATGAGCATTTACACTCAATCAGAAACCAATCGATTTTTCAAATCACGACAAGAACGTCTCTTCTACCGGACAAGCTGCATTGGAATCAATGGTGAAAGGCAACTCTGAGCCGCAGGGTTGTTCGTTCGCAGAGGCGGTGAGAGCCTCTCTTTGCCTCCACGCTCTATGCCTGATAACAGGGAATCAGACAAACACTGACTCTATTACTGCAGAGAGAGGGCCGGTAGCTCCGATCCGGTCTGCATCTTCGTGTAAGCGATAACCAGGCTGTGCTGCGTAATGACAATGATAACAAACAATCTCGAGCGTAGGCTAATGAAGGGGATTTCAAACCTGGGAAGAAACGAGTATCTGGGAAGAACGGTGCAATCCATCTTCCAAAGCGATACAGCAGAAGAGTCAGTGAGTCGAAACACCCTGAAAAACTTGCCTGCCGAAAAAGATCGACGAGAGCTCTGCACTGAAAAATCTGTGGCTCTGCTTAAAATCTCCTCAAAGTCGCTAAGTAAAGAGGGACCGGCTTCAGATTTCAGTTGCTCTACAACCTCATTACCCATCTTACATCAACAGTCATTTAGAGAACAAAAAGAAAGTCTGAACAGGGACATCAGTCAGCAGAACATTAACGAGCACTCTGGTTCTGGAGTGAGGGGAAAAAACGCACACCACTGTGATAGTCAAAGCATCACAGTCAAAGCATTTTGAATAACTCCGAAATCACATCTTTTTGCTCAGTTACAAGAATGGTTACATTTCACAGATGGACTCCTGCTGAGATGTCGTCGGCAACACCAAAAGAGAGCAAAAAAAAAAGGGGGCACACAGTTCCTAGTGAAACTTTACTCACTTTACCAATTCCCACATACGCAGCACTCTATTGTTCATCAAAGTTACTCCATACGGTAAAAAAACCAAGAAACGCATGGAAAAAGCAATTCGTTCCCAGAGAAACAAAATGAGCAGACGTTTAGGGAATCAATCAAAAACCACTCAAAAAAAGGATGTTTGATTTTGCCACTAATAACCATGTGGCACCAGCGCTTCAATCTTTTGAAAAATAGGAAACAGGGATCTAATCACTGAAAAACCACAAGCCAAAGCCAGGGAATAAAAATGAACGGGTCATTGCAAGAGATGAGGACGCTACGAAAGAAGTTGCCCACCGAAGGGAGATTAAAGAGACAAAAGAGATACTAAAATTGCAGAAAAAAGGAGGAGAATGGGGGATGTGCAAGATGATGTTGTGTGTCCTTGACAATAGAAGCAGTAGAGGCTATAAGACAGGAAGCCGCCAGCAAGGAAGACATTAAATGTAACGGAGACATTGGTAGAAAGGACACAACAAATGTTTCCCTTGGACCTACGACTAATTCTAAAGAACCTAACAGAGACAAAGGACAGAAGACCACGGACTTGGCTTACGGCCATTGTTGAACTAAACAGTTTGGAGCCCCTGAGAACAGGGACATTCATCTGAATAAAATCCCAGAGCCAGAGAACGTCAATAATGAGATATTTTCCCAACGAGCCATGCACAAGGAATAAAATAATATCCGTCCGCCCACGAGGGAAAGCTTACAAAGCACGGAACAGCGTCTTCACTTACTAAAGAAAGCACTCGGAGCAAATTTGTCAATTCCATGTTTCTTTCGACTGCCAAAAAAAAAAAAATTGACCCCAAACTCTCTCGAGCATTCAGATTTAGCACAAATGTAGAGATACATGGAAGCCAAGACATCTCCCGTACGCAATGCTACCAAATCAGCCCCCCGCACTGAAAAGTGTCAGTAATGGGCTGTCACTCACTTCTAACCACCATTGGCCATCAAGGAAGAGTTCCTGAGAGCACATCTGCACTTTACAGTAAATGCTCTCAGTGTTTCAATTATTTACAGCATCTCCAATCGCAGGAATACATTTGGTACGGTTGGTTTCAAAGACAAATTCATTTCTACACACTGCAAACCAGAGAGAGCAAAGTGAAACGCATTACACCGGCATTTATTTTTGATTCCAGTGCCAAGGACCCTTTAGCCCCTCACAGATTTAAACAAGCGAATATATTTATGCCCGTAAATCGTGCTCCATCCCAACGGATGCACCATGACTCATCCACCAGTCCACCCACAGCCATGGTATGTCATCTGTGGCCCACACCTCCACAGGCCAGTCTCAGCAAAGGCAATCTGCCCCTCAGACAAGTCAGGCCGCCTCCCCCTCCTCTGACATGACTTCAGGCCAGCCGTGCTCATTTAAGCTGTCAGAGCAGACGGCCGATTCAGATGCTTTGCATGCTCCTGTTGATGATAACGAGCAGAGATCTGTGCCGACATCGATGAGTCCGAAGGCGAAGAAAACAATCAATTCCGCCTCAGCAGCACGTCGCCGCTGCCAAATCACATGCTGTTTGGAGATGACAGTTTACCTGGCGCCTACGGCATGACAGGGATAACAGGATCAGTCGGGGAGAGATAAATATTGGGGACCAACAGCGGCGGTAGAAATGCAAATAGCGGAGGTGGCCGTGCTGAGTCCCTGTCTCTGGTCCTGCGAGGAGACAAATCCAATTGAGGACAGCATGCAAGAGGTGGTGACCTCGGGAGTAAAACATCCATATAGTGACTAAGCAAATAGCAGTGAGCATCGAAAGCAACGGTCCCCCGTTCACAGAACAAAACAGGAGTGATCGCCAGGCTACTAAAATGTCTGGTGCAGTTTAGAGGGCACTGATGATTCAGACATTGACTACCTTTGAGAACAATCATCTCTCCCAGTCAGAAGAAGTGCTCAGCGCATCACGTCTGCAATTCAGACCGGTCATAATATTGAACAGCCATTAAACAGCCATTTTTTCCTGTTTCAAAGGATTTTGTTCTACCTCTGCTTAAAACAAATGCTCAAACTGGGCCACTGCATTTGTTGAGGCTTTATGAAATATCCCAAAATAAATACCC